CTACAGGAGATATAATCATACTATGTTCTGTGTAGCTCTTGAGCTTTTTATGTTACAATTGCATCCACTTTTGTACAAAAAAGGAAATAGTGTGAACACTTAATTACAAGAATAAAGAAAAATCTATTTTGTTGCATGTAACTATGTTATTTACTTACACATAAGTTCAGAAAGGTCCTTTCCTTTCTTTTTATATGCTTGTTCTGTTTCTGAGATGCCTCTACATTCTGGAAGACTTACTAATTAAGTCAGAATGGGCTTTTTTTGCGTGGTATCTGTCAGCAAAATGTTATTTATGAAGGTACTGGTTTGTTGCTAATCCTTTTTACCTTTTAAGATAGGAGGGGTGTTGGCATCATATGAATTACTCCAAAACTCGGTTGTGTTCATAATACATGTAATACATCTTTTCTTTCATATTTCATCGACTCAAGTGTGTAGAAACTGACAGAATGTGGACTTACCAAAGAGGAAAATCATCAGAAACCCTTTCTCTTGTTGGTTTGGTCTGTGGTAGCACGGTCTCCTCACCAAAGGGTGCCGTGCTTGTGGCAACTAAGTTCCTCACTCTCTTCACCTCGTATTTGTAGCTGTCTTGCCCCCTGAAGTACACATTTTGTTTGCCTACCTCATCTTGGAGGAAAATCAACAAAAGCGAGTTAAGCAGTCTAGAAAGCGGTTCTTTTAAGTCAAATATTACAGCAACCAGGATGCCTGCTTGTTCTAGAGCCCGGTATTCCCTGTTCAGAGGTAAAATGGGAGAGACCAAAGCTCCAATATGTCATTGATGTGGGTAAGTACTGGTGAAGGGTGAGATAGCAGCCAGCTCTGTGCTGCTGGCCCATGACCAGCTTCCCCACTTCTGCCTAGTACAGCATTTGTCGACTCTTTCTCTTTGTTTTTTTCCCATGTATTATTTCCTACTTTTTTGGTGGATTTTTTTGTGTTTTCTTTTGGTTTGTTTTTTTTTTCCGATTACTTCATTTATCAGTTTGAAACCCTGGCTACAAGCTGAACTGGTCCAGAACCCTTTACCCCCTTGATTTTGCTTGTCTGCAGCCCGAGAGACGACGACTCCCGCTCGGGGCCGCGGGGCTGGGCTGGTTTCGATGAGCTAGCCGCCGGCAAGGAGACGCATCCAGGCAGGAAGGTACGGGAAGCCGGACCTCCCGGCGCTGGGGGGGCGCAGCCGCGGCGCGGGGCGGAAGGAGCAGCGGCTCCTCCCTGCAGAGCCGGAGCCGCGGCCCATGGCGGCGCGGCGGGCGGGCCCCGGCGCGGTGAGGGGGCGGTGGGGCCGGAGCGGGCGGGGGGCACGAATGGCTCCGTGGGGCTGCAGCGCGGCGGGCCCGGCTGCGGGCTTGGAGGGCGGCGAGAGCTTGGCCCGCCGGAGCGCAGCTGCTGAAGGGAAGTGGCGGGGCGCTGCCCAGCAGCAGCTGCTCCGGAGAGGCGGAGCTGGAGCGCCTCGGTAGCGCGGCCGCTACATCCCCGCTCCGGTGCGGAGGCGGCCGTGCTCGCCCGGCTGCATCCCGCGGGAGGGGGGAATGTAACTGGGCGTTTCTGCCCATCTGTGCTGCGAAAGCAAGCAAGCATTTCCTCCTTGTATATTTTCATATAAATCTCTCAAAATCTGCGAGGCTTTAACAAATCTGTAAAGGCTACTAAAGTGTTTTTAAACATTCTAGACATTTAAACCTTTCCTTCTCAGCATTCTGGAATGGACACCCGGGGAGTTGGGTAGTTCGTTTTTCCCCCTGAGTTTCCAGGTGCGTCCCACTGTCTTGTGGCCTGGCTCAGGTGTGCAAACACAGCGTTTGACCGAGGCAGCAGCTGCCTGGTTTGTGGGAGTCTCTTGGTTTCGGAGGCACGTTAGAGCACTCAGCGGCTCTTGTGTCCCTAACAAAATGTCCATGGGGACCTATCCCCAAACTCACCCTTTGTACGAAGTTTGGAGGAGTTACTTCAGACTCTGTGAAACTGCAAATAGACCAAAGCTGATACCTCTGTGGCAGGGCTGGGGACTGTCACATAGATGGACAGATGAGTATTCACGACGGGCTGCTTGCATGTGGTTAGCTGTGTTGTAAGGAATAAATGATACAGAAATCAATGCGCTTGCCAGTTGTTCTGTAGAAGGTAATAAAATAGAGTTGTACTACAGAGTACAGAATTACGACTGCATAGGCATTGAATGCTGTATAAAAGGTTTGCGGCTTCTTTATTTTATGGGTTTTTTTAGCTTTTAGGTTTTTTAAATGCTAAGTATCTTAAACGTTTAATATTTACTGCCACAAGAATGTTGGAAACAATAAAAGTAATGAGATCTGACCTTTACCAATATTTTTTCCCTTATGGTGCATCAGTATAATGTGACCAGTCCCCACCGGTTTACCGGATGCTGCTTAGAGTGTGCAGTTCTCTACCTGTGGAAATGGCATTTGCTGTCAGTCTTCAGCATGGCCAAAATCCAAGTGAGAGATTTGAGATCTTAATCCCACAAACCCTTCCTTGCATGAGGCATCTCATTTGCTTTAGGTAAACAAATCAATGCAAATTTGCTTATAGGAACCTGTACCCGCATGCAGAGTTAAGGGGCTTTTAGTGCAAGTAACATTTGCAAGTAACAACCTGCCCTTGTTTCAAATGGGAGTAGTTCTGGGTCCTGACCCGGGGCAGGAGGGTTCACGTCCAGCTAATCCTGGCTGCCTGAAGTTTATTTTTAGTTCAGAATTAGCTGAGGTTCAATGTGAGCAGCGTGAGGGAGCATAGACCAGTTCACAGTGCCTCTTTCAGGGAAGGACTTCAAATGATATGGGAAAGAAACAAGTGGTAAGTTTGTGGATCTTTGAGTCTTATAGCCCTTTTTATTTCTGGCATCTGAGTTTTCTGAGCATGGGAAGTACTTCTTTGTGTATATTCTTTCAATATAATTCTGTAGTACAAAATTGGAAAGTTAGCTCCTTTTTCTAGATAAGAGAAAGGTACAGGCTCAGTTTCAGATAATTATCAGGAGATACTTTTAGATTTTAGGGGTTTGACCTGCTGGTAAATATGTTCAAAATTATATGGAAAAATAATATTTTATAATATTTAAAAGTATTTTCAAAAGTGAGCTTATTTCCTTGTATTTTTTTATTATTGTTCTGAATTTACATCTTCATTAAAAGAAAATACTCAGCTCACATTGTATACTGTACAATTATATTGAATGCATAAATTATTGCAATATTTTATATTTATTTAAATAGAATGACTAATAAGCTTTCTAATGAAAGTGGTGCCTTACATGAAAAGTGAAAATTATTGAAGCTGAAATGCAAGCTGTGCCTTACACACAGAGTTTAGCTCTATGTTCCTACTGCAGTGCCCATCAGAACTCTGGTAAAGGCATATTATTCCAGCATCTTTTACATCCTGCTCTGTTAGCAATGTTTGGCCATTTAGGAGGCATACAGAGCAAAACATAACTTGGATGTTCTGATCTGAAGCTATTTTCTGAGAGGCGATTTCATACTGGCAGAAGTTGATTTTTTTCTCTCTCTTGTCTTTCAGTGTCCGCCTCGTGCCCTTCCTCCAGTGCCAAGGTAAAATCATTGCATTGTGTGGAACTGATCATGATGCTGTGCTGCCAATTTTGAAAGTAATAAGTTTAAGAGAAACACGTTTGATAAACATCTGAGTAGCAAAATTGCTTCCCTTGCTGATTTATTGTCCCAAAATGCTTTACAAGGAATGCAAAGCATTTTAAAACTTTATAGAAGCCAAGAAATTTTACCATATTACCTCAGTTTTAATACTCATGAGAGATAAACCCTTTAAAAACTTTTACATGAATATTCCAATTTTAATGTCTAGTATAGTTTGTTATCCATTTTAATCTCTTCTTACTCCCTCTTATTTTGTTTTCTTGAGTTTATTTGAATCACAAATCCTTTAAAACAGGAATTTCTGGGATTAGGCTAGATATTCTTTAATAGGGATTTATGTATCTGCTAGTTTGATGTAGTATAGGGAAAAAAATGGTCTTTTTTTCAGTGTGAAAGAAAAGCAATTATATCGTTTTTATGAGATGGTACTTCAGAATTCCTTCAAAGTACCTGCAAGTAAATGTGATGTTTATGATTGTTGACAGAGAGTCTCTTTAGTGATGTATGGGCTCAAACGTTTCATAACTTTTGTTGGTTTGTTACATACCAGGCAGTAAGATAAGTTTTAATTAGCCAGGTGATTAAAGCTTTTAATCTGATCCACGGCTAGCCAATCAAGAAACTGTGCATAGTCACCAGCAAAATGTTGAATCTTGCTGATTGCTTTGTAGCCCTAACCCTGTTATACACAACTGCTCATAAAGAGGAGGGGGGATAAGGAAATTAACCATGAAAGCAGCAGTGTGAATTTCACAGTTGTGATTTGTAATTGATTCAAAATTCATTTTCTTTTCATCTTTTTACACTGTTCCTCAACAACTTTTCTTCTTCAATATGAAGTGGAAGCCAAGGTGAGTTATTAAAGAGAGCTACAAGCATTGGTAGTTCCTTTTGTTGCCACTCATTCTCTCTCTAATGACAGAGCCTTATATTTTTCCTAAATGCAGGCTGATTATTTAAACTGGATACCTTTGCATTGTTAGAACTGTTGTTTTTCTTTGCTGTCTTTACTGTTTGCTATTCCCCTCAAGGTAACTGAAATGTTGCCACTGTGCTTTAAACAATAAGTTTCTTTTTTAGAGTATTATTCAGAGTATTTCAGTTTATCACTTAACACACATGCATATGTATATTGGGACTTTGCTACACATAAGACTTCTTACCCTGATTTCCTACCATCTTCTGTTCTGTTGTGTGAACTGGTGAATTGTCATCTTACCTGTAAAAACAAAGGTTGTCATAATTTGTAAAAAATAATCTATTTCTTAACTTGCAATAAGATGGCTGTTAAAAAAAAGGAAATGGAGGTTTCTCCTTGCTGTGCACCCATACTTCTGTTTTATGTTATACAGATGAAATTCCACTCAGTCGTCCCAAAAAAAGGAAACCCAAAGGAAAGACTCCCTTAGGTAAGGTCCTGCCAAGACTGAAAACAGTTCTTTTATTCCTGCCATTTTTTCCTTTCTAACTTCTTTGCATAATTCATTAAATAGACATTTCCAGCTGTAAGCTACTTATGTTGAATGTGTTAAGCACTTGAGTTTTTGAACTAAGATAACACTAGTTTAGCAGTCTGATTCAATTTCAGTCCTTGGCCAAATAAAGTCACAAGTTAATCACTCTATTATCACTGAAGAGCTGACTGTAAAAGATTATTAGTATCAGAGCTTTGTGTTTTTACAAGAAGCAGATCTGCAGAACAAACATTGTTTTAAGCATGATTGTAAGTCTGATCTATTTTGATAAAGCAGAACATAAAACATAATAGAATCCAATGGATTTCTGTAATCAGTTGACTTGGGTCCATATAAAAGTTTGATGAGTAAATCTCCTTTTTATTTACTTAAAATTGAGGCCTCACTGACAGACCTTTAAGTGCAACAAGTAGAGCTGTTGCTAGCAGGATATCCTAATGATTAAGTTTTATTTACTGTTGTTTTCAGTGAGCTGAAAGATGGTGCAAAGTACACCTTTTGCCATTACTTTGCTGGTTAACTTTGCATTTTTGCACCATAAAGTTTATAAAAGGTGGGTAAACCTGAGTTTGAAGTGGAAACAAAGATTCAGGTGTTACCATAAAAATTACAGTCCTTAAAGGTGCTGTTAAAAAGCAGGTGTGATGTAAAATGGAGAAGTAATTTTGTCTTTCTGCATCTGATCATGCAAGCTGATGCTACTGCACTATAATATGAATTCATGTTAATCTCTCATAGAAATATAATTCCTCCAAAGTGTAATTATTCATCTTTCACACTGGAGTAAATATCCCTCAGTGGATTTTTTCTGCTCCTTCTTCATTCTTGTGCTATATGTTTAGCATTTAAATTTTCCTTTTATGTGATGCTGTTTTGCATTAGCACGTATTTGTGTGGATCACCTTGTAATAAACTATTAATTTTTTCCTGGATCTTGCATTATAATCTTTGCACTTAAAAAAGAGAAATATAGAGGTGTAGTTCTTTCTGGTGATGGATTCTTTTCAGGCAGTCCTCTGCTGTAAGCCCAAATAGGAATTGTGCTACTTCTTGTACACTTAGATTCCCTCCTGAGCATGAAACTGTTGCAGTGAAACACCTTTGTGTATTTCTACTTCTCATCATTGATTCCCAACTCTTGTATTTCCTATAGCCAATGCATTTTCATCTCAGTTGTTGCTCAGCTGGGCAACAATGTAGTAAATGGCAGCTTTCTCTGGCCTGTTTCTCAGGGGCTCTGAATTCAGGCTGCTGGGTCTTTTCTTGTGCTTTTTAGATGGCATTGTGCAAGCAGCGGTTCGTCGGCAGTCTGAGAGCAGCGAGCCCCTGACTCCCGAACCTTCTGATGCCCCTCCTCAGAGGAAACGCAAGAAGAAGAAAGTACCTACTGGTACGTGAGAGAGTTGTAGATGGGAAAGAGATGTAAATAAAACAGAAATATTATTGTATTTGTTTAAAACATTTCACATACATCTTTACCTAAAACAGCTGAAACTAATCTCTGGGTGAGTGGTAGCTTAGTATTTCACTTTCTGGTTTCAGATTTCATAGGGTACAAACCTACATGAAAATAATGGATATGCAGTTTTGGAAATTATATAATACTTTACATCATTCAGCTCAGATCATGACTTTTTTGCCATCCTTTTTATATAATAACTATTTATGTATTTAGGTGAATGTATTTCCATTTTTATGAAAGCTCTGAAACTTTCATGATGGGTTATATTTTTTTAATCTTCAGATTCTGAGACCTCTTTTACCCAGAAAAATGTGGCATCCCTATTTCAGAATGGAAATGGCATGGATGTCCCTGAAGCCGAAGAAACGGTGATCCGCAAGCAGAGAAAAAGAACAAAGTGAGACAAAACTAGTATAGCTCATAATCTGGAATAACTGTGACAGTGAATGTGGCTGAGGAGTATTTTACGTTGTCATTTGACAAAAATGTAAAGCCCATGATACCATTCAGCCTGCGTACACTTCTTTCCAGGGTTAAGATCTAACTTTTTTTACTTCTTCATTCTGTTCATACCTGGCTGCATCACAGCTCTTAATAGATTTTCATGAGCCTAAGGGTTTTCAGACATGAAAAAATTAGAATTTGGAACTGCTTTCTATCATTCTTATTATCTTAATTTTACAAAAGTTAGCGCTTTTTTTCCCAATTGTTCTAATACATTCTAATCGTTAATCTCTTGATATAGAATTAGTCTTTAGTTTTAGTCAACTAACTCCATGGGAACATTAGTCCTTAAAATTCTGAACAGGGTAGTATTATACAGGTCATAGCCTGATGGATTCTTATCAGTCAGGTTAGACATGTTAAATGATCATAGGAGCCTTTGGATTTCACTCATTACCTCCTATGCTTTCTCTGTGCCACCAGGAAGCCCCGGCCAGCCGAAGTGAGCTCCAATGAGCTGGAAGTGGAGGAGGAAGACATCATTGAAGATGAGCACAGGAAGAGCCCAGATCAGCAGCCTGTGTTTGCTGCTCCCACTGGAATTAGTCAGCCTGTTAGCAAAGTGTTTGTTGAAAAAAATCGTGAGTTCGTCTTGTGATTTAAGTAATTTGAGAACATTCTTGCAATTAGAGGAAGCATTATTGTATCTAAAATCCAAATACTGTAGTATTGGGAAGAAATTTTCAAAATGTTTTCCAAGACAAAAATTATTTGGAAATAAATATACATGATAATTTTTCAACAGTGAATGCTGTTGTTGCTGTGCTAGTATATTTGGTTGAATTTTTTAATTCCATGGTGAGGGTGAAAAAGGTTTCAAAATATGCAGCTGAGCTTTTTTGACTTAATATTATCACAGTACCTTGTTAAGAAATTTTTACTTACAAAAAGTCTTTCAAGTGGAAGTTTTTCGCAGGTCGTTTGTGTTTTTCTGTTGTTTCATTTGGGTTTTTTTGGTCCCCAGAACACTGAGTAGTTTACCAAAGTGCTTTGCACATTGTTAACTTCATAGCCTGACCCACCAGGATGCACCCCTCTGACCAGAGGCATCCTATATCAGTGTAAAGTGACAAAGGGGAGGAAGTGGGGAGAAGACTTTTTCTAATGGAAATTTAGATGCTACAGCTTTTTAACACTAATAAGCATTAATGTAGAAATGATGGTGAAAGGAAACAGAGCTCTCTAAAACTGATTTCCTTATCCTTTCAGGGCGTTTTCAGGCAGCTGATCGTGCAGAATTGATTAAAACGACTGAAAATATCAATGTTCTTATGGATGTGAAGGCTTCATGGACTACTAGAGATGTTGCCCTCTCAGTGCACCGAAGTTTCAGGTGAAAGATAAATGTTCTGATGTAAATAAACATAAATCAGGGTTTGTTTTGGGTGTTTTTTTTTTTCTTCCCTCAATAACTAAGAAAGCTATATTGCAAAGATTCAGACAAAATCTCAATAGCAGGAGTTTGAGCTGATAACCAAAACTTTAGTCACCTACAGAAAAGTGTTAGAAAATAAGACTGACCCATCATGTGTATCACCAGAATAAAAACACCTGAATTCAGACAGTTTTCAAAGAAAAATCCTGGTTGGTGGGAAAGAGGGAGGAGCGAAATTGCACTGGGGGAATAAGCTTGTACATAATAGCAAAACCATTTTTTTTTTAATACGCAGTTGTGTTGTGATAGAGAGTGGGAAGGTTACAGCCGTTTTCTTCTGTGGTGTATTTTAGCTGGAAGCCTGGGCTTCCTGCTCAAAGCTTTTCCTTATCAATGAAGATACTGAAAAAATTGCCTTGGGGACAAGTTAGAATGTTTTGTAAGGGGCAGTGGTCTTGGGAAACTGCAGGCAGCTACAAGTTAAAGTATTTGATGCCTGTGGCTGTAATGAAGGGAAGGCAAAACATCTTTGTTTTCTTTAAGTGCTCAGGTTCTGGTGTGACGGGAGGAAACAGAACTCTTGCTTAGAATTTTTTTAACTAGATCATTAAAATCCCTCAGAAACAATCTCTGAAAGGCCTTGAAAAAGCAGGGTTGAACAGATGGATTCATAGGCCTTTTCTATCTGTAGCTAATTCAAGATGTTAAAACTGGTCTAATGTTCTTTCTTCCATTCAGGGTGTTGGGCCTCTTCACCCATGGCTTCCTTGCCGGTTATGCTGTATGGAACATTGTGGTTATCTACATTTTGGCAGGAAATGAGCTTTCTATGGTTTCTAACCTGCTTGAGCAGTATAAGACAATAGCATACCCAGCTCAAAGTTTGTTCTACTTTTTGCTGTCTATCAGTACAGTCTCAGCCTTTGACAGGTAAGATATATTTCTATTTGAAAGGTGTGTGTGTATATATATATATATATTTACATATATGATTTTCCTTTCACCTTTATATGGCACATTTTGATTTGCTGTTGATGATTCAATTGATATACTCAAAGAATGATTTTTCATATGGCTGACTAAACACAGAAGGGGTGTAGCTGTGCATCCAGACCTTTGGTATATGCATTTCTGTCCCGTGCTTGCACCCTACTTCAATGTACTGCTGCTGTTTGTGGGATCAGGAGGCAAAATAAATGTAAGAGCTGACCTGTTTTGTTGAGGTGGGACTGTGAAGAGGGGTGGAGAACAACAAATGTTTCTATCTGGTTCACTTTTCATATGAATCCATTGCCTAGTCAGGTTTGGAACATAGCTGAGTGAACAGTTTTCCTGGCTTAGCTGGGGCCTCTGCGTTACATATTGAGTGGGAATGGAAAGAAAGCAGCTCAAAAAAGATCATTAACTAAACTAGATTAATGGATGTTACAAATGTTTCTTTTAGTTACAAGTAGGATAAGCCAGGGGAGGAGTTGGTGCTATGAAAAAAATCGTGACCTTTTTCCCTCCAAGGGTGGCAGGGAGGAGTCCCAAGTTGCTCACATATGCTCCTGTAAGCAGTGTGAGCAGTTACATTAGCATGGACACTGAACTGAATGCAAGGATTAGGAGGGACAGAGATCTTCAGGTTCTCCCTGTTTCAGAAAGGTCTGCACTGTGAAACCTAATGAAACATCCTCCTTTGTTTTGGAATTGGCATAATGGGGACCAATGCCATGTGTGTAGGATGTAGTTGTACATTAAGGCACTGTAACAGAGGCAGAAAAAATACCTTGCAAAAAGTAAAAGTTAAAAAACTGTTAGAGGAGCAGTATCATTGTCTTTACTGGGCTATGTTAATGACTCTTGATTTTGTTATCAGGATTGATCTGGCAAAAGTATCAGTTGCACTGAGGGGCTTTCTTACCCTAGACCCAGCAGCACTAGCTTCTTTCTGTAAGTATTTTGAAGGGGGTAGGAAGCTGTCCAGAAAATATGGTAAATACTCTTTTTACTGAAATCTTCCTCCCAGGTTATTTTCCGCTTTAGAATAAATAACTTGCTCAGTAGTTGATAATAGCAAAGGCCATAAACACTTTGTTCCTTATCTTTTAAAGCATTTGCAATAGTAGCATTAGTGGCTGTTAGTGAGATAGTTCTTTTCCATTTCTGAATATAGAACACAAACCTAACAAAAAAAAAAGAATCACAATGCAAGCTTTGATGTAGCTCGTGGATTGCAACAGTGCAGAAACCAGATTATGATAGGTCAGGAGAATGTTAAAGAAAAACATATTAATTAAAGAAGACTATGATTGGAGGCAGTGGAGTGAAAGGAAAGAAAATGTAGTGATTAGTACCATGTCGTGATGAGACAGCATTTTTGGAGTTTACATCTGACACTACTAATTCAATTTCTTCCAGTGTACTTTGCTGCTCTTATCTTATCCTTAAGCCAGCAGATGACATGTGACAGAATCAACCTCTACACGCCACCTTCGGAAAATGGCAGTGTCTGGTAGGAAACAAGGAATTACTTTTGTAAATTATAACATAGCTCACTTAGGGACCCTTGTCCAACTGGCAGATTGAAGAGGTTGTACAAGATATGTAAAAAAGTATTGATGAAGGATTATATTTCTGAACCTGCCTTTGAGCTTGTCTTGAATGTTTGATATTTTCACTGAAAAATAAAATCTAAAGGATGTGTTTGGTTATATTGGTTGCAAGTCCGTTATACCTCAAACAAGAGTTAGAATGATGCTGGAAATGTCAACTGACAGGAACTTTAAAATCTCTTTTGCTTGAGAGTGGGACCCTACTGAGGTAACTATATTGGCTTCAAGGGCAGGACATTCTGTAGACTACCAACACTGAGTCTGCCACAGCGTGCAGGGGCTTAGCAGACACAGGTGGTATTTAAATATAAACCATTGTTTCATGTTAGGTGATCCCATCCAAAACTGTTGCTGTCTGAAGTACCTATTAATGGGCTCAAATTTTGGTAGCACCAATTTTTAAAGTAAACCAGGAGAAGTAGAGCAAAAGCATTTATGTGAAAATTTGCTGGTTTGGGCAGTTAGTTTTGGGGGGGGTGGGGGTGGGTGGAGGTTTAGAGTTTCTGTGGTTTTTGGTAATAATTCTCTTTACCGGGCCTTTGCAATGCAAGACCATCAATCTGGTTTAGCAAACTTGTTTTGATGTTACTCTGTTGCAATAATTGTTATAACTTCTGTGCACCATTCATGACTGGTGGTTTGATGTATCTTTCCCAGGACTGCAGGTACAGAGGCAGAAATTGTTCATTCATGGGTTGTGGTGAATCTTGTAGTGTCTGTTCTAGTTGGGACGAGTTGGATCTTCTTAAGTTCCCGACCAGAGCTAGACCACAGTGAAGGTAGGAAACATTGATAAGCAAAATGTTGTTTATTCAAGTTGCTAGGGTTTTTTTATCTGCTACATTTGGAGTTCAAGACAGGTCCTGAGAAATTTTGTGACTGAGGAAAAACAAGTATCTCCTAGCAACCTTGCAGAGCAAATGCTTCTTAGGATGCTGGTCTGTGTTTGGTATTATAAACATTAATTTAAAAAGAAAAGTTTTATTTGTCCTGTCTGAAGCAACATAAATTTTGAAACATTACAGAATGGCTCTTTACAATTAAGAGAAAAATAATTTAAGATACTTGACAGTATTTTAAATATTTGAAATGTATTTATTCTACTTGTGTCTTAGAAAATTCCCTAATGTTATTAATGTTCCTTCTGCAAGTGCTAAATGGGTTACAAGTTCAGTATAATTTTCAATAGTTTTGGGAACTCCCTAGCTTCGAAAAGTCAGATTTGTGCTTGCAGTACAGGACTTCAAATGAGGACTGCTTGTGCTGGTCCAGGCTGGAGGAGGGGTTAGCAAGTTCTTCTCATAGAAGAAATTTGGCTAGAAACTGGGCTTTGTTCCTTTTGTGTTCCACCTGGGATCCAAAAGGTGTGTCCTAACTCAGCGTTCCTGTCAAGTGCATGCAGCCTGTCACTTGAAGGTATGCTGTATATAAAAATCTTTAAGTTTCAACTTAAAAGTCAAAAAGTATCCTAAGAACACCATAAAGTGAAGCACAGATTTGTGTTTGGGAGGCTGAGGATTCAACATGCCTCTTCCATTTACTTTTGAATTTTAATGTGCAGGTGTCTATATTTCAGCTGGCTCCAGTTACTATGTTTATTTCTAATAAATCATTTAATGAGTTAAAAAACCCCAAATGACTAAGTGGCAGCCTTTACAGTCCTCAATGGTAAAATTTACAATAGATGCTTAAATCCTATTTAAAACCCATAAATAATAAAGATTTACTCAAGAATTTTACTCAGCTTTTGATAAAATTTTTTTATACTTACATGTGCCGACTAAGATTGGAAAACCACCTCAGAAATTTCTAGAGAAATTAATTAATACTTATTCCAAATAGCAGAGAAAGTTTGGTCTGCTAAGGATGGGTACACTAACTTGACACTGTGAGATATGGAGCAAAGACTTCTGAAAATGAACGAGTCTCTAAACAGAAGTCTTCCTTCCTGAGCCTGACAATGCCAAAACTTTAACAATCCCTCAGTCTAATTCAGAATTTTGTTTCAGTGTCCATGTTGAATGCACGATGATACTGCACATGATCAGCTGGTAACATTGTCACCAATTCTGCCAATTTTGGGGAGCAGCAATAGTTTTCTAAAAACATTGATGGCCCTTGTCATTACTGAGTTGTTGATAATATGATTGGGATGAAAAGCAAGAGGCTTGAGGGAATGCTGGGGTACTTCTCAGGAGTAATGGAAATGTATTCAGGTGAAAATTTTCAAAGAAAACATAATTCTTTCCTTTCTCTTTTAGATTTGATGTTTCATTCTGAAATTGAGGAATTTCCTCATGGAGATGTCATACCCAGAGTCCAGCCATAAGTGTGGAACAAGACTCAGCATATATTGTAGCTGTGACTGATGGCTCAACATGTTGTGTATTATACCTATGTATTATAATTTTCATAAAGAAAAAGATGTATTTTTATATTGTATATATTTAATGTTGATCTTTTTATGTGTTACAGTTTCCAAATGTGATTGACAACTTTTATACTTTTGCTTTTTATTTTACAAAGTAGATTATCTCTAGCGCATAAAGTCAAGGTGATTTTGTAAATACTGCTACCTACATAGCCAAAGACACTAGAGGGATGCAGAAGATCAGGTATTCAGTGCTTTTTTGACTGCTATACAGTCTTCAACAACCTGCTTTTGTTACCAATGAAAACAGCAGTTAGCTTAAATTATTTGGTTAAACATTTTCTAGAGATTTAAAAAAAATCTTACAACAGAAGTAGTCTAAGGAAAATTTATAACAAAACAGAGTTAGGAAACATAAACCCCACCAAGTTAGTAATCTTAAAATAATCTACATTTATTTGTCATAAAATATTTTTATAGAAGAAAGGATTAAATTGACAGGGATTTTGTTTAATAATCCATAAAAGAGGTTACTTTTAAAATCTTAATTTAGTTCTCTTGACAAAAAATCTTGATGATAACCAGTTCTTACAGGCTGATGTAGATACAAGACAAAGAAGTTTTAATGTTGCAACAGTTTGGCCAGTTAAATACATCATCTCATCAAACAGTGTTTTTGTGTTGCTAACAGGATGTATCTGTGACATGTAATTTCTCAACAGTCAGGAAGTGTAACTATTCCAAAGCCACTCACAAAGACAGTGTTCTGATTTCTCCTTATCTGGTATGGCAAGAGCTATCATTTTATTCACTGCTCTTTCTAAACAAATACGGATTTCATAGATGTTAAAAATGTTCCTACTCTTATGTATTCTGATGGAGATTGTTTTCCGCCAAATTGTTTTGTGTTAGGATAGAATGGGAAACTTCTTCCTAAAATTACAAGAAAATGCTTATTAAATCAACCCAAAAAGTCTGCAGCAACCCACCTTCTAAGCAGTGACATAGTAGTAATTGTGGCAGGTGATGGGTTTTGCTGACGAGAAGCAACATTCCTATTCCTTTATATTAAAGTGGCAAAATGAAAGTATTTCAGATGTGAATAAATACACATATATTGCAGGACAAAACAATCTCCTTAGTAGACACAGACAAGGTCTAGTTTGAAAGCCATTTATAAGGAAACATCACCTAAAGCCCAAAGCTTGTTTGTTTGTGTTACTTAGCATATATTGATTATGCCTTGTTTGATTCAATACGTGTGTCTGTGGGTGGTTGTAAAAGGGGTGCACTTGTCAAAGTCCACTGGAGAATTACTGAACTTTTTTTAGTAGTGAAGTTAAGAGTAGCCAGATAAGACTTGAAAGGAAATGTCAAAGAGCTCTCAGTGCTTTCTGTGCTAACTTTGTGCTGTTACCTGACTTGCTTCAAAACAAACATGGGAATGTGAATAACTAGGGCTGTTGCTGCCCTGTTGAGGACTTGTGTTCTCTTGTGTCCATTCAGCAAATTTAAGTTATTCAAAAATTCAGTGCTTGTGACATCTTTTAAATGCTGTGATAATCTTGGAAGGAAGGAAAAAGACATGTACAGGAATTAAAAGATGTTCCACAGCTGTTGGCTGCATTCTGAGGCATTCAGCTTGATGTGGGAAGGAGCCCTTAGCCTCTTTTGTAAAATTGCTGTGGCTCTTGTGTCTGTATTTTTGTGAAACTAAAGCTAAATTATGGCTGGCACTGCATTGTACATTAAAATGGAGAGATTTGGGGTGCTGGTCTCCTTCAGTTGTGCACTGGAGGTTCTTGCCGTGATTTGGCTGTAGGAGATGACGCATGAGATGGGAAATGTTCCCATGTTTGCCACCACACGTTCTGCTGATGTCGTGTGTTTGCTTGCAGAGTCACTGACCTTTTGAAGATGAGATTATTAATGGCATGGGTGCGTGACTTTTCTTTCATCTTGGTACGGTCAAAAGTTTAATTTTGCCCATAAAATACAGAGCTCAGCAGAAGTGTGCTAAGGCATCACATCAGTACAGAAAAAACTTGGATAACATCACTGCTTGATTTCTGACATTAACACTAGGAATTGGCCTTCCAACTATCCCTTAGACAAAGTGATGCCAGCCAAGAGCCACAGTCATTGTGAAATATAGTAGTTTTTATATGGTTGAGCAGGGATTGAATTCATGAACCTAATGGGATAAGTATTTCAAGCCAGGCTTGCCTTTCCAATGTATATTTTTAGGAGGGTCTGAGTATATCCATATTTAAATTAATGAGTTTTGAGGTTGCCATATAAAAAACACAGTAAATAAGTGATGGCTAATTATCTATTTTACGAAATACTTTTCATTCCGTTAAGCCTCAGAGTGGAATAAGAGTTTAAGTGAGCTTTTTCTTTTGTTTCTTGGATAGTATTAGAACAAGTTTACAAAATAGATGTTTAATTCTAGAACATGCAATGTTTGTAGAAGCCTTAACTGAAATGCCTTTGTGCATTTCCATATCATTATTTTTAAAGCGTTTGTGTTAATGAAAAATATTTTTCGGATATGTTGGTGCCAAGTTTTTGTTTTTACATATATTAAACAATTAAACAATTGCTGTAAACTACTTAGAAATGATGGTACTACTTTGTTTTATTTCCAGTTGTTTAGTCTGTTTAAAATAAATCAGTCTGTCTGAGGATTTGGGATGGGAGGCTTAGGGGCTGTCTGGGGCTGCTCCAGACTTGGGTGGACAAAGCCCCACGAAGCCTGATCAGAGGCTGGACTCCAAAGCTAAATTCTTTTAATTACTTAAATTGTTCTAGTAATTTAATGTTTTGTTAATTTCGACTTGGTTTAAACGTTCTCAAGGCAGTTTTCTCAACATGAAGCCAAGTGACAATTATTTGCAGAGCATCTCTTTAAAGTAGTTTTGGTATTGCTGAGGTAAACTTTAGGAGGGTTATGATTAGGTGATAATTACTCTCTTGCATATTTCCAGGAGAATTAATTTAAATGACTGAAGGCTTTGGGAGATCAGAGAAAATCATCAGGTAAATACCTACAGCTAAGCCCAAGTCTTACCTGTCTCTTCCTTTTTCCTCATAGCGGTGTGGAGGGTGCTATTGCATTCCCCGAGCGCCTGCGCTTGAAACTGCTGTGTAAGTCCACAGACACTTTGCAGAAAGGCTGGTTTTGGTGTTATTTCTGTACTATGCCCCCGGGGCTGCTCGCTCCCTTCACGGAGGGTAAGGAGGGGCCCCCAGCCTCGCACCTGAAATCCCCGCTTCTGGGGACAGGTGCTCTAGGGGATGTTTTTTCCTGTTGCGTGTCGCCCTCCCGTCCCCGGTACGTTTATTTGCCGAGTAGCTTGTCCGCTGCGGTCACCCCGCTCCCCCTCAGCCCTGCCCGTCCCTGTCACCCCGCTCCCCCTCAGCCCTGCCCGTCCCTGTCACCCCGCTCCCCCTCAGCCCTGCCCGTCCCGGTCACCCCGCTCCCCTCAGCCCTGCCCGTCCCGGTCACCCCGCTCCCCTCAGCCCTGCCCGTCCCTGTCACCCCGCTCCCCCTCAGCCCTGCCCGTCCCGGTCACCCCGCTCCCCCTCAGCCGTTTTCCCGCCCTGCCCTGGGCCGCCAGGGGGCGCTGGCGGGGCCGCCATGTCCGACTCGCCTGAGGGAAGCGGCCGCGCTGCCGTCGGTCGGTGATTTGTGGCGATGCGGTCTGAATGGGAAACGCACTCAAAAAGGAAAAATTCCCAGGTGATCCTACACACGCACTAAGCTGTTCGTTTTAATAATTCAGTATTTGAAATTTCTGTAGCCTTTTCTTCGAACTGTAGAAGTTGTAGAGCCCTCCTTAGCTGAGAGTTCCCTCCACGGTTTCCCTGTACTCTATTCAGTAAAATAGCTGCGGGAGCACGGCTATTCAGATGGACACAGGAGGGCCTCAAACAGTGATGCAGAGACAAAAAACAAGATCTTGCCGTGTATAAACATCCACACCCACTGTCAGATGTAATAGTTAATCCCCACAGTGAAAACAAACAGATTAATGTACTTGGGGGGGGGGGGCAGACCCTCTCCACCCCTTCTCACCCTAACCAACAAATAAAACTCAAAACAATCCCCTAAAAAATCCCAAAACAAATCAACCAACAATCACTTTTGGGGAAAAAAAATAAGAAAAAAAAAAAAAGGAGAAATAACTGTAAATTTTAAATTGTTAAAAAAACCTCACAGTAAAAGAGTAAGAACAAAGTCTGAAACAGTAAAATTCTTCCATTTGATATTCAAGCAGAGCACCTCTGTAGGCCACGGCTCACCAAACTGCCCAAAATGTGTCATTTTTCAAGTCCAGCACAAGGAAAAAGACAAGTTGCCAAAAACATCCTGACTGGAAGTCAAAAGAGAAGCAGCGTAGAGAAATGTGCATTACCATGCCACCAACATCTGGGTCAAATATTAATAAATATGCTATTTAGGAAGGAAAACCAAACTACTTTGTCCTCAAAACTAGTTTGAGGAAATCTAGTAATGTTGTAAAGAAAACTCACGGGAAATATGCTGAACCACGTTTTTCATCATCACATGCTGCAGGCTCCAAGGATTCAAAATCATGTGTTCTCCCATGATAAGGAAAACTTGAAGCAGAAAGAGGAGCAGGAAAAAGAGCATGACAGCCAGCCAAATATATCATTCCACAGGTCTCTGATGGCTACATCACATACTGTAGAACAATAGCCACCTCAAACCAGGAAAGCATTTAAAGAAAACTCAGCTAGAACTGACTTGACAGATTTCACATGAGCAAAAGGAAATCTGCTGGTAAGAATGTTTTTCTTTGTATGAAATGTGAGAATTAGAAAGATAATTGATATTGAATGTAGAACAAACAAACTTTGAAAATAAAATGTAGTAGATGAACTCAGAATTGATACTCTTGACCCATACGTTATATAAATTTTGACAAAACAGAGGAAAACCTCTGCATTCTGTCAGCAATCCATTCTCTATTGCAGATGGATTTCATGAGAGGACAACTGAATTCCATGAATCTGGGTATGTAGGTAAATCCAGTAATAATGGTGTATTCTATAACAATATCTAAAAATAAAACCACCACTTGATTGCAGCTAACTTCATATGGGTTTTTGGGGCATTTTCCCAGAAGTTTCTTTCAGATAGTGACTTTCAGATAAGAAACAAACATATATGTAACTAATTTATAGAGCAGAACGAGTTATTTACATCTGGGAATTATGGCAGTTTCCACAGGACCTGTTTAAACCTAATATTCTTTCCTTCATTGTATCTCAAGTTTCTGGATAGATTTAATTATGTTAAATACCAAATGTTATTCTGCTACCAGGTAATTAGTAGATGACCTCAACTGTCAGTGGTTTCTTTTTTTATAAACTCGTGTCTTTGCTTGTCTGTTACATCTGACTGTTTCATTTCACAGTATGGTTCTTAGAGTCCTTTGAGGTCTTTGCTGTAACGGGTACTGTTTCTGAATTTTAGTAGTTTTTCTTCATTCATACAGGATAGGGATGGCCATCATTAGGACAGGTCATTTCTGCTACCTTAGTTGTTTCAGAGGTTTATAAGACAAGCTAATATACTTTAGGAAAGCTACTTAATAGCATTAAAGGCAGGGTATGTAAGTCACCTACTTTGGTACCTGCCTCTTGTCAAGAGAGGTTCGGAACAATGGTTTTCAAATGTTTTCTCATGTTTTTACCCGTCCTCTAGGTTAAAATAGTACTTTCATAGCACTTGAAGAGAAGGAGAGGGGTAGGGAAAAGAGAGAGGTACAGTAAAACTCTGTAATTAAAAAAAAAAAATTATTTCTGTCCATCAAGCAGAAGAAACTGTTCTCTCATCAATGGGTATTTATTGCATTGAGACTCTTTAAAGTGAAGAATTCATGTCTCAGAGCAAGTTGATTCTGAGTAATGACTTTTTTTTTCTGTTCATCTATTCCATCATTCACAAACTGCTGAGACACTCAACAGCATTGAACATATATTCAGGATAATGTTAATTAACAGAAGTTTTCTATTATATAGATACTTATTTTACATAGTGCTAAATGCTAGCATAACAAAAGGTGGCTGCAAAAAAACCCACTTGTGTTATTTTCACAAGTATTTCAAAAGTAACCAGAGGCTATAGATTTCTGTTTCATCAGCCATGAGATTTTGTAAATGTATAGGTTTTATAAGCTCCTTTGAAGATACATTACATGAAGCCTAAATGCAAGATATTTGGAAATTTCAAGTCCAAGTTTAGTTCTAATTCACATGCTGATAACACATAGCATTGGTATGAGCAAGAGTAAACAAGTGCTCTGAAAAATACCACAACCCAACAAAAACTATAGTGCTTAAAACTGTCAGCTTGGAATCGAAAGTCTCTGCAACTTGAATCTTAACAATGCAGATCATGAACCTCAGACTTTGAAAACTTAACTATGCAAAAACTTCAGATTTTCAGAACAATTGTTTCCCAGATCATCTTTTCAGTGACAGGTAGTTGAAATCTTAATGACATGATTATGCATCTTCTTTCCTAATACTTATTTTGCATTATTCCTTAACAAAAAGCATCACAGTTAATGAGCAAAATTATATCAAACCTTTCAGTAAATATAATCCAGGGAGTATTTTCAAGTATTTCTGGTTAATTTAAGAAGTCACAGTGCCTCTTAATTGCTTTTGTTTGAAGCAGTAGTCCTAAGAGTAAAGACTTGTGCGCTTTTAACTTAAAAAAATTCTATTTGATTTTCTTCTTAATGTCAGTACAGAAATTGAAGAGTGTTTAGAATGTTTTTTTTCACAAAGAGGGCAGCAAAGTAACTCCACTGGGACACATAGTGGTTTGATAACTTTGTACTGACATTGGTATTAGTATCCAAGTTCATTTTTATAGAGTCCACGGCACTTATTGCAAGAGAAGCTTGAAAATACTAGCAGTTAAGCTGCCTGGAATTTTCTACAGGTTTTAATAGTAGTAATATTTATTCAGAGGTCTTTAATTAAAATATATAGAACGCATTTAAATGCGTGTTCTCACTTACTTGACTTGGTTTTTACATGTACTGTTAGTCAAAAGTTGCTTGTTACAAAAGGTACATTAGATGCTATCAAATGTATTTGACTTGCAAATAGTAAAAATCTGTAATGGTTAAGAATTCGGAACATAGGGTTCACAAGAAAATAGTATCTTCTCCAAGAGTACTCATTTAAGTTATTAATAGTTTTAAATCAGAATAATTTTCTAGTTTCAACAACTATTTCCTTACCTAATGATTGACATAAATATGACCTTTTTTTCCTGTAGTAACAAGAAGCTATCAGTATGGCTGGACTATGGTGAAAACAGAAGTCCAAGAATTACAGATATAAATGGAGGCAGATAAAGTAAGTTTATTAACAAGTCTTTAATCTCAAGTTTCACGTGTTAAGTTTAGAAATATACAGCTTTCTTCACAGCATAATGAGTAGAATCAACTTTTTTGTTGACACTTTTATGTGGTCATGTAGAATTTTGTGTGTCTCTCAGGCTTGTATTTCAGTCATTTGGTCTTCAACCAAGCGAAGCTGCTGGCAATGCAGTGGTATTCTCAAAGTTGGCTACAGGCCTGCTCAGCTATGGAGGACTTGAAGACTTATGTGGAATATTGTTTATGATGAAAATTTAGAATATATCCATCCAGTATCTATTTATACTTTTATTGCCACCACCGTGCTTCCATTAATAAAGTACTAGTAGCTTTGGGATACACCTCTTCCTACAACACGAGAATATCCAGGTTTTTAAAAGAAAAAAGCTGCTTTTCTTCAGTTTGAGTTGAGAATTTACTGAATTGTTGGGAGAAGGCAGCTTTTCATCTGACTTAGAACAGGTAAATTCACTAGGATCCTAGGGGGGTGTTAGGTCCTTAGTATGGCTGAATTGATCCATGAGAATTTAACTTGCCTTGCAGAAGAGGCTGGTTTGCCAGCACCAGTGCCAGTGAAGCTTAATACATTTTGCCTTTTCTTCTAAGAAAATAGTATTAGGTTCTGGTAAATTCTGGTGGTGAACAGGAATACAGTATAAATAAAAATATGTACAGTAACTTTAGATTATTTAATATGACCCTTCAAAATTAACCCGTACCCACTAGAACTTGAGACTTACTTTGCATAGTGAGACGTCCTCAGATTAACTGCTAAAATGACACAACAATAAACTGAGGTGCAAAAGCCCAGATTCGTACTGAGAATGTGAACAGATGCAAGAGCAGGAGTCCCACATCCAAGAAGCTTAATGTCTTTGGGAAACATGCAGTATTGAAACTGCATGGAGGCATAGCTAACTTTTGGCAAATATGACAGCATGTCAAATGGGAAAAATGTCTTTTGAGAGAGAAACATTTATTTACATAAGCAACTAATCTGTGCAGTTTCACATTTCAACTCGGAAGTGGAGGATTTCTCCTTACTAAAATGATTTAGGTCATAATGAAAAGACAAATAGATGTTTAGGTAAGATCACAGACAAAGCCCAGGCCTGAATTCAGAAAGGCATGTGGACTGCAGCACTATGAGCTAGTAATACAGTACAGAGTAAGATTACAGCAGGAACTCTCTTGTCAAGAGAGACTTTGAAAGAGAGAGGTGAGCACTCAGCCATTCTTTATACACAGTTTTCCTTAAAGTCGGAGAGTGAGGCACGCTGCATTTTGTGATGCCAAGAGGAAGTTAATGAATTAAAGCCACTTCATGGCATTTCAAGTATACTCGGTCTAACTGTATTTTAACCATACAAAAGCAGCAAATACAAATCACATTTTCCTTCTCTGAAACACTGGAGAGGTATCATTAGTATTTATTTAGAATTCCCAGTCTGTATCATCTTGATTTGTAGCAATACATCCAAGTTCAGTCCCAACTGCTGTTGAGGGCAGTGCCAAGAACTCTGATCTGTTATTTTGAATAGGAGGTGGTAATAGGGACAGTAGTGAATTCTGTGTTTGTTCCTTTATCTACAAAGAAAAAAAGTTAAAATAAAGCTGCACATAAAAGTCTCCACAACTTTGCAATGGACTTCATTAAAAGCATGAAATCAGAGCCATATTCTTGCATGTTACAATACTGAAAGTCAAAGGATGAGAGGTTTTGCTTTTACCACTCTATTAACAGTCTTTCAAGACTAATGAAATTAGCTGTGCAGTTCTGCTTTAAATTAAAAATATTAACCATTTTTAAAATTAGTTAGGCTGCCTTTAGTTAAGTTAAATCAACTTTATCAATGGGGAAACTGATTAATCTTATGCTTCCTATACTCTATCAATACCATTTTGTTAAAAAAAAAATCTGAAGTAAGTATGCTCTTACAGGATGCTTTTTGGCTCCAGGTAATTTCATTATTTTGTAATCTATCTCTTTTTGTGGCTTACTTAGGTTACAGCTATGTCATTTAACAAAATATAGTAAACTCACCTGTTTGAAGAACGTATGCGAAAGCAAACTGCTTGCTGATGGCCTGAATCATAAAATGAACAATATAATTATTTTTGGAAAGTAAAATACTGCATTTGGATAAAGGGCCAGACTGACAAATAAATTAAAGCCCTGTGGTCTTTCCTCCACGGGACAAATGTGATGAATGAGAAAAGCAGTGCACAATTCCTACGTTTTATGCCTCAATTTGTTGTGCAAGTGCTACTGAAGAAATCTATTTTTATAGGCCTTTTCATGTTTCCTTTTTAGTAATTTATTGCCTCATTCAAAAGAGACATAGAACTGAAAACATATAGTTCAGATTTCTGGTTTTTTTTCTTGGACAAAGTTCATGTTTGAAGTTAATTTTACTTGTTACAAAGCAGGGCTCAAATGACTTTAAAAGTTTGATTCCTTTATCAGACAAGACAGTTCTTAAAATACAAATGTAAGTGCATTGTTTTACATAGTACATCTGCTCTGAAATTCTGACTCTAACAGCACTCAACTGATTACTGTATGCTAAACCGTGGCCTATACTTGGTCTTAGTGACAAAAAAACTAGTTTTCACCAGAATGTTACCTTTTCTCAGGGTCCTGTTGCAAGCAAAGTTCTACCAAGTTGTGGAAAGCAGGTGAAAATGTTTTGGAAAAGGGCATTTGAAGTCTTTCACTGGTCATTGTGCGTGTCATGCTCTCACCAATTCCAGAATCAACACCTGATCGGGAATTCTTCATCCTGGATTCCCCCCGGGGAAAGGTATTTATATCCCAAGGACAGTAGGTGGGACCTTTCAGCTTTTGCAGCAGCATCTAGTGGGAAGGAATAGCAGTATGAGAGTTCAACAGCTATCCAGACCTGTTCAGGGTAAGCTGTGAAACTCCAGGGATGGAAGGATTATTTGTTCAAGAAAGAGGCATGCATATTTGAAGTAACAAAAGGCAGCCACCATTTCAGCAGTAATAGCACTGGTTTCTCTGAATAAAACAAAACAAAATGCTCAGCCCGGTTTTAACTAGAAATAAAGCATTGTACCTGAGTGCGAGGCATATCTTGAAATGGAACATGTCCATTGGCTAATTCACATGCTGTAATTCCCACACTGTAAATGTCAGACTTCATGTTATAGCCAGATAAATCCTGTGAGAGAAGGAAGGCACTAGTGATTACTGAGGCCATTGATCAGTGCCAACAAGAATACAAGTGCCTGCTTCAAAACAAGATTCTAATACCCCATAACCTACACACTATTGAAGAAATTAAACTGTGAAACCTCAGACTTTTTTCAGAAATCTGATGGCTGTACAAGTTTCAGGATTTGCAGTAGTTTCCAGGAGGTTAGGGTAAAGAGATTAAGTACATCATCACCTTACCAACAGCTTTAGAACTGGTTCTCTCTAGAAGAATTAAAAATTCAGTATGTACATGTGTTTTTAAAAGTTGCAGTTCAACATCTTTCATTGCAGTTCTATAAGCAGACTTAAGTTGGAAATTGAATACTGCTATTAACTTTGAATAGTAAAAGTTATGTATAATTTATACTAACCTGTCTCAGTAGTTCAGGACTCAGCCAAGGAAGCACAGATGTACTAAACTGGGGGAAATCATACACCACCTTTGACTTCTGTCCATTACTAACTAAACTGTAGAGGTTGTTTAGGCCAGAGAGAGAAACCAGCCCATCCTCTGAAATCAGAATGTGGCTAGCTTTAATATTCCTGTAACATAAAGTGGGAAATTTTAGTTATAAGAATTACTCAAAGCACTACTAGAACAGAAAGGCTTTCATATTTCATTGACTTATAGTGAGATGCTAGCATGGAGTTCATGTCTCTCTAAATAGACATGATCAGGAAAAAAGTGTCAGAAATTGGAGAAGGGCCCTTCTTCCCTGCAAGGGGTAAACTAAGAAAGGCCTTTCTATAACTCTGCTTCATAGAGATAAAGCCAGGCAGATGTATAATCCCTCTAATAACTGGCTTGAAGAAATGTATAAATACATTTCTTGTTAAAATTTTACAAACTTAGTTCTGCTGTATTATTGAAAAAATTGGTACTTGTGCACTGTCTGATAGAAGAAGGCACACAGGAAAAACAAGGAAAGAATACTTAAAGTAAGATGCTGGTTCTGGTTCTTACCTATTGACATTCTCCTACCTGTGAATATATCCATTCTGGTGCATGTAATTTAATCCTCTGATTGCACCAAACAGAATGTTCCCTATCAAAGCTTCACTCATTCCTTCAGGAAAGTAAGTCTTCAGCAGGTGTCTAGCTGAACCTGGAAGTGAGAAGAACCTAGCTAGGCCTAACAAGTCTTGTTAAATTACTTGTCTATGCTTCCTTCACTGTATACACCCATTAAGAGCAGCATTCTCATCTTTATATTGACTCTGGAGCATTATTACATGGATGTAACTGATGCCCCATGCCATGTTTCTGTTAACTGGAAGTCTGTACCCAACCTGTATTCAATGTAAATAGGTCTTCTGTTAGCAGAAATTGTAAAGCCAAACACATCTTCCATTTACCATTCCTCATATGGTGGGTGCTAGGACTAAGTGGAATTTAATGCAGTTCAAATACCAGTTTTCACTGGGGAGGAAATCTTCTCTAAACAAATGGTTTGGGAGAGTTTGCTGTTTCTACAAGACAGGAGAGGATTAAAGAGAAACCTCTCACGGACCATGTGGTCCAACTTGTATCAGCCCTTTTTCCTATTCCAAAAGTGCAGTTAACAGTTCTTACCATAGGCCATGAATGGGGAGATGACCCAAAGCCAGCTTCCAGCTGTAAACACTGTCCAAAATGTCATTATGTTGGGATGCTGGAAAAAGTGCGATAAAACCACCTCATTCTATGGAATTAAAGGAAAGTGGATGTGTTAACCACAGAACAGCAGTCCTACCAGGAGCATTAACTACATCAGTAATCAGTAAAGAGAACTATTTCTTTGCATTTATACATGATTGCAGGTGATGTGCATAGCCTGCAATAGAAATGTTAATCGCTTGCCCATAATTGCATTTGTCTGAAGTAAATCTAGTTTGTTCATAGTCCAAACTTTTGGTATTAAATAACAGCACAGAATATGTTCCAAATAAGTTGTACAATTACAGAAGTATTTCTAAAGCAATAGTCAGCTGCCATCTTCAGAAAGCAACTCTCAAATTTACACATGCATTGTGTTTATTATATTCTACTCCTTTGGAGGGAAAAACTTGACTGAAATGACCCAGTGCAAACAAAGGCTACCTTTATTCAGTAATCTCATAAGTATTCCTCACTATCTTCATTGGGCTTTGTGCAGAAATGCTGTTCCTTTACCTGTAAGGCTTTCAAGTGCTCTTCAGAACAATTTTCAAGGTCTGTGATCCTTACAGCAACTTGCCTGTCTGTAGGTGTATGCCGTGCAAGGTAGACTGAAGTTAAATTGTTGAACCTCCTTCCTGAAACCAGAAATGGCTACCTTCACATTGGAAAGCATAATAATCCATCACATGGTTCCTTCATAATTTTCAGATCGTTTTCCAGTTTGAAAATTGCAATTGATAGCAGTGTGTTCTTTTCTTTCAGAATGCCAAGACTTTAAGTAATTGCAGCAAAAAGTATATGCAGCAAATTAGTTGTAAGCATGGCTCTGCTATTTTGAGAGCAACTGAAAGTGTTTGAACATACGTCAGCATCGATTATACATCTAATGAACAACACTTAGTATGCATGTTCACATAAACATATGCATGCATAGTAGGATCTAAGGCAGCCATCCTTAGAAAAATCAACTTGGGTAGCCAAGTCACAAGACATGATGTTACTTAAGGCTGTATTTACTGTCACATACCACAGATTTTGAAAACTGACATGTACATGCACAAACATCAAGAGATAATTTCAGGTAATTGTTGATTTGTCTTAGATCTTGAAATAAGAGATTACTAAAATATGAGCAACGCTCTGCACTTCTTTCAGCTAAGGAGACACAAGAATAGTCCTTCATTTTCCAAACGTAGTATTTACTACAGTTAGCAATAAACTATTGATAGCAGGAAGAAGAAATATTTTAAGGTCCATTTATGTTACCTATTTCCAGCTGGAGTTCATAATGAGAGACATTAGAAGAGCAAAATACCATTTCATTCTTTCCTGTAGATGGGGGAATCCAGGCTAGATCAGAATCAGCCTAACAGAGAGAAGAAACACTTCTCAAAATTACTATGTAATTTTTGTTTATATTTTTTAATTTATTCAAAGATATTATTAATGTTAAAGTCCAGTACTCATTCAAGCTGGAACTTTTACCAAGCCTTAGTTTTATGAGTTACAAGTTTTGTGTTTGTGCTTGTTTTCAAAATGGCACAAGATTAACACTTAGATATCTATAGTCTTCTACCAAAATGGAAGCCCCAAAGTACTCTGTTTATTTTTGTTGTCAACCTTTTAAGAAGTACCCTCTAATTAGGCTATTTTTAATATGCACCAGCTTTATATTTAACCTTGAGAGTTAAAGTTTCTATTCTTACCAGGCATTCATGGATGCTGCTCTGAGATAGCTCTTCTGGTCTGATTGATTCAACTGGTGTACGCAGAATACAGGAGCAGTCCTTGAGAACAGAAACAAGTGAATGTTGGTGGAGTTGCTGCAATTTATTAAATATGGCAGTGCAAAAATGTAGAAGAGTAGGCTTTATAAGTAGCAGTTCAGAAAGTCTTCTGCTACAAGTCAGCCAATCAAGGGGTTAACAAACAGCATAAAGCACATGGCAGATCTAGAGAGAAGAGACACTAAAGTCTCCTTCACCAAAAGCTGACAGAATGATCTCATCACTCTAGAAATCCCCTCAAGCAAGACATTTTACCAGGGCTTTTCATATTAAGGTACAGCTGGGTTACAAGGTACAACGGCCAAAATTTCTAAGACAAACTTACCAAACAAGACATGGAACCGCTTTAGATCAAGGGAAAAGTCATACACACCCATTTATTCTAGAAAAAAAAAAGTAGCAAAGTAAGATGATACATAAACCTGTGATAAACTTAAATCTCCTTAGTCAGAGCTGTGAGCCATTCCTGTCAGCTATCATACACAAAACCCCAGAACTTCAGCTCAGGGAATGTCTGCTTCTATTTAAGTAGCGTATCAATTTTAAACTCCATACTGAGTGCTACATGTCAACTCAAGTGTTCATTTTTAATTTATGAGTTTAGAAATTTTATTGCCAGTTCTGAACAGACAATTTAATTGCAAGTTAACTGCACAAGTGCAAAAAGTAAAAAAGAACGGACTCATGAATCCTTGGCAGTTTGTAGGAAAAGAAATCGTTGTTTTAAAGGAGCACAGCTGTGCTAGGCAGATCTTGGCTTGGCTGTGTGCAGCTGAACTAGCTCTCAAAAAAAAAGCAAGGCAGAAGCAATTGCACTTCTATTTCACAAGTGAAAGAAAATACTATTGTAAAGATTTCAGTTAAAAAAAAAAGAGAAGCAACTCCCTCACAGATCAGAGTAGCCTCTCTGAGAGTCCTCTAGCAGACTTACTTTATGTCTGATGCTTTTAAAGCTTAGGCAGTGAGAGAGATGTCTAGTAAGCATATCAAAGCTTCTGTAAGTACAGAATGGGACTATTTCACCTTAGCTATAAGCAAGTCTTCAACAGTAGAATCATTAAGGTTGGAAAAGACCTCAAAGATCACAGAGTCCAACCATTAACCTAACACTGCCAGGCCCACCATTAAACCAACTTAAGCACCACATCTACATTTTTGAACACTACTAGGGAAGGTGATTCCACCACTTCTTTGGACAGCCTGTTCTTGACAACCCTTTCAGTGAAGACAATTTCCCTAACATCCAATCCAAATCTCCCTTGGTGCAACTTGAGGCCAGTTACTGTCATCCTATCTCTTGTTACATGGGAGAAGAGGCCAACTCCCACCTCACTATAACCTCCTTTCAGGTAATTGTAGAGTAAGAAGGTCTCCCTGAGCCTCCTCTTCTCCAGGCTAAACTCCTTCAGCCACTCCTTGTAATACTTGTGCTCCAGACCTTTCACCAGCTCTGCTGCCCTTCTCGGAACACCCTCTGGTGCATCAATGTCTTTCTTCTTGTGTAGGGCTCAAAACTGAACGCAGTACTTGAGATGAGAACTGGCCTCACCAGTGAGTATAGAGGAACAATTACTTCCCAGGTCCTGCTGGCCACACTATTGCTGACACAAACCAGGATGCCACTGGCCTTGGCCATCTGGGCACAGTGCTGGCTCATGTTCAGCCAGCTGCCAAACAGCAACCCCAGGTCCTTTTCTGATAGGCAGCCTTCGAGCCACCATGAGGAATCCTACTTGGTGGCTGATAACAAGTCGGCTACAGGAAGTAGTTCCATATTAATATGCAATTTTTGTATGAAAGTTAACTTATAAAAGCTGAAGTACTATACCAGAAACTGACAATTTTGTTTATTAAGGAGCTAATCTTGGGTATATCCTGCATTTAAATTATGTACGCTACTTAATCAAGGGAGCAATCTTGAAAAGCTAACTCCATTCACAGACAAAAATCCATGCCATTCGAGTTACATTTTTACTCGGAACATCCACTTGGAGATCTGCCGTAATTCCTTATTAGAGATACTAAAGGGAGACAAATGTCGATCCCTAGCAGGTACTGGGCACCTTCAGAAGATGAGCGCTTGACTTAAACAACTTCACTGAGGAAGTTTGTAGCAGAGTAGAAAAAAAAATCATGCAGGGGCTTCAAGATACTGCCCAGCACTGTAATGACTCTACAGCATCCTTCTCCCACCTGGAGAGAATATGCCTTTCTGCTACACAAGACAATTTATTCTGCTGCTTGCAATATGAAACAACAAAAAAGCTAAGCAAAAGAATAAGGTTTTAATAACTATGATATACCAAAGTCGAATTATTGTAGACTTAGTTCAAAGATGTATAGCCAGCCAACAAAAACATCCGTGATTCACATTTAATCAAATAAGACTACAATTTTAAGATTTTTATTTTTTTTCTTATGTAGCTTGACATTGTTTCCGTTTTTCAATACGGCTTTGGATCATCTCACATAAACCTGTCCCCACATTTTTCCTTCTGTATCGCAGAAGTACTATAGTTGGTACTATAGTTAGTGACAGCGTTGTATAGGTAAAACGATACATTCATCGCACTTTGGCCAAAGCGAACAGTGTAGAGCAGGAAAAAAACACAGCAACCTGTGCTGTGAGCTAGGGGAGTGTGAAGGTTCCGGAGCGCAGCCCCGGTACCGGGAACGCGCGTTATGGGTTCTGCTGACGCTGAGCTGCAGCTCCTACTTCAGCGTTCGCAATGACTGAGGCAGCTCTCGGTCGTGTATCTCGAGTGAAGTGATCCGTCCGTGACAAAGCACCGGAATGTGCGGAAGGACGCCCCGCAGGCTCCCCCGCAGTTCCTCACTCGTTCTGTTAAGTTCGTACCTCGCCTTCCTGGCTGGGCCCCCGCCTCCCTCTGGCCTCCCGTGGCGGTCGGGACAGGGCTCCGCTCCCCGCAGCCGCCTCCCGAGCTCGGTGTGCGCCGCTCCCTCTCCCCGGCCCGCCCGGCTTTCCCCGCAGCGAGGCAGAGGGCGCGGCCAGCGCGGAGCCTCGGCGCAGCCGAGAAGCCTTAAGGGGCGGCAGCTCCCGTTCCTGCCCGCCGGAGTCAGGGCCGGGGGCCGGCGCCGCCGCCGCGCCGCCCGCCAGAACCCCGCCCCGCTCCCGGCCCCGCCGAGCCCAGCGGCGGGGGCCGCCCGCACCACGCCGCCCGGCGCATTGTGGGGCTCGTCACTAGCGGTGGCCCGCCGGGGGCTGTAGTTCTGGGCGGCAGCCAAGCGGAAGCCATCGGGGCCCTTCCTCAGTCGCCGCTGTGTTGCACGCGGGGCTGGCGGGAAGGAGCGGTACCGGAGGGAGCGCAGCGTGGGGCGGGTAAGCGAGAGCTCGGTGCCGGCCCGGCGCCGCTCTGCAACCTCACGGGCGACGGCACGCTCCGTGCCTCACACCCCTGCAGGGGTTAACCCTCCCTCCTCTCGCCCCGGGGGCCGTTCCCCGCCGGGCCGCGGCACCACCCGGGCTGGGAGGTGCGGCGGGCCGCGCTGGGCGAGCGGCGGCTTCCCTGCGGCTGCTTGGGGTCGGAGCGCGGGGCCCGAGCGTGAGGCGGTGTCCGGGGCTGGCCCCGCGCTCCCGGGCGGACAAGGAATTCCAGTGCCTGTCCGGGTTGGCAGCTGACAGGACTCTTTTGGCGGTGGTGATGCTCTCATGTAACGTAGCGCTGTGTTGAGCTCCGTCTGTTCGGTGTAAGCGGGGGCGGCGGTGCCCGAAGGCGGTGCCCGGGGTGACCTTCAGCGGCCCGGGGTGCCCGTCACCGAGCGGGCTCCCTGGAGGGTCGTGTCACCGCGAACACGAGGCAGCCCGCCGTGACGTATCAGTTGTTGTTCTTCTTGTTCGTGGAAGGCAAGGAAATTTTGGCTTTTAGCAACTTCTTAATCACATTGTTACATTTTTATCAGCTGATTAAAGTGAAGTACGAGTATCTGTCAGTAAATGTCATTTACTGTCTACCATGCTAGTGGAGAAATATATGTGGAGTGGCATGCTCATATTTTTATCTTTAGTGCAATCTTCAGCTGTTGCAGAGGTGCCTAATTCTTAGTTATGTTTCACGGTTATTGTTGACTGATTATGACAGTCTGATGCAGATATTTGATATACAAATAAATAACTTAAAGCATCATTAGAAAGTGACAGTCGATTTTAGGTTTGTTTTCAGATACTTGTTTTCTTTCAAAATATGTAGTTCTTAGTAAAAATAGACAGAACTTCTTTTAATTACACTTCTGACGCTGAACATAAATTGAAAAAAAGTATTTTCCAATGCATTTTTCAACTCTGTAGTGGCAGTGTGATTTTTAGAGCTGTATCTGTTTATCGAATTTCTGTTATGAGTATCTGAAAATGTAGTTTGAAGAGCATTGGAAAACCACAGACTTTCCTGAGGGTGGTTTGCCTCTAATAGTGGGCTTCCGGAATTAATATTATGCAGTAGAAGTGCTGTCTTTCAGAAATGATAATCATGATTTGTTGATTAGATTTCCAAGAAGACAAATACAGCATTTCACAGAGATGGCTACAAAAAAGAAGACATCCTTTTTTCTGGTTTGATTGCTAGTGATATTGTGGTGACTGAGTCTTATAGAACACTTTGGTTAATTCTGATACAGAATTATAACTTAAAATGCTGAGCACTGGCTGGGGTATAGGTCAAGAAACTGAAACTACTTTTTTAGGTGATCAGCCGTGCATCCATTGAAAGTGTTAGTGATTTCAGTTAAATGTTATTCAAGTTCCCTTCAAGTATACTTTACAGAAAAGAAGCTTGAGTTTTTAAAAAAACTGATTACAGCCTTTATAATGAAATATTAGTAGAGAACTTAGCAGAATGAGGCATTAGCAAAATGCCTTGAGCATTTATTTTATTTTATACTCTAACAAATAGGCAATTCATGATAGTTCTTGATTCCTTTGAGATCATAGCATTACCAAATATATACCTAATTTCTTCTGAAAAAATGAAAATTTGCAAGAAAAGATTCATACAGGTGGTATTCATGTTTTGCAATGTTTATACAATATGCAATATTTTGATTGTGCATTTACAGAAAAAAATTAGGAATTAATAAAGCATAGTGTGTGTCTTTAACATAGGTAACACTCATAGTTTCAGGCTAAGGGAGCAATTAGGCATTTGCTGTTTTTTCATTGTATTAAGGGTGATGTAGAAAACCTCCAAATATGTAGGACTTAAATAAATCTTAACTATCAAGCTGCATTCAACAGTATGCATGTATACATGTCCATAAAGCACATATACATGTACTTACAGGTAAATGTTGCCACTTTGGAGAACATGAGCTGTTACAAGTGACAGACGAGACTGAGTGAGCCTGGTTTGGCAGATTTAGATAAAATGGGATGAGGGAATGTTGTGGCTGGCTTCAGATCCCCATGCGATTCATCATCCTCCAGGAGGTGTTCTCCAGCTTCCCCTCTGAAGCCTTCCTCTATCCCAAAAGAAAAACAATTCAGAAGATGGGGAGGGATCTTTTGTTTGTTTTCTTGCCGTTTCTTCTTATACCATTTTTTAATGATTGAAAGTCCATTGCAAGGTTGTTTATGATTATTACTGTTATTTTTAGGATTGTGTTGGCCTACTCTTAAATATTTTTTCCTTACTTGAGAGAAACAAAAGCACTTAGTAGATTTCTGCAGGGATCATATTGGCTGAAAATAACAGGAGCTAGGCACAAAGCAAATGTTAATTGTGATAGGCAAACTTTGTGTTCACATGGATTTTTTTTTTCAGTTGATAATCCTTTGTCCTTCATCTGCTGCTGGATGGTGTTGAAGAATTTTGGCCTCTGTTTCTGAGCACTAGTCCCAGGAATGTTTTGGCAGCAATTCAGTGTGGTCATGTTTGCTATAAGAATAGAACTGTTTAATTAACCTTGAAATTTAGAGTATGTTGATTGCTATTAGCTGGCTTGACAGCATTCCAATTTTAGCAATGGAAAAAGTACTGTGTTAATGACTTGATACAATTTTTTTAATTGCATACTTAGGTGGCAGTAAAATTTGGCATCCGAGAATAATACACTTGTTTACTTGGCTTGGTTTTGGAAAGTGGATGTTGTCTTCTCTCTTAGACAAGTTAAAATATTCTTTGTTGTTAGAATCTTCTTTGTTGTCAAAATTCTGTTTGTGTTACTTGTGGCCTAATCTCTTGCATCCTGGAATTGTACAGAGGAGCAGACCTAGTTTAGTCTTTCCAAGTACTTGTGGGGAGTCAGCTGCTCTCAACAAATGAAAAAACAGCAGGAATACAGTTTATTTATGTTCAAGTTTGGATATTGTCAGTATAGATGCCAATATTTTGCATACTTTTTTTCTTTTTGTGCACAAAGAAATAAAACATGCAGCTGTCTATGGTTTCCAGTTGTAAAGCAACTCCCTCACCTTTCTTGTAACTCAGATTTGAATTAGAGTTCCCTAGTGTTAGAATGTCTTCAGAATTATATTCTATCTTGAGGTGCCCCAACTCTTTCTGCATTCATCTGAAATTGCTCAAAGTGATACTTACAAAGACAAGAACAATTTTTTAATGCTTTATAACTATTTGATCTTTCTCTAAGACTTTAGTCAGTATTGCTTTTTCAAGTTAATCTTCACTAGGGTCTTGTAACTCGCTAAAGGAAAAATTTGTAAAATCTCTTTATAGCACCTTGGATTCTCTAGGAGAGATACAAAAGTGTGTGGGAATCGTTCCCACTTGTACAAGAAGTGTGCTAGATGTACCCCAGGTTTTAGTTCACTGTTTGGAGCCAAATAATAGCTGAAATGTGAGACACACATTGGGGAGTAAAATCTAGAGAGTACAGAAATACTGAGATACATAGGTATGTATGTACATATGTATGTATATAAAATGTTGTCTGATACTTCCATCTCTCATGAACCTTCCTTGAAGAAAGCCTTCTGAGAGCACCACCACTGCATATGGGTTGTTCTCCATTATTTTAATTTCCCTTGTTTTTTCCATGTTCAATTAACCTATTAGTAAAAGAAGCAAACATCATGGGGAAATTTGCCTGTGAGGGAGTAGAGGTACTAAACTAAAAAGATGTATAATTAATATAGTAAATTGACAGTGGAAATAATCTTTATAAATAAAGATTAAAATCAATACCTGAGAAAGTTTTCTGACTTCTCTTTTGGACACGTCCTTCTGCACAATTTAAAAGCCATATACATTTTATGGGTTTTGTTTAAATGTATTTAATTATAATTGTGACTTGCAGGAGGAATCTGCAGTTAGGAAATAGTTTTATAGCTGCGGTGCGGAAGGATCATGGAATCACTTTCAGGGTGGAACTGCCCAGTGCTTGAATTTCTACACAACTTGCCCCATGGTACAGGAAACTAAAGCTATGAGAAGCGCTGGAAATGCAGGCATTAACTTTTATGGTGTTTGCTTATCTAGTAAACTTCTCAAAGGTTTTACAAATGAGTTTGCCCTTTCAATTCAATAGATTGATGTTGGCCTGGTGCTCTAGAAAACATTTAGCCAAATCACCTTTTTTTTTTCGCTCTTTGACTGAACTGAGATTGACCTGCAACAAATAGTGCTTCTGCTTTGCACTCAGAAGAGAGGTTAAAACCAGTCTTGAGAAGTAGCAGCATTCATTTTTACATTTTTAAAACTCAGAGAAAAAAGATTGAGTTACTATGCTGCTGCACTTTCTCTAGCTGTATAGTGACTCTTCTTATTACAAAATAAAGTTATTTGCATGTGTGGATCTACAGCAGTCTTCTTAAATGTCTTTTGTTATGCTCTATTAAGTTGTTTTAGAGAAGGGGGTAAGTATAGTTCATGCTTTTCAGCAATCCATTTAAAAAACAGCCTCTAGAAAAAAAACATAAAAACTGCTAGAAGCATCTGTACATTCAGATAGAAAATGTTTATGAAATCTCAAGTATTTCTTTTTTATTAAGTGTTTAATATGCATGATAAATAATTACAACTGATAAGCAGAGTACATACATATAGAAATGAATGACAAAACAAGAATATACTGCTCACAAGTATGAGCTGACCTTAATGGAAGAAAGTTCTTTTTTGATCTCCTGCCAAAGTCTACAAGCAGATGAACTGGCAGGCTCCAGGCTTGCTTTAAAAAACTCCTGCACTGTCCATTTTAATCTTGTCAAATGAGAGGTTGCTACAGACAGCAAAACAAACCTTTGATTGTTGTGTTTGATGATTGGAGATCTTGGGGAAACTGTTAAGAGCAAATTTTAAATTCATGAAAGATTTAAAGAGAATTTTATGTTAACTGAATGCCAGAGGAGGGAAAAGGAGACTTGTTTTCAGTTTTATATCTTTCTGTCATCTAGAACTACCATTTTGTATGGAAGGTGATTAATCAGTCTTGAAAAAGGTAAAGTGTATTTTTACTCTATTAAACTCTTCTGGTAGCTTATCTGAATTAGTCACAGGAGTTTAATTTTCTGGTTTACATGAGTCCCTGATGAAGAGAAAACACAAATTTTATCATGATCCACAAAGTAAATTTCTGATAGATCCAATTTTTAATTAACAGACTCTTAAAGGAAAAGAGACTCGAGCGAACAGTTGTATAGAACTTAAATTTTTTAACAATAGAAATGTTAAGGGTGATGTTTTTAAAATCCTGCCTTTGGAATCCATCACTTTAAATAAATGTAGTAGTCTGAAGAAAATCTCTGTTTAGTTGGAGCTGCTGTCTGTTAGCATAAAAAGGAAATGCCTCATTTCAGTGAATGACCTGAATACACTATATATTGTATGAAAGAAGATGAATAGTACAGACAAAGAGATATTTGACCAAGTCCATGTTTAAGGTGAGATGTCTGCAGGGAGAAAACATATTTAATGCTGTCTTTTACATGTACTGTGTAAACTGGAAATAGAATGCTTGTTTGCCTTTTTTGGTTTTTTAATAATTAATTAATTATAGTGCAGAAGGGAAATTCAAACTGAAAAAGTCACACCAATTTACTTGTCTCCCTTGAAAGAGTGAAATCTGTTAATCTTTGGCATTCTCTTTGTTTTATTTTTAGGTAATGGGTGAGCTGAGAAGCTGGTGAAGTTTACATGAAATACTTCTACTGATCAGTAGTAGCCCAGATGAAATAGGCATGTCCTAAGATGGCAGTAGATCTGGAGTGTGAACCAGCCTACAGAAGTGAGTTGATGCCAGATTTGTCAGCCTCTGTGGCTTGATGGCTCTTACTTATTCTGTCTCTACACTAAAGCAATAAAGGAATGGTGCACAACTTGATTACAGAATGCTCTTTCCAAGGAAGTGAACTGTGAAGGAAGGACTCATGAGTTTTGATCCCAGGGGCTTGGAGAGCGTCCCTGGTAAGTTGAAGAATTACTATTACGAGTCTTGAATATGTCTAATGTGTCATAAAGCACCAACCTGAAGGCAACCTTACATTTCACATTCTTTGTACTGCTTATGTGATATTGCAGAGGAATGAAAACACTGAGTCCATTTGACTCACACTCAGTCAGTGTGCACTCTAAAATATTGTTTGTAAAATAGTCATTGTCAGTAATCAACATTGGTGTTTTTTCCATTGAAAGATACTGCAGACAGAATTCATCTTGAGTGGAAATCCTGCAAAGATAATAATTGCATGCTGTTGATATTTTACCAATTTAGTATTAATGTGGGTTTTTTTTGCAATAATTGTGGAGAAATTAAGGGACACACATAACATTCCACAACATAGAAAGAGCTAAACTTTGATTGCAGGGGTTTTAGTACCATGATTCTCAGAGTGTGATTCCATAAGGATGATAATGGAATTTTATACTTGTTCCCTGATTTCAAAGCAGTATTAAGTTGATTTTACTTACTTTTAAGATTATTTACATCTATGTTCATTATCAAACCAACGCATAAAACAGAAGAACAAGAAAAATATGACTTTCCTTCAGAAAAGGGAAGTGTAACCTCTGTGAAAAGTCAGTGAGACTTTAGGAAATCAATAGCTAGTAAAATGTAGGTTTGTGTTTTAGCTCAATGAGGAAAAGATAGAAATTGAAACTCATTACATACATTATATTCAGGAAGTCAGAGGGACACAGCACACCATCTTTTCAGGAAATGTTGGGGTCAGCTGGGGGTGAGGAACTTACAAGTATTGCAATATAAATCAAATGTTGATTCAGTAAGTATTCTGGTATTTTGTCTGGTACAGAATAAATATTTCCAAATCTACTGAAGTTTATGAAGTGTTTTATAGTACATAAAATGTATAGTACTGTAACAACACTATTAAATTTTACATATATTTAACAATGCACTATTACTGGCATTTACTCTCAGATGGCTGCTCCAATGAGGACCTTCCTGAGGTGGAGTTGGTGAGCATGCTGGAAGAGCAGTTGCCAGATTACAAGTTACGGGTGGACTCTCTGTACCTGTATGAAAATCCAGACTGGATTCAGCCCACGGCTTGCCATGGCCGGCTGCCCGAGATCGCTTCTCCAGCTCATGAGGAGGGCTCCTTCCGTTACATGAGTGAGTTGGTATTTATTTCCCCAAATATTGAAGATAAAAATCTAGATGCAAAGATACAAGAGGTGTGAGTGTGCAGCAGCTCTGTTTTCAAGAATGTTAACGGTGCTGTGGTTGATTTGGTGATGTTCCCCTGATGTTTTGTGAAGTGCTGTCAATGGTTTCTTCTGGAGATAGAAAAGGAATGAATGGCAGATAGATGGGTACTAGATCAATATTGATCACTGTCTTCTAGTTCTGAAAATACTAAGTAACTTATTCCTAAGCCTATCGAATGATAAAGAAGAAAATGGATTGCTGCAGTCACATGAAGAAACCTTTAAGAGGTTGAAAAGGAAATGTATAGAAAGTTGCTAAAAGAACTGAAAACTTACTTGCCTGTAGTTTCTAAGTGTTTTCATGTGAGGAGAATGCATTATAATCTCCTCAGAGAAATTGGGAAGTCCCGTTTCCTTCATATATTGAACTATTGGAACAAGCCACACAGAAGAGTGAACTTGTTATTTATATACAATCTGTAATGATTACCTCTTCCTTGTACATGCCACCTCTAAAAAGGTTTTTTTTGTCATTGTTCTTTGTAGTTTAAATTTCCCGAGGGTGCATAGCACGGGAGTAAGAAAGACACGCAAGAATGCAGTACTCAGCAATTTAGAGTGATTTGTTATGAGTTGAACTTGCAGGCTTTGAACTCTTTTTAACTGTGGAAAGTAATTGGAAAGCCACTTAATGTTTATTGCTCAGTCTGTTTCTGATAATAATATTGCAAGCATAAATTATTATATAGTCCAGTGGATGCTTTTGTAGTTCGCTGGAAACAGTTGTGTAGTTGGTAGGGTGTGTACTTGCCTCCAAGTGTTATTTATAAATAAATGGGATCAGAGTCTATCTGTGCTGGATGGAGCTTGACGTGAAACCTGGCTCTGCCAAAGCTTTCTGCTCAGCACCTCACCTGTGTGACAGAACACAGGGCTCCGAAGGACCTTCAGTCACTGTAATCTTGCATTTTCAGCCTGCAGGGAGAGGGAGGGGTTTTATCAACAAAGTTTTCATGAAGCCTGTTGTGTATTATTTGGCTGTCAAGGTACTGCAGAAAGGGCTCTCTTCCTGTTTCCCCCGGAGGGAAGTTCTTTTTAAGTAGAGAAAATGGCCTGTGAAAACAGTAAACTGCTTGTAGGAGTTTTTTACGCAGTTTTTTAAGCTATAAATGTTTTCTTATAACAATGAATGAAATTGAATTAGAAGATAACTGTTAAGCATAACATATAAAACTAATTCTTGTATAATTTAAGAAGTCTTTCGTAAGTGCTAAGTCATAAAAACTCGAGATGAATATGGTTTCTATTTCTCCTAGAAATTGTCCAGACGCTGGTTACACTTGAAATCATACTAGCTTTTTTGAGACTAGTAACCTACAGGGACATACTGGGAAGGTCTCAGACAAATACAGATATAAATAAAATTCTAGATATAATTATTGTTGAATAACCTGTTAGGTGAAATTTTAATCTTTCTTTGCTGCCTGGAATTGGGAATAAATGTGACATGAAGCATGACATGGGATTTTAGCTGTGTGTTTTCCTCTCCCTGTATATGTATGGAAACATTTTTATAACTTTTTCCAAGAGAGAATGCTAAATATATGGTTTGAGTGAATTTGTAGTTGAGAAAAAAGCCCCAAAACAACACAGCAGTTATTGCACCTGAGCTCCTCCTCTTTTTATGGCTGCTGCTGCCTATAAGAAGGTCTGTCCCATAACCAGTTGGGTTCACACTGGCAGTGTTTTCAGTGAGGTGGAAGAATATTTTCTGCTTCAACTGTGCTAGCATAAGAAATCCTGAATTACAAAAGATCTCTCTTTGAAACGACTTTGTATGTGCGAATAAAGGATCATGGCACAACATAACAAGAATTTTAACCAAAATGAAGAGTTGCTTGCAACTTTCATTTGGCAAGGTGAGTATTGCACATGCATGTGATCTCAAGAGAGAATTCTAATAAACCGTGTATAGTTTTGATCCTGTACTAAGAGAAAATACTGAAATTTATCTAGAGCTAAGTTTCAAGGCTGTTGGTTCTGTGATTTCAGATATTGGAGTAAAGATATTTGCTCTAGATTTTAGGAACTTACCTACCTGAGTAACCTTGTATGGAATTAGTGTAAATTTTTATCAAAGGGACTGGACAGAAACTTGTAACTTGAAATCTCCTGCGCAGAACAGTTACCACAGGAGAGCTGGCTATAATATTCTGCCTGTAATGGCTGTAACTTACTTATGTATGTGCAGTGAATTTTCCAAATACTGATAAGCTAGTTGAGTTTGGAGTTCCCTTTCAGCAGCCAGTATCAGTAACCAAGTAGTACAGTAAAATTGTCCTCCAAATGTATTTTATGCTACTGATAAATACGTAATTTAAATTTAATGGAGAGTTTATGTTTTTTCCCTGCTTAGAAATACAATTAATAAGTGACAGTGCTCTAAGTTCAAAGCTCCTGCATGCTTAAACAGCATGTGTTGGGTTTTTATTTCTACTGATCTACTTGATGAAAAGCATTTGATTTCTTACTTTGATATATTTTTCTTTTAAGCTTTTAGAGAAACAGTGTTACTAAAATGCAACTTGGTTTTGATCTTAGCATAGCTGTAGTGTTATGCTTTAAAAGGTTAATTGTGGGCAATATGTATGTAAAGGGTACAGACAGCTTATAAAACATGTAAATAAAGTTAGTGTGCACTTTAGCTTGCCACTTTGCTATCTCATATCTAAGTCTGTAGTCTTCAACAAAACAAAAGAACTGATAATCAATATACTCTGTATTCAGAGTAAGAGCAAGATTTAAACAAGGTAGAAGAGTGAAGGAAGTCTTGAGATCGAATCCATAGCAATCTCATTTTCCAGTTCAGTGATGATGGAATTAATTTTGTAATACGTTGACTTTTAAACCTTCAGCTGAAGCAGATACTTCTGTAATTTTTAAATTTATATTGCTGCCTTCTTCACTTTAATGATCCTGACTTCATAAAGCAAAAATAGCAAATTGCTGTTGAGTTTAGCACAAACATTCATCACCTGATAGAGAGATGTATAATTCTGCTTCGGAAGGAAGTTATATTTTAATGATTCCCTAAAAGGCCTAAGAAAGCATTAATAGTAAAAAAACTATGTTTGCACATGCATTTATTATTTTACTGTGGTAGATGCATGACAGAAAATCATCTATTTCCTTACATTTTAATTCTTTCTCCTCTTTCTTCTCTTTTTCCCTTCCATATCTTTCATTATCTGTCACTCTAGCTCTTATTGAACTTCCTTCCTCCTCCTTGGATGGATCTCACAAATTTGCACAAGGTAATTAAGATGCCTTTGTTACTACCATCTTTTTATCAGGACATGAGCAGACCAATGCTTTGCAGTTTTAGCACTGTGTTTTGGTCAGAGGTATCACAAATTCTTCATGCTTTGCTTATTCCTCACTCAGTCCTGTTTTTCCAATTCTACTGTTTCTCAGTTTTTTAATAGTTCAATAAACTCTTCAACCATTGGAGTCACTTGATTACTAAGATAGCATTTACTGCAACATCTAAACTGCAAACATACATTATCTCATTTCTTCTTAATTGTTTCCAAGATTATCAAGCCCTTAATAAATGTCTTTTCATGACTAGTCTCAGGGATCTCCATACTTCCTGCATACTTCCTGTCACACAGCCTAGTGGGGATTTTGCTTCATGGTTAAAGTATGTGTTCAACTGTATTTGGACATGTTCCAATGTACTCTTTCTCCTCTCCCCAGCAGGCTGGAGGATTCAATTGCTTAGCTATATTCAAAAAGTTGCTCTTAAGAAATTTTTCTCCTTTTTCTAAATTTGAAGGATATGTGAGCACCTCAAGTCTTAGTTAACATTGCTGAAAGATGTAAATGTTCAATACCTCGTTTATCAGTCTCCCAAATGAGTGTGTCACATTTCTGAAGCTGAAGATGCATTTTCACAGCCTCTGCTAGCTTCATCAACCAAGTACTGTATTTGTATATGAACAACATCCTCTGAATTCATCTCTCACTTCCCACAATCTTCTTGTCTTTCCTTCAATAAAGTAAGCACGTTTGTCTCTCTTCAGTTCTTGGCACAGATAATGTGGAGCAGAAAGACTACGGTGAAGCTGACATGGTGAAACGTCTGTTAGCTGAGGTATGCTTGTCTCTGTCACGCTGTGTTAATGCAGTTGAGGGAATGTATTTGAGGGAGGGTTTTATTCAGCTGCTGACCAGTTTGATTCAGCGATCTTCAAGAGCTGCTTATCAAACACATGGGTCATGAGAAGCTGCCCATTTGCTTACAGCACCTCGGAAACAAAATTTAACAAAATTATGGGCACCCATGAAGCCAGTGAGTATAAGAAACAGCTTTCTTCTAATTTCCTGTTGCTCCTCTGCTTCTACCCTTTCACCACTGTTTAAGCTGAGCAGTCTGTTCTAATGGAAGTATCACTGGGAAGGCCACAGGCCTATGTAAATATGATTTTTGTATGTGTGTGTGATTCAACAGACCCCACATAATCTTTGTATTCAGCACAAAACCCAAAACTGTCCCCAGGTTTGGTGCTTTCCCCTCCTGTTACTTCAAATGGCTGTGGAAGAGAATATGCTGTATCAAAAAACACAGTTATGGATGTATTCTGGATCAAAGTGATGAAGCATTAACAATTAATAACAGTGTTGATCCATTTGAGAGTGAAGTGGGACCTCAGAGTGGTCATGCATTGAGTATCTAGGAGAATCTAAAACTACTCTGCATTTAAACCTTACATGATCAAAAGGAAACGTTTTTTCTCATTTTGTGAGCAGAAAGATCGGGACCTGGAGCTGGCAGCACGAATTGGACAGGCCCTCCTTAAGCGAAATCATCTGTTGATGGAACAGAATGAAGCACTGGAAGAACAGTTAGGACAAACTCTAGACAGAGTAAGTGGTCGCTTTTCTTTCTTTTTTTCCCTTTATTTAGGTTTTTTCTGATTTTTTTCTCTCTTTTTTTTTCCATATATGATGATGGTAAGAGAATTAATAGAAATACGTAATTTCTTAGTGAAAAGGGTGATCAGACTACAGAATTGTGCTTAGATGTCATTCTCCTAATCATTGTTCAATCACTTTTCTGCTATCCAGGAATTGTATATGAAGACAACATATTGTAATTACTGAGAAATTATGAGAATGTTAGATATCATTAAGTTCATATCAGACCATCAATCTGATTTCCCACCGTTAAACTAAAAATGGACTCATATAAGTCAAAATAAGAGGTTGATATCTGACATGAGCTGCTACATAACAATTTCACAGGTGAGGAAACAGACAGAAAATTAGCTGGTTAATGGGGTGCTTACACTAAGAGTAAACAAATGAATAAATAAAATGTAATGAAAAGTGAATTCTAATCAAGATCTTCACTCCATCTCTTCCTGTAAGCACAAATTCTTGATCTAACCTTTTCTTTCTTTTTCTTTCTTACAAAAAGAATTAAATAGTTAACAACTAACCCTGTGGTCGACAGATATAGTGTAAGCTACAGTGAAATGGATTCAGCTCCTTGTATAAAACAGTATGCTGGTAACAAGGATGTACTCATAATCAGCTGTAGGACAGCATAAGCTTAGCTATTCATATAAAAACGTAGATAGGCAAAATGGATTTTATCTTAATGAGATCTGTCTCTACTTTTGTTCTTAAATGTCCTACGACAAATTTAATGTGCAGGCTGGAGCGTACACTCTGTACATATAAATAGTTGTCTCTCAATCATTTACTTCAGGAACTCAACAACTCACAGTAATGATCATAATCAAAATGATAGCTAGCATGTTAAAATGAAATAATGTATCAAGGTAGCTGGAAAATGATTTTGCAGTAAACTATTAAAAAATAGGCTTTGTTGTTAATTTTTGTGGTGTCTTTAATTTTCGGTCTCCCTTGCAGTGCTAAAATTATGATTTTACAACCTTCCTGTGAAATAAATGGAGGTGTGAGCTATTCAGGAGCAGTGATGTTCTAGAGGCTGCATAAATAATACAGTATGATATTGTATATGTGAAGTGTATTTCACATGGTGATCTTCACTTGTCCTAGGTTAACCAGCTGCAGCATGAGCTGTCAAAGAAGGATGACCTGCTGCGTATTGTTTCCATCGCTTCTGAGGAGAGCGAGACTGATTCCAGCTGTTCCACCCCACTGCGTTTCAACGAGTCTTTCACTGTCTGCCATGACCCACTGCAGCTGGATGTCCTGCAGGATAAACTCCGAGAGCTGGAGGAGGAGAACCTGGCTCTGCGGTCCAAGGTATGTGTGCTGTATGTGCTGGGTGTGAAACGAATCAGAGTGTTCAAAATCCAGCATCACGGCTTCTCTTGAAACACTGTTTTGTGTCACTGTGTGCAAATCACTCCTGAGCACTTTCCCTCCATGCCCACATCCTCCTGTTTCCTTCATTCCTCGTTGTCTCCAGAGTTCTCTAGCAGTCTGTTCTCAGTGCAGTTGTGATACATGAAAAAGCATGGGAGCATACGTAAGCACCCAGCAAAAGTACTCGGGCACATCAGGACGTCAAGCTCAAGCAGGTTGTTTTGTTATAAATCTGACTGCAATGAGCAGGAGTATTTGGGGAATTCCATTCTGTTGCCATTGTTTTTGTCAGAAGATATTTAAGGGTTAATAAACTTCCACTTAAATTATTTTAAGCACACTTACTTGTGACTATGTGATTAGTTTCTCTATTTTAACTGGTCTCTCGTGTGTGTAAAACTTGAATACAGACACTAGATGTGTCATTAGAAGAATAGTAACTAAATTAGTAACTAAATAGCCACAAAAAATGGCTATAAAATGGAACCAACAGCAAAGGTTCCAAGAACTGGAATCTACAGATGCAGTGTCTTTTGTTTTTGTAGTTAAGAACAGAACTTGTAAAATAGGACATTGTTTAAAGCTGGGTTCTTTTTGTTGCCTTTAAGAAAGGGGATGTTGTTTGTAAGAAAGGTGAGGGTTGTAGTTTGTGTGTGTGGTGTTTTGATTTTTTTTATATGAGCCTTTCCCAATATAAGCTTTTTATACCAGTACTAGACTAGATTCCTTTAATGTCAACAAAATACACTTCTGCCCATATCTTGTCTCCAGAGTACTCAGCCTGAGATGCACATTCTTCCTAAAACTCCCTAAGACTAACGGATATGTTAGTAGTGCTGTAAGATAAGAAAGAGGTCAGATTACCTTTATTTTGCTCCTAAGCCTATGTATGATTGCACAAGTTTACAGACCAGACAGGACTTAATCATTCTGTGATATAACATAACCTTCAGTGACTTAGTCTCCATTACAATGAGCCTCTATTTGCTTTTTTATTTCTTTACATATTACAGCACTGTGTAAAAAAGTGTATTTGCCTGCACTTGTGTAAATGTACTGTTTGCTGGGATAGTCTTTAAAACCATTTGCTGAGTTTTTCACTGTGAGTCCCTTACTGGCGAACAGTCCTGAGTATAGAAGACTTGTCTATGCTAAATTTAGTATTACCATTCTCACAATCAAAAGAGAGGTGTGAATTTAGAATGTTTCATATTGTTTAGATATGTTGTGATACTCTGTCTCTGGCCCAGAAAATTTAGTCTAAATAGACAAGCTGGGAATATGGAGAAAAGCTGTTCTACCAAGAGCTTTTCAGTGCCATAAGAGAGTTGGCTAACATCAGTCAGTTTTCAAGACTTTTTATAAACTTAAGTTTTTTGAAGCAAAATAAATTGCTTATTTCTGATTTCTGTCTTGGTTCACTTTTCCTACCAAGTTACATCTTTTTGCAATGATTTTTTATTAGAGCCAAGAGACCAGGCTGTGTTCATGTGTGTCTGTCTGTCGTTCACTCAAACCACCTGTAAAATTCTGGGAAACAAGTTATGGTGGAAAACACAGTTGCATAGAATTTTTTAAAGAGAGAGGGGAGACTCTTCAGTTGCAAGAATTCTAGAAGTAAAATTTATAAAATTTTTAGAAGTAAAAATTTATAACATTATAGTTAAACTGAAATTGTTACTGATAAATTTTCTCAAAGGCTTGCCATCTGAAATCAGAAACCATCACGTACGAAGAGAAGGAACAGCAGCTGGTCAATGACTGTGTCAAAGAACTCCGTGAGTATCCAGGCTGTATTTTGCAGTGGCAGGATAGTTAGCCTTCTTAGTTAACCTTGAATCCAAAAATGAGCTTCAGTAATTTATGCCAATCATTGAAGTCTTACCCTTTGCCCAAGTGCAAGGTTGTTTCTGTATTTCGTCAAGTTTCACTCTGGTGTTCAAATTCAGGTCTGTGTGTCATTTTTAGAAGGGGAAAATGAGCACAAAAGGTAATGTCCATAAACTTCCTAAATCGAAGCCTACAGACACTAGAAAATCAACAAAGTACTCTTCTTGTATATTCAGCACACTTGACACTAAAATGGGTCAGTGTATAGGCTCTTAAAACTATGAACACATTAGTTTTAAAATATATTTTATGAACCAAAGCATTTAAATTAGCAAGTGACTTTATTTGTCTAGAGCAGTTGTTTCTATTTGCTTTGGGGACTGCTTATTTGCAAAGAAGCTATTCTTATAAATGCATTCTAAGTATTCTGAAACAATAAAGAACAATACCTTTTTTTATTTGTAGGTGTTCTACTTCTTTTGTGAATAATAACCTTAAATTATATTTAAGATTTTTTTTTCTATAACCACCATAAAGAAATCTGGGTTGCTGCTTTATTTTTCTTGTTACAGATGGCCTTTAAATACTATGAATTGATACTTAGTTGGTTAATTTACTCTGATCCTGCTGAGAAAATATGCATCTTTTGCAAATACGAGTTAGTTCAAATATGCTCTTCTATTTTCCTTCTGTGAGAATGTCTGTGAGTTCACTTTTTTATTCAATTCTATAGCGTAAGTAGGCATGCTAGGTAGTTTAGGTTGTTTAGACTCACAGAAAGAATCTTCTCCTAAAGCTGTGTTGCCTACAGCTTTAAAATTTGCATTTTCAGGAAAAAGTTTAAATGCCCACAGACCCATAAGCAGGGCCTTGTTCTGCAGTAAATGTGTGAGGTACAACAAGCACTAAAGTTGTAATGTGACCTTTATGCAAGATTGGTCAGACTTTCTTATGACTTTGCAATGCTTTCAGGGCAAGTGTACGAACAAGGCTAACTGCATGAAAATATTTCAGCTCTTGGAGTTGCTTTGTCATCTCACTTTGTGAAGTGCTTGCTAGAAGAAAAACGAAGAAAAATCAGGGAATTGTATTCAGTGGATCTTTGGGGAATTTGGGGAATATATAGTGACTAGGATCAAGAGTGTATGTTACAGTTGACAAGGTTTGACAAAATGCCTTTGCTTACACTGGTAGTTAATAACAAGATTAAGTCACACCCAGACTTTTCCAGTATATTCCAAGTCTGGCCTTAGTCATGATGTGTTATGTCATTTGAAATTGTTTTATTGTGGTCATTTCACATACTGGCCATGTGTATTTCAGATGCTGCATGCTTAGCTCTTAATATGTTACACATTAAGAAACATAATGCATTTATGCATTTGAAATTAACTCTTTATCCTCCTCCTCCCCACTGTTAGTCTTTTCCTTATGGATGTTCTAAGGCACCTACTTTTATGTATTATGAATTGATTTCCTAAGAGTATTGGTGGTTTTGCAGTTTGTTGTTGACTTTGATTCATCCTTTCTAGGATTTACCCTTTTCTGGGTTTTGTTTTGTTTTTGTTTTGGGCTTTGGTTTTTTTGGTGGGAGAGGGTCTCAACTAAGTTCCTTTTGTGTTTTGTAGGGCAAACAAATGCTCAGATTTCCAGGATAACAGAGGAGTTGTCAGAGAAGAGTGAGGAGGTGATTCGCTACCAGGAAGAGATCTCATCCCTTTTGTCCCAGATTGTTGATCTTCAGCATAAACTCAAAGAAGTAAGGGAATGCTGATAAAGTGTCCATGTGCACGCAGGTGGCGTGCAGCATGTGCATGCCAGTGCTTACAGCAGGCAAAAATTGACTTGGGAAGCCAACCCTTGGCAAGGGTTGCACTTCAAGAGAATGGCTGTTCCATGAAAGTGTGGCAAAGGATCAGTCTCTTGGGGAAATCAGCTGAGAAAATGATGAGCATCTTTTTATGCTTTCAGAATGTGATTGAGAAGGAGGAGCTGAAACTTCACTTACAAGCCTCCAAAGATGCTCAGAGACAGCTGACAGCAGAGGTACTTAAGACTTCTATAACATACATTTAGATAAATGTTTGGGATAGAATACAGAAGAAAGAAAACAGAGAGAGAGAGGGAACTACTGTTTTTTACTTATGTAGAATTTTAGTCTTTCATTGTGTTGAGTCATATGATTGGAGGAAAAGAACAATTATTTTACTTGAGCCTACACAAATATTTTTGTAGTTCACAGGAGTATAAAAGGCAAGAAGTGTGTTTCAAATAGGGAGGTCTTACTATTCTTAGTTATGAGAAAAAGAGTGCTTTAGTGTGAATATTGTTGATTATATCAACAGTACTGTGACTCATTAGATTTTAAGTCAGTTCTCTTTTTTTGGTTCTTTTGCATCATTAATTAGTGTATTTTCATTTTTTTCAATGTATTTTCCTTTGAATTTCATTATACTTTCTCCTCTTTTGAATCTTTGTGCTTTGTCACTTAAACCACTATGGATGCTGGGCTGACAGTTGTCCATTCCAGTTGTGGGCCCGTGCCCTGCAGCCGGAAGAATCTTGCAGTGTTGAATCAGCCGTTCTAAGCTAGTGTAGGAGTTCATTCAGTTTCATTGTGTCTTCTCTCTGAAGAGATCATGTGATGGCCTCTCTTCTCTTCCAGCTCCATGAGTTGCAGGATCGGAATGTAGAGTGTCTGGGCATGTTGCACGAGTCCCAGGAAGAAGTGAAGTTGCTGCGCAGCAGAGCCAGCTCCGCCGCTTGTCTCTGCCACCCGCAGTCCCATGGAGCATTTCCTGTGGTAACCAGCACCTCTAGCATGGCACACACCAGCTAGCACACACAGCTGTGGCAGTGAGCAGCTCTAGGACCACAACAGCCTTTGCTGGAGCTGCAGCCAGAACTACTTTGTAGTAGGCAAAGGAGCTGATCTGTTGGTTTTTCAATTCCTCAATGTGTTGTACGCTTGTGAGAAATTTAGGAAATTAGTTAGTGAACTTAACTGTTCACTTGACATATTGTGACACTGCAATTGTTTTTCCATTTTATACCATTTCTGTTTAATAAGGGAATTGGCATGTTCTATAGCTTATGTTCAGTTGTGCTAGTGTCTTGTTTGATGTTGGTATGAATTTTATAACTTAACAGTGTTTCTTTAAGAGACACAGCATCTCACTCAAAATATCTGGGGATTCTTCAGGTTTTGGCTGGTTGCTCTGTGTGTACAGAATTACTCGTGTACACTTGTAAGAAGTGCTCTTAAAATTGTAGCTTGACTAAAAAAACCAACATACAGAGTACATAAAGAAACACAAAGACAAAGCAGATGTTGCTAATGAAAGCCGAACCCATCCTGGGTCGTTATGGTGGAAAATTGTCCCACATGCCCTTCCTTCAGAGGCAGAAGAGTTTGTTCAAAGCATACTGATACTGGGCAAACAAATGCAGATTGTTAAAAGTAATTTTTACAAATATTTTCTGCTGAAATTGTCAGAAGGAAGACTTGACTCTTAATTCATCAACTCTTATGGTTTCCATTTTTCTCTAGGATTCTCTTGCAGCAGAAATTGAAGGGACAATGCGGAAGGAATTAAGTCAGGGTGATGAATCTGTTCTCTCCAAGCAAAAGTACGTTTTTGGATGTCTATGTGCTATTTTGATATTTATCCATAGACTTGTATTAATTAAGGTGAAACTGATTTCTGCGACTCCATAAATGCATATATATGCATATATATTTATGCATATATATTAATACGCATAAATGCATATAAATTCCCTCTATAATGTTTTCATTGTTAATAGATAAGGGTTTGTAGTATTTGGTAATCTTTTCAATTTTGAAACCTGCTATTCTTATTTGATTCTGTGAAGAATCTGGGAATTGCTAGAAGGATGTTATTTCATTCTTTAATTTGTGAGATTTTTTTATCCAAATTCTCTGATGCACAGGAGTAGATTTTATCCCTTTTAATGCTTATAGAAAAATTGCTGGACAAATGACATTATAGCTGAAAGATACATAACAGTTTTCAAAACCCTGGAGACCTGTTCCTGGATCTCATAATTCTGGCCGAGAAGCAATAAACTAAATATGTGTTTCTGAAAGCATATACAAATGGAAAGAACAAAATATTTACTTCTGAATAGTCTAAAGCAGTTATCAGTAGAGGTTCAGCTCTTTCAGGTAAAGAAGTGGTAGTTCTGACACTTAATAGAGTAGATCTCCTGGAGACATGAGTTTTTTAGGCAGTCTTTTTTTTTTAACATCTTTTTAGTGAGGTCTCTGCAGACTTTACAAAGTTTGTTTTTCAGAGATTTTTCTTTACTGTATTTTTTTGCTTCTGAAAACCACGTTTGTTTGCTTGTCTTTTCCGTAGGGATCAACAGAAACGAGTGTTTGACACTGTCAAGGTTGCTAATATCATCCGTGGCCGCTCCTGTTCTTTTCCTGCCCCGTTGCCAATCCCTGGATCAAATCGCTCGAGTGCTGTTATGACAGCAAAGCCCTTCCAGTCTGGCGTGCACCACTTGGAGAGCCATGCACGGATGGCCTCGGGGAGCAGCTCTGAGAAGAATGTGAGGTAGGAAGCACAGCCTGTTAACTTCTTCTGAAAAGAACTGGTTCAAAACTAAACCCAGACTGGACTATTATTATTTGGTGTTTTTCACAGAGACGCTCACAGTCCTGGCCAGCCGGGTGCCCCTGGAGACAATGACCTGGTCACAGCTCTGCACAGGCTCTCCCTGCGTCGTCAGAACTACCTGAGTGAGAAGCAGTTCTTCGAGGAGGAGTGGGACCGAAAAATGCATTTGCTGGCTGAGCAAAAAGAAGAGGCTAGTGGCTGCAGTACACCAACAGAAAGCTCTTTTTCCCCAAGTACAAACTCAGAATTCACAGATCTCTCTGCCAGCTCTAGTAATCTCCGTGTTCTCCTACCAGAGAAGTTGCAGATTGTCAAACCCATTGAAGGTAAGGGGATGATCCTCCTTCTCTCATTAGCAGAAAAGGATTTTATGTTTGGCAGCTAAATCATGGTGTGTGTATATCTAGGTATGATGTGCAGTAACAGGAAGCAGTAGTATTTGGTAGGCTCCATGCTAGCGAGCTCATCAGCATCGCTTTCTATTTGGCTTTCCTAGAGGGTGCTAAGTGTTAGGCTGCTGCTTGGCATTGCCAGCCAGTGGATGTGTGGATCACAGTGGGGGCACCAGCCAGATGCACTTGTTTTCATAATGCATTCTTGTAACTCGATACAGCAGTAGGTAATGGCTCTCTGAATCTCTTCTCTTTTGTCACACCAGGATCTCAGACCCTTTTTCATTGGCAGCAGCTTGCTCGACCCAACCTAGGCACCATTCTTGACCCAAGACCAGGTGTTGTTACTAAAGGCTTTACCCCTTTGTCTGATGATACTGTGCACCACATCTCTGACCTGGAGGAAGATGACGAGGAAGAGGGTGAAGGAGGTATAACATTTCAAGCACAACAGTCCTTCCCAGAGGAAAAGAAATGTGCATTGGCAAAGCCAGTGGCAGGGATTTTCCTGCCACCTATTACTTCAGCAACAGTACCACTCACTGGTAAGAAGCATAGTTAGTGTTTCTTCCTGATTCTATTTAGCAGTGTCCTTTTCTCTGTGGAAAGTATTTGACTGTGTGGTGATGCTGTCTTTATTCTTTACTTCAAAAAAAAGGACTCAAAAATTAGCAGTGATAATAACATTGTCTTAAGCTTTTGATTCATTCTTGTATGTCTCTATTTTTACCCTCAATGAATGTAAGTTCTTCACATTGCAGCCTCAAATCCAGGGAAGTGTCTATCTTCCACAAATTCCACATTTACCTTCACTACCTGTAGGATCCTTCACCCATCTGATGTCACTCAAGTTACTCCCAGGTATGAGGACTGCTAACATTCTGAATGTTGCTGCATAGGACTAAACAGTTACTTTCTGGTTTTTGATACATGGACCAGTTTAAAAAATACTAAGGCAGTTAGGCAACATGTAGGATCTTGCTGATAAAAAGAGTTGAAATTACAAAGGGAAACTTGCAATTCTCTAGAGTGAGAGTTAAAGGTAAAGAGGTAAAGTTAACTTGAAGTAAATTTTAACTCTTGAGTAGCAGCTGCCTTGTATCATATAGCTATTGTGAAAAAAAAAGATTCCAAGATAATTCATTTTCTGATTCTATTATATTTTTTTAAATTAACTGGACAACTATATTTATATTCTATTTAATAGAGTACAGGTGATCACAGAAGGTAAATTCATGGGTACTCTGCAGAACAATAATTCTGAGTACTGAAGCTGTCACAGCTAATAGCAATAGCAATAGTTAAGGTTTTCTTGAGTCTTCTGTATACTAAAAGGCAAATGAAGAGTGGGTATAAAAATGTCTAACATGTGTATATTCTCCGTTTAATTTTTATTATCTTTCAGCTCCATGGGTACTCCATTTTCGCTGGGGAATACTGGCAGCAGTACTGGAAACTCAGTAGTGAGCACTCCAGCCATTCCTTACAGACTCAGTATTGGAGAATTTCTCACCAACAGAAGAGACTCAACTACTACTTTCAGCAGCACAAGTAGCCTGGCTAAACTTTTGCAAGAACGAGGCATCTCTGCCAAGGTTTATGACAGCCCCATGTTAGAAAAACTGCCTTTGCTACAACCCCCTCGAACTCTTCCCATTCCTTCTACTCCACCAAATTCTCCTTCGCGTTCACCTTGTCCTTCCCCTCCACTCTTTGAGCCTCGAGTGCATCACTCAGAGAATTTCCTGGCTTCTCGACCAGCAGAAACATTCTTGCAGGAAATGTATGGCCTAAAGCCCTCCCGTAATGTCCCGGATGTAGGCCAACAGAAGATGAACCTCGTGGACAGACTGAAGAGGCTGGGCATTGCCAGGGTGATCAAGCCCCCTGAAACACAGGACCATGGCAAGAGTCAGGGGCCAGAGGTTGGCTTGCAGAGGCAGGACTCAGCTGGGTTTTTAAATGCAGGTAGCAACCTAATGGCAGGACTGAGAAGAAACCAGAGCCTACCAGCCATGATTGGAGCACTGGGAGCTCCTGTTTGCACACAGTCGTCAAAAATGAATATACTAAAGGAAGACTAACTGAAAGGTGTTTGATTTAGAGCACAGTAAATAAAATGTGAGGGATAAACATCCAGTACAGGCATTGTTAGGTGTGTTACAGAAGAGTTGGAGAAGGCATGTGCATGTTAAAATGTGGGAGAGACAAGCGTTGGGACCAAGGAGCAAAGGAACATTGCTTGGGTTTGAGGAAGAAGGTTTTTGTGGGAGATAGAAAAGTAAAACCAAAGCTTTATTTCAAGACCCCCTTCAGCACCTTGTCTTAACTTAGTCAAAAGTGAAGACTATTGTAGACATTTTCAGTGTTTTAACCCTTTAACCTGTATGTGTAGGGATTTTATTTTTTCCACCATACACCCATAGTATTTACTAGTTGTTTGCAGTCAGGCTACATCATTTAAATATAATATTAAAATAGCAATCAGTCTGACCAGCATTACCAGCCCAAGTTCCTCTCTGTAACATACAAATATGAAAACTTGGATTTTTTTTTTTCTTTTATTTTATATTTCAGAAACTTTGCTCTTTTCAACTCCTCCTTACTTTGAGAAGCAGGAGAGAATATTTAGCTCTGTGTAAGAAAGTAATATTTCCAATTACAAACACAGGATTTATATTTTGAAAGAGTGCAATTGTGTTAATGAGGTATTAACAGCAGTTAATTTCTCTCCAGAGATTGTGAACAAAGCACACAGAGAAATGTGCAATTAATAAGAATTAAGAAGCAGGAAAGTGTGTATTAGGGTGAAAACGTCAAGCTGAGAAATCTTTCCAAAGTGTAGCGTGCATCTATTTAAATGAGGATAGTTTTGTGCACACACACACACACACAAATATCTCAGGCACATTTCAGCATTGCAAAAGGAAATAAACCCTAGGTGCTTGATTCAGAGTTTCTTTTTAAAGACTTAAGTATAGAGCATTTACTTCAAGGAAAATGTTGGGAGTTCAGAAAATTGCCTCGTCTTGCCAAGTTACACATTCTGTATATTTGAGAGTTCTCCAGTAAACTTTATGCCTTTCATACATTTATTTCTCATTTTATGCAGAATTTTGTTTAAAATATTTCATTAAGAGCAAAATTTGCCAGTGTCTATACAGAAACAGGAAGAAAACAGCTGGTGTTGTTTGTAGCATTTTAATTAATATTGAAATCCAGCGATCAGTGAGGGAATGTGGTTCTTAACACAGCTGAGGCAGAGTTTCCAACTCAAAAAATAATTTTATTTTAGAAATCTGTTTTCTGAGTGTTAATCATCGATATATTACTGCCCATGCTGCTTTTTTGATTTCTTCCTGTCCAAGGTTCTAATCATAAGTGAACAATCTTCAACAGATGTTTTGTGTAACTTAAGAAAATGTTGTCTTTGCTAGCGACTTGAATAGAAACAGTTTCATAGTCTTTATGTAAATTTTCAGCGTACCTATCAACATTTTAAAATTTTTTGTTTCCATACAATTAGATTAAGCGGTTAAGTTTACCTTGCCTGTGACCATGTAAGTGGGGCATAGCTGGCAGCTGTCTGGGGGTGTGGTGTGAAGCCTCAGTGCAATTACACTGATTTGCATTTGCCCTAAGGCACATCCTCCATAACCAGCACCCTCATTGCTGCAGGGGTGAGTGAAGTAGGGCAGGAAAAGAAAGCTTCTTAATCTTGTTAATAGGAAATTTGTAACGTTGCCTTTCTGATTTTACAGTTCTACAGATCTTCTGATGACTCTGATATTTTTGTTTTGTAAAAGGAAAAGGAGTAACCACTTCAAACTTGCACAGGGATTCTTAGCAGAAGTTTGTCTGTCAGCAGCGCACAGAAATATTCTGGAACTCCTGGAGTTGCCTTTTGCTCTCTAAGCAAAACCTTATACTTACAAAAGGTGAATTTTATTTAAAAGGCTATATACGGGTTAATTTTTTTTTTAATGAAAAATATTTAATTTTTTCATGTAAGTATTTATGTTTGTATGTACTTAGCTGTGCATGGTATCTTGCCTAACTACATAAGGTAAGAGTGAAAGGAGGGAGTGCAGTGTTGGTCTCCAGTGGCCTGAGATGGGTATGTCTGCTGTGTATCTGTAGTTTCCAGGCAAACAAGTTAGCAAAAGCTTAGACAGTTTGGTAGCAGCAGAGAAGTGTGTAGCATGTCAAAAGTCCGTCCATTTTATGTGTTTATTGTAGGAATACCTGAGTTACAGATAAATTTTTGAAGGTATTACACTGCGTTTCTAACTGGCTTCATAAGATAACTCCAGCCATTGGATCAGCAGAGTAGCAAATCAGCTAAGGCAGAATTCCTATGGCAGACCATGGTTCAGGTAAAACTAATCTACAAGCATATAAATTAATGCATGTTTCTCTTGGGGACGCCTCCCTATTCCATAGCCCAGCAATATAAACTGGCTCAGTTCAAACAATGCTGTGGATGTTGAGGTTGGTTTGTTCTGTAGCTGAGGTGTATCATCAAATACTTTACATAAGGCAAAAAGAAAATGGAAGAACCTCTATACCATGGTAATTGTGTGTGTTTACCCAGTTGGTTGCTGCTGTGGTGCAGTATTGTTCCAATTCTGTGATGCATTTATGCCTTTGAATGGTTATGCACAGTTTGGATCTATGTGCCTGGCTTGCAGTAATAGGGAAAATTGATACTTCTTGCAAGTTTACCTTTTTGTGCCAAAACTTAGAAGACAAACCTTATTAAAACAACATGTGTTTCTTAGAATATTTTAGAAGTTACCATGATTCTAGGAATGATTTGGCTTTTGTTGTCTCCCATAAGAGGTGAGAGGTGACAAAACAGCATGGCTGACATCCTGCACCAGATCTTTGTTTGAGTAGGGGTAGACCTAGGATGAATGGAGAATTACATTTTTGCAAGGTTCTGTTATCTTGCAGGTTTGAATCAAACACGGATGCTAGAAGGGACTTAACCATGCTTGTGCAAATTACAAGAGACAAAAGGGAATTCTTATATTTACTTTATTCCAGTTGTCTTAAAGCACAAACTTAAAGCTTTCTAGTTTCACTGTTAGTTTTTTATAAACTCAGTGATACCTGCATGCTCAAAATACCTGTGATCAAAGTTAAACATCTACTGCAGTCAAACAGTAACAGAGAGGGAAGGAGAATAATTGCATTTGGGCTTCATTTGGCTGTTACATGAGGGGATTACACACAATGTTCGAACAGTCTGGGATTTTCATGGTATTTTTTCCATCTGCTTTTTGCACTTTCTGTTGTTTCATAGTGGAATGTAAATTTGATAATAAACATGTATAACATGCCATTTTTCAGTATATTGTTGATCTTCTGTGGTTTGTTCCAAATGTTCAAATTTTCTTTACTACAGTGTTCTGTAACAAACCTAAAATCAGGCCTTTTTGTGGCTAAAATTTACAGTGATTATTATACTGTGCACAAGCTTAGTGAAGTGAGTTGGGATCTGCACAAGTGGTGGCTTTAGAAGCCAATAAATTGATTTAGATAGTATTTAAGTGTTTTAATGATTAAGTGATTTAAATGAATCTGTTCATATTTTCTGGTACCTCAGAGGGTTTTGTGCATAGGTGGTGCTTTGGGGTTTTTTCCGTCCTCTCTTTTACAGCAGATAGTGTTTTCCTCTAGGATAACAGTGTTAGCACTGCAGCGTTGGCTAACACCACCATGGTTGTTTTATCATCTCAGTAGCTGATGTTATGTGAGCTCTACAGATTTGTGACAAATGGGGGTAGACATTGAAGCAGTTCTGTGTGCATGCTCACCCTGGGAGGCAATATAAAATATTTTAAGGAGCTGACTGCTTACCTAGTGACTTTGCCTGTGCTTAGAACTAAGACTCAAAGATCAGCAAGGTAAGTGAACATAGGATAACTGGACATCTTCAACCATGAAGCTGTACTACAGCAACTGATTTTCACTGCTGAGACTATTCTATGTAGAGCATACCCAGAAATCCAGATCACAGACACATCCTTTTGAGGATTCCAGATGACAAATGCTTAACTTTATCTTGAAGTGTACCAAGCCACTAAGAATGAATGATTCTAATTGATGGGGACAAGTAACAAAACACACAGATGTGAGCTGATTATATCTTATAAAATTTACAGCACTCCTCCCTTTATTTTGGAAAAGTTAGGCATAAAGTACACAAGGTTTATAATGGTTGTCTTCTAAAAGTTGCCTTGTAAAATACCTTATGAAAGCAATAGCAATGTGGTACAGCTGGTAAGAGAACAGTGTATTTTAGCCAGCAAGCCACTGAGAGAGATCAGAGATGGTCTCAAGTTCAAACTGTTAATACAAATTGATGTATTAATACAAATTTATTATGGCTTTTTCTCCTCAGTCATACTATCAATTAAAAATATCTGCTCTTTTGCTAAGAGCAGGCAGTGAATGCTTGTTGTGCTGGACTGAATTCTGAGCTGAAACCAGCCAATTCCAGGTTGCAGCAGCTCTCTCTGCCATGCAGTTCCCTCCCATTTAGTTGACAGGAAAGATAAGCCTCTTCCTCAGTGTGAAACTGGGCTGTGGCATCTGCTTCTTTGCATCCCGCTCAGAAGTTTTTCTGCTCACTTCTCGATTTACCGCTGTGAGGATGGTGAGAACATCTTCTCCTCTGCAAAGACACAAGTACAGTTTGTACTAGGCAGTTAATATCAGCAAAATAACATTCTTACTCTCCTGATATACCCCAGTGCTAAGGGCTCTTGTTTTAATAGGCTTCAGAGCACTTCCCTAAATTGAACAGTTTGCATGGTGCTGCTCTATCCTACATCACTGTTTTCACTCTGGATGAGCATTCTCACTGCATATCATCTACTTCTGCATCTAAATCAAATTCCTGTCATCCAGAAGGAAAATTTAGCTGTTGCCAAAAATAAGCTTATAGAAACATAGGTACCGAGGACAGCTGTACTCCAGGTGCTGGCACAGTGCCTGTATGTACCAGGTTCCCTCCCTGGGATTTCTGTAGGAGACATAATCCTGTAGGGTGGCCATGCCCAGGAGGAAGTCTGCCTCTGCAGGGATGCAGTCAAGCTGAAACCTTCCATACTGTTCTACAGAAGAATCTTGCTCTCCAGAATCTGTTTCGATGGTCACACCTTTATGGAAAGCGTCACCTTGGCAGGCCTGAATAAAAAAAACTTTTGGTTTTCCAGCAAGTGAATTGCAATTCTGTGCAGTGAAAGAAGTGGTCAGTTCCCGGATAGGTACTTCCTGCCCATCAACACCATATATAATGCCTTTTTTCCCATGAGACAGGATACAGCAAACAAAACAGTCCTTGTCCTCATGGTCTTCACTCTGGAAGATATTCACAGTCTTACGGATTTCTTCTGCAGTGAGGTCTCTGTATTCTTCTACTCTAAAATGAAGCTTGCTAAAGACATTCCTCAGAGCCGCTGGAAAGCAAAGAGAGGGGAAATTGGAGACATTTCATTATATGAAGCTTGGACTCTGCAATTGCGAATTGCATTTCAAGACATTAATGGTCATCTGCTACATAACTACATCCACGTAGCTACAGTCCTGGTCTAAAAATACTCTAGTAGTCTAATCACTAATCATATCTCTACTGAGTTCCCTTAATTGTCATTAAAAGGTTTTGTTGCATAATTCTGCGTATTTTAGAATAAATATGCATAAGGCTGATGGAAAGCTAGCCTAGCTTGTAAAGTCCAGGCTCAGAGTCCTGCTTAAGGTTGCAGTAACCTCACTAAAACTGCAAAATGCAAGTTAACTGTTCAGTGTCAGGCACTAAAAACTTGATGCTTTGATTAGGACTTGTCAGCACAATAAACAGAGCCAACTGAACCACTACAACAAAAGTAATCCTAGAAAGGGAAGGCTGAAATTCAGACCTTTAGAAAGAGAAACAAGGTTTCTATTTTTAAAGATTCATAGACTCATCTTTAATATTCACTGTACCTGCATCCACATCTGTCCCATTCCGATCCTTCATATGTTTGTGTTCTAGCACTCCTTCCCTAGCTTTTGCAAAATTGTGATTATTCAGGATCAGGCACACTCCACAGGGTCGGCTGGTCATTTTGTAAGCTTCAAGAAGCTGAAAAGAAAGACTCCTGGTGAAACTCCTGAGCTCTCCTCCAAGTGCTCTTTAGCTGTTGGGAGTGACAGAGCAGGGTACAGAGGCAGCTGGTCTCCTTTCCAGGCAGCTCTCCCCCAAAAGCTTTAGTCCCAGGGCCTGGCAGTGCCCACCCCACTGCCCTTGGCAGTCTGTGCAGGACAGCGTCCTGCTGGACAACCAAAGTCAGGCTCAGTCCACACGGGCTGCTCTGTTCACTCACATCTGTGTGCCAAGCCAGCTGCTAACTGCCTAATAACTGCTCACTTCATGGAGGGGTGAGCTCTTCTAAGATAAAATTACGATGTTTCTAAGAAATGAACTAACTTACCTGGGAAGAATTAAAACTGCCAGGAGGATCAGGTACTACAGATGACACCAGATGTCTCTCAGGGCGTCTTGTGCTGCCCCTCCCTTCCTCTGTGATGAGCATCTCTTCCTGGCCTGCAGAGCATTCATCATTAGTGCTGTACAATACCTATACATCAATTCGAGAATAACTACAGGGAAGAGATTGTTTTGTTCTGTTTTACCATAAAGGTTTAATCCATCTTCGATTCTGTTCCACAGGTTGATGTTAACTTTTTCACAGAGACTCTTCAACATACTTAGGTTGTCTTTCCCCAGAAGGCCCTTCTTCTCCATCTCAGTGAGAATGTCGAGCATTGTCTGGGTAAACAGAAAGGCAGTTTGGTCTTGGGGCACCTCCATGCTGCCACTGGGAGTAAAGCTGCAGCATGTGCACTTAAACTTCAATGTAGTGACAGCACCACATGAGAACCACAGAGTCTGTCCAGCTGACTGGGAGCTCAGGGGAGATCTCAGCTGAGCCAATGAATCCTAATTCAACAAAATCTACAAGTACTATTAAGTACCAACATCTTCTCATAACATACTCATTTCCTTCTGTAGCTCAGAGGTGCCAAGATCTAACCCAGGAATATGTAACAATATTTTTGATGATTGCTTTCATTCAACTTTCAGTGGCTATTGTGCACTCAAAACAGAAAGAAACAGAAGAATCACTGCAGTGACCACCTTAAGCACTGGCAAAAAGGGTATAATGTCACATGATGATGTAAAGGCTGCTCTGAAGTAAAAGGGGACCCAAGGGACAGAAACTTGTCAGTGAGTGGCAGAGCACAGTGGTCACCCCAAGAATTTACTTGAACAGCTCTCACAGTCTCCCCTCTAAGAAAAGAAGGAAAATCCTCAAAACTTTTATTAGACAGAACGAAGTACCAAGGAGTGTCAGAACTGCAGGCTGGGACAGCATAAAAGCACTGGATCTCCTGCAAGGCTAGTTGTAAATTCCAACTCATTTGACCTAGCCTTTAGAAGAATCTGCTGCTTAGATCTGTATTTTCCGCATTTAAAAAGAAAATAATAAAATAATATCCACAGCAGGTCACTTTCTCTATTTGATAATGGCTTAGAAAGAAAAAAAAAAAAAAGTCTGTTGGGCAAGATAAGTAAATGTGCTCATGAGTTTTTTGTTGATTAAAGCCACTGAATGCCCCGAGTCCCATGTGGTGCTTGGATGTGATGGCCTCAGTGCCTGGAACTCCTGGCACTGCTGGCTGTGACTCTGCTGCAAAAGCTGTGCCCAACACCAGCACAAACAAGCCCCGTATGCACCCAGGGGCACCCTTTTTCTTGTGCTGTTTTCACCGTACAAATGACACCATAAAGAGGAGTGACGCTCGTTCCTCCATGAGCAACACAATTACCTCTATGGTTTATAGTAATATTTATTTTAAAGTATTGAAGAGATACTTACAGTCCCATGGGTTAGCTTGCTTTTTGGTAATTCTTCGACCAAATGTAACTTGAAAGACATCAGCTCATCTTCGGTGGTATCTTCAGACAGGTGAAAGAGCAAGTATCTAAAGAAGTAGAGGGCATTGTTTCATCGTATTTTCGAGCACAACTTAACTCCGTACTTCTCCTGCTCCTCTTGTCTACTGTCCTCCGGGCATATATTTCCCCTTTTTCCCGTTTTAGGTGGAGGACACAAGTCCCAGGACCGCCTGAAGTCAAACCCTTCAGCCTAGTGTTGAGAGGAGGTGAGGGCGGTCCCGGACAGAATGAGGCGGGCAGCCGGGCCAGCCGAGCCCGGCGCCCTCACCCACCTGAAGGGCGGCACCCGCGCCCCGCCCGGCTCCCGCAGCTCCCTCTCCACCTGCTCCCGGCTGGAGCCCAGGTGGGCAACCAGGAGGTCGATCCGCCCGATGCGGTAGAGCAGCTCCCTGAGGAAGGCCAGGTTTCCCGCCTCCAGCAAACCCATCTCCTGCAACGCTTCGAAGAAGTCGTGCGGGCTCCGGGCGTCTTCCAGCTTCCTCCTGGGGACGTGCTCCCGGCTAAGGAATTTCAGCGCCACCAGCTCAGCCTCGTCCAGCTCCTCGCTGATCGCCAACAGCCGCCCCCGGGGCAGCTCCATGGCCGCGGAGGACAGGGCGGGGCCCGGCCCGGGGCGGTGCTTCCCTCTGGATTATTTAAACTTCCGGAGCGAAACACCCCCCAGTTCCTTGGGGAACGGGGTATTTTGGGGCTGTGCTGCTCACATTGCCGCCTGGTCTTGAGAGCTGGACGAGCTTACGCAGATGGTCGGAGTACTCGGGTGGTGGGTGTCTCACCACAGCCCCTGCAATGGGAGAAGCTGGCAGCCAGCTGAACACGGGTTGCATCCTCACACGTGCCACCAGACTTTCCTAAGGGTAGCACGGTTTCAAGTCATCCTAAAACCATTCGAGTGAATGACAAACTTCCCACAGGAGGTGGGCATAAAGAGCTCTCTGGGAAACTGCTGTTAAACGGAAAGAATAAGTAGCAAAATGTGAATGACTGGGCAAGGACTGACGCCCCTAGACAGCATTATCTCTTCTTCAGCTAACAGTCCTCCCCAGCTCTCATAAGTGCTTTCCTTTTCAAATAGCACTACTCTGATCTTGCCTGCTTTTAGTTTAAGTCTGCAGGACTTCAAGTCACCAGCTTTTCTTTCCTACCAGACTTCTGGCTCCGCTTTCTGGTGGCAGTGCTTCTGCTGTCTGAAAACAAAACAGAATTAAGTGCCAGGCTTTTGACTGGATTTGGCCTCCTAGCCATGAGCTAGGAGGAAGGAAAAGGCAAAGTAAAAAACAAAGCTGAGGGCCTTCAGAGAGAAAAAATGATTGCCCCTCACCGTTCTCTAGCTTGTGCTACAGAGAGAAAAGAGTCAGGAAATTGCAGAACCAACTTCCTTCTTACCATTGAGCTCCGTGGGAGGGACACAAATCCGAGTAAAAACCTACCAGGCACACTTGGCTCAGAACCACAAAACTCAAAGTGTGTTTTCTCCTTCCCTAATTGCTGCATGACCTACATAAGAATTCACAGTATGGCTGTTTTCTGCAGTTCTTTAAAGGATTTTGATGGGGTTTTTTCTTCCTCTCAGTAGGTCTTCATCCACAAGTGATAATGGTAAACTATGGAAGTGGCTGGATTTTAAGAGGCAGAACAAAATCAAATCAATTTAAATCACAGAGTGTGACTGATCAGCATCCTCTGTAGCCCTCCCTCCAGCGGAGGACAGCTCAGAGGAGAAGGAACAAAAACCACACCATCTCCGGGAAGAACAGATAATAAAGAAAGTCAAATTTATCTCAACACCAGGGAGATTGGAGGGTGACCTTAGTTTTTAGGGAAGACATTTGCACCTGTGAATCATCAGGTACCCTAAGACAATTAAAAGGAATAATGTCTTCCTGAGCAAGTCAGGCCACCATGAAGGGTGTGGATACGTGGCTCACCCAAAGCCAACATAAAAGTATAAAAGCTGGACAACTGTTAAAACATTTAAACTTTGAAAAGAGCAATGGGCTTGAGCTGGCGTCCTCCCACGTTCCACCATGACTGGGAATGTGCAGGGTCATGACGGATAGTACACCTATGTAGCTGTCTTACCCTACCAAATCAAAATCCTGTGTAGCCCCAAAGATACCAAATAATTAGATTTTATTAAAATTGATTTGAATTCCTCCTCATGTAGAATAGCTGAAAGAACTTGGTCTGAGTGTATTGAACTCTGACACAGAAATATGAGAAACAGAAATGCTATAGATTTACCACTTCACTTCTGGAGCAGCTTCCACCTTCCAACAAGTTTCTCACTGAGGAAGCAGTTACTGAATGGCTCTACAGGCATCAACTGCCATTATCATGACAGTCCTGAACTTACTCTTTCCTACCATCTCTCCAGTTGCTGCCCCTCGGAGTAACTGCCAAGGAACACTCCAACAAGAGCTAAATTACTTCTGCTGGGGTAAAAGTGCTGACTATCCCTCAGAAAGCTCATCCAGGAGAGGAACACACCACAAACCGAGGTGATATAAAAACAAAGAGAATTTATTATAACAGAAACATAGTTACACAGCTTACTTCTAGTATTCTACAGTCATTCAAGACACACTGTGTCCTGAGAGCTCTGAGAAAGTGTAGACTTTTATTATTGAAAAACTTATACAGCTGGGCTGTATAAGTAAAGTAAATTATTGTCATTAACTAAACCAAATATTTAGAAGAACCAAACTAACATAATCATTATCATAAACTATCATAATCAAAACAGACAATTATTTACCCGCAGGTAAGACAGTTACAACCTGCTACCTGGGAATGCATCTGGCATTCTGAATCTGTTCTTTTTTCAGATTTTAGGGACTTGAAACAACTTAACACACAAATGGGGCTTCTTTGACATTTCCAATAACTTTTATAATATTACTTGAAAGTCCTTTCTCACTTGAAACCCAGACTGAACATATTCCACTTCTTCTGCTGGACAAAAATGATCTGTAGTTTTCCCCACCCTTACCCAACTGATCCAGGAGTTGGAAGACTGATTCAATATGGAAGCTGGAAAATTTAGGTCCCATGCCTCATTAAAGGGCTGGGGCTACTACACAAATCCAGATAATTTCTTATGCAGATTCACTTCCATGTCCAAGCCCACTCCAGATGTCATTCCTAACCGAGTGTATTCTTATTTGTCTACTTTTCATTGTGGAACTTCAAAGATCAATTGCTTCAGTAGAGTTGATGTTATCTTTGGCATCTGCTTAGATCCATCTAATTCTCTTTCTGCTACTTCATTGTTCACTTCTGTCAGGATGGTTGTGAGATCCACACGCCTGAACAAAAACAAAGAGAAGTTACATTGAAACACACGGTACTTGCAGCTCAGCCAAAAAGGATGCTGTGTGTTTGCCCCAGTAAAATGGTATCCCAGGGAAGGCTGGTATCTTCCTCACCCAATTGCCACTGAAATTTCACATTCCATTGAATAGCCACAGAATTCAGTGTGTTTGGAGGAAATAAAAGCAACCTCCATGTAGCATTGCTTTGGTTACAGCCACAAGAAGTCACCGAGATGAAACAAACCTATACATTCTCCATGTCTTCTTCTGGATGCCATGAGAAAATGATATCTGAAGGAAAATTCTATTTTCTAAATGAAGTTTATGAGGAGATGGGTGGGAGGCAAAAACAAAAAGTATGCCTACAAAACACTGGGGGGTTTTGTCTGTGTAATCACTCAACAAATTCACCTCTAATCAGGTGTCATTGGAAGAAAAATAGTTTATCAGTCAAAAAATGTTAAAAAAGACACAAACACGCTTGTTTGTGTGTAGTGTTGCAGGAAAATCAGGGGAAGTCACTTATACTTTGGCTCATCTGTAGAAGACTAACAGTGCCCAGTTTCAAAATAAATACTGTTCTCCACTGTCCTGCATGTGAGAAGCATTAATTACAAATGAAACTACTGTGTTTTGGCACAGCATGCTTAAGTATGCACATCTGCAATACCCCAAATATACAAGAATTAGAAATAGTACTTACTGTGGGCAAAGCAACTTCATCTTCTTACAGAGGGATTGAATGTAAACACTGCCAGTCTCACTGCGGAAGGACACGTAGTCATCCACTGTAGACATGCCAATCAGAATATCAGCCCTATCAGGAATGGAAATCGAAGGACTAGCATCCACCTCAAGATNTGCGGAAGGACACGTAGTCATCCACTGTAGACATGCCAATCAGAATATCAGCCCTATCAGGAATGGAAATCGAAGGACTAGCATCCACCTCAAGAGTCTGCTTCTACTGTAACAGATGGATGATGTCTAGAGCCTTGGCAAGCCTGGATGATAAACACCTTGGGTTTGCCAGCGAGAGAAGGACAATTAGTTCCAGTGAAGCAGGAGACTAATTCTTCAATATTTACGCACTCATCATCAACACCTTTTATTTTGTCTTTTTCACCATGGGAGAAAATGAAACAAACAAAACAGTCCATATTTCTGTGATCTCTTTTGCTGTATTCTTTAACTGTCTCACGTATTTTTTTTCCTTCTAGATCCATGTACTCAACTGTCTCAAACTGAAGCCACTCAAAAACCCTCTTCACAGCCTCTGGGGAAAAAATCAGAAGGAACTTGTTAGTGACAAGGAAGATGCTGAGACATCAGTGTCTGTGTGGTAGATAAGATATTAGCAGAAGCATTCAAATCCCACCAGTAAAATCACCTGACTGGCTCTTAACCTGCCAAAGCCTGTTAGAAAAACCCAAATGCCTAATTTACCTAATTTTATTTTTTTTTTTAATATGACTGGGTTAAGACTCATGCTCTCTAGAACAAAAACAGGTTTCAGATTCTATGTTGTACTGGTACAAATTTGTGACATTTACTGTGTTAAAGCAAGCTTTAACTATGCACTGCATAGTAGTCTCAGGTGCCTAAGAATGACACCTGGCAAGTTAAAGAAGTGCCACCTCTTTAGAATGACAAATTCTGCCACTCTTTAATGAAGTAGGTCCCTCATTCTGTGTGAATGGTCAATGCAGCAAGAAGGAAATCAAAATAACCTGCTCCCAAATGCTATGAAGACTTCTTGGCAAATGGTGGCCTAATTGTAGTGTGGGCAGAGAGAAAGTAGCTGGGAAAAAAGCAGCCTGTAAATGGACTGGATAGAGTTAAAATATCTGTGAAATCTCCTTTCAGGAATCTGATTTTACTTTTTTATTCTTGTTTATCATAAAAGTGACTTTCAGGAAGACAGGCTTTAAGGAAAGTTACAGAGCATTTATTTGAGCATTGAAGAGCATTTGAGGACTTAAAATATTTTTCTATGATAGCTAAGAACTAAAAACATTCAGAAATTGGAAAGGTGGGATAATAATCACTTTTTCACTAGTTGTACATACTATCAATTAAGACAATGCCTTTTTCCTAGACAAGAAGTAGATTCTTCTTTAAGCCATAGCTAAATGTTGGAAGTGGCATATTTCCAATTGGTACATTGACTGCCACTCCAGTCTCTGGAGGCCAAGGAGTACCATGGTCATGATTCTTCTTCACAGCAAAGATTAGATAATTGTTTTGGAGAATTATCAGAGAAGAAAACCCAAACCAGTAATTGGATTTAAAAAGTACTTACCTCCGTCATGCAATGTTCCCTCTCTATTGAGAAGTGGATTTTTAAAAATGTGGTTGTTAAGAATTAAACAGTAACCATGGGGGTTATTTTTCATCTTATATATTTTCCCATGCTGCAGAAACAACAACAACAAAAAAGCAGGTAGGAAATCAGAACCAAGCATTCAAAAGGGAAATACACTATATACAGGTTGCTGGTTCATCATTATCTAAGCACAAAAAAAAATAATCACAAAGGCCAAGAAACAAGAAAGGAAAAACCTAAGTATACAATTTAGGTACAGAGGAGAGGAATCTGCATTGTCTCCCTGAACCCCTCCTCTCTCTTCAGTCAGGATATGATTTTGACATGGGAGAAGGGATCCAGAAACACAAATTTGCATGTGCATAGGAAAAGGTCCTGCACCTCACCATTTCCTCTGAGGGTCCTTGTGCAATTCCAGTGAGGCAGTGGGTTCTGCTATTCCCTTCACATCTGTCCAGGAGTACCCTGGCCAGGACTTTAATGTCCCAGTCTCCATTATCGTTAAGACTAGTTTTCTTCACTCAACTGTTTGTTCATTTCTTGCTTAAAAGGTTGCTGACAACCAAGTCCCCACAAAGAAGGCCTGATCTTGTTTGGAAAATTGGAATTGTTCCAAGGCTTACATATAGAACCAGAGCCTCTCCATCTTGGCTGCTCCACCTGCTCAGTGTTATGAATTTATGCTCCCTCTCCCAGGAGATGGATAAATACTTTAAAGGTAATCTTGAGGTATTTCTCACCTGTTTTGCTGCCTCCCCCTCTGCTCCTGGACGTGCAGACACAGACACAGGATAACGGACTTCTTCCCTAGAATAATTTTCTAAGAAGGAGAAGATAAACAAAACATTTTGGAACTAAAAGGATAAATCTTCCACTGTGCATATTTCAACACTCAAAAAGCCAGAACAAGGAGTGAGCTGGAGGGGGTTTTCACACCAGCGAGACATCAGCATTTTGTAGAGCTGGGCCAAGCACGGCTCCAGTTTCACAGACTGCTGGTTATTATAGAAGCCATGCAGGGCTGTGCTCCACTGCTTCTCTGCTCCTCTGCTCTTTTACTGGTAGCAAGATACAGATAATGAGAGGTTGAATGTGAGTAGTCATCTCAAGCAAGCCATTCACCAGCATCTCCACTGTGGGATATGTAAGTGAAAGAGGAGACCCATTTTTGTACAATAGTACAAAATGCTGATCCATTTACTTCTGAGGCTACTGTCTCTTCTCCAGAGAACTTTACTGTGTGAGTGGATGCAAGGATGCAAAATACCAGCATAATGAAAGATCTCCTCAGAGCACTTACTTGAATACGACTTTCTGAAAAAAGTGAAGAAATCATCAAATCCCTGACTCTAACCAAGGAAACAAAATCATTTTACTAATTACAAAAACGTGTTTAAATTAATTGTCAGGGCAACAAGCTCTGACACATGTTTTTTTTCTACTTATCAAGAGGACAATGTAATAACAATACTACTAGAAAGCCATTCTCCTGACACAGGACTTGCTTGCACTAGCCTCCCTTGGCAATTATCTTCCTGCTCTTTTAGAGACACCAGCAGAGGACAGCAGCACAAAGATCCGCAGGGAAAACCACTAGGTAGCTCTGCAGGGCACTGCATGGACCGTTTAAATGTATCTAAGGAAACACGTCCTGAGATATTCAGAAGGAAGTTGTTACTGACTGAGACATCGTGTTTTCCTCAGCTGCAACAGCTGGGGTATACTGAAGTCCTTGAAATTTCCCATCTGGTTACAGAAAGCAACACTTCAGCCAAATGACTGCTTTTCAGGGACTGTCCTTAGACTAAGAGCAAAGGGCCTGGCTAACAGAAGATAGTGCTGACAATCTCCCAACACAAGTTTCCCCAAGTCACCTGTCACTTCTTGTCTCTTGCAGTGATCTGGAAATATGCACAAACCAGCACTGCACTTTTTCCTGAGCTGATAAATTGCATTTCTTAATGCAAAGAGAAGGCAGAAGAAAACCATTTACAAGGCACAGAACATACTTCAAGGATAGATACAAGAATCCATGATGGGATAATGAAGTAGCAGAGAACTTCAGAAATCAGAGTTCTCCAGAGCTGTTCTGCCTATCCTAGGATAACATAAGGTCTCTCCCTTATTGCTGGACTTCTAAGCTTCCAAGGATGGTGCCATAAAACTCACAAAATACCCCAGTTCTGTTCTTGAACAGCAGATTAAATAATTTTACCTTTTTTTTTTACTTCATAGGCATCAATTTTTCTCTTTAGGTCAGGTCTAACTTTCTGTAATATATCTTTCAGCATTGTGAGGTTATCTTCTTTAATTAACCCATTTATTTCCATTTCCTGAAAGACCTGCAACATTGACTGGTAAAACAAAAACACATAACCCAAACTCATCCAGTGACCTTTGATAACCACAGCATCAGGCATCTCTGCAACAGGGCAGAAGACAACATCCTCATTCCCAGAGACTGACCAGATAAAGACCTATTACTTTTTCCTCTAAACCTCATTAAAGCAAGGGTCAAGTGAATAAATACATCATCATTAAGGTTAAAGCAGGACAATTGGAAATTGCCTATAACTAGGCTATCCTGCTTTGTTTCAGCAGTACAAAGCACTGATGTGGATAACATAACATCCTGTTGTGCCTTTGTGTTCTGATGAAGTGCTGCTAAGTCCCTTAGCTATGCCATTTTGCATTTTCTATTACAGAAAAGCTGTTCAGCACTAATTTTTTTAATTAAAGCTCAATTTTCCACGAAGTTGGAGGCAAACCTGCTAATTTTCCTCTATAATACAAATAGGATTTTTAAGGAAGGTTCTTAATAATACCAAGCATTTTTATAACACAGCTCATTACAACTATTAAACTAGCTTACCCAACCTCTGAATACTTTTGGGGGAAAGTTAACAATATGTTGTTACTCCAAATTACAATAAAGAAGAAAATTTACCCATTGACACACAAAAATTCACGGTTGAACTCACATTAGGACTTGATTTTCTGTCTCCATTGTTTTTCCTTTAGCAAACCACTCTTCCTAGGTATAGCATATGTCTTATAAAGACATTTGTCTTATCAATGCCAAGCAAAGATTAAAGGAAGAGCATGCTGGATTTTGCAAGACAAGATTAAGGAGACAGGTGGTGTAGAGAAAATAGAATCAGGAGAGCAAAAAAGGCAAAGATAAAATGCAAAAAATAAGGATCCATTCTTTCACACAGCAGCTATCAAACCAGATTTTCCTGAGAGCGGGCTGCTTTCTCTTTCCTCCCTTCTTACAAGAACTAGAGGACTCTGCACTAGCCTTGCAAAAAACTTCTCAAGACAACTTTTCATACAGCATTTTCCTGGAGCTTGTTCTTTGGTAATTGTTTTTGGAGCAGGAACTTCACACTTCTGACGTCTCCTGGAATCAAGTTCTCTGCAATTCCATACAGCAGTTGCCTGACAATAAAGAATAGAGAGACCTTCAAGAAAGCTATAAGAAGTAAACGCCACAATTAAACATTTGAACTGCAAAATGCAAAACTCAAAATAAGAAGTAAGCACCACAATTAAACATTTGACCTGCAAAATTCACAATGGCAAGAATTCACGTGTAATAAATACAGTTATGCTGGGATATTCACAAGACAACAGTGCAGACAGAAAAGACAGTTGACACTGAACTGTTGCATTCTGCATGCTCCTGTGTTTACCTGTAAGCTGACACCTGTGCCCTGCCCTGGACCTGCAGCTCTCTCTCCATCTCCTCCCGGCTGGAGCCCAGGTGGGCAGTCAGGAGGTCGATCCGATTGATCCGGTAGAGCAGCTCCTTCAGGAAGGACAGATTCCTCACCCCGATCATGTCTTTCTCCTGCAGCGCTTCGAAGAAGGCCTTGGGCTCCTCGATGGCTTCCAGCCTCCTCCTGGCGACATGCTCCTGGCTGAGGAATTTAAGACCGTCCAGTTCGTCTGTGACCAAAGCCTCAGAAATTTCAAAAAGCACTTTGCGGAATTCTGTACTCATTTCACACCAGGAGTTGGATCTAAACAGGAACAGCAGTTGATTTCATTTGTCAGTAAGACTAGTGCAACAACATGACATATGTAAGGGGTATCACATCATGTAGAATAGCCCAAAATAAATACATGCAATCAGAAGTATTTCAATAGAGAGAGGCTGTCTTGCTCTCGTACCTTTGATGCTTAGGCTCTTTCAATTCTCTGGACTTAAAAAAGGATATTAGAACCTCTGTGCTAAGTGACATCAGCAGAGAAAGTCATAGATCATTCCTGCTTCCTATGGTGTGTCTAGACAGTGGGAAGTACCAATGTACAGGATGTAGAATCCTGGCAGGCTGCTGCTGGTTTTGTTCAGGTTTGGGTTTTTTTTAAGTTTGATACCATTTGGGAAAAACAGCCACTTGCCAGTCTGAAATATAGACTGTGTAATAAATGAGACTACCAAATTTTACACCATAACAAGACTAATAGTCCACATGAGTATAGCTACTCTAAGCTATCTGGCTTCTCCTTTCTTTTTATACTGCTTCTGGTCAGCACACCCAAAGCACCTCTTCCTGTTTTGGTTTATCTACATCAAGTAAAACTCAGTTTCCAGCTGTCAATTAACCTGTAATATTAAAAGCAAATACAGATCCTGTCAACCTTTTTAAAAAGGCCAGAAGAATTCTTATCAAACTATCTTTGTTTCACTGAGCATGGAATACCACCTCCCTTCTCCTCTACTTTCTCCATCAGCTTTAGAAATATTAAACTTGAATTATGGAGTCAACGTTTGAGCACAAGAAGTTAGAAAATTCCAAGCCTTCCAGCTATCTCCCTCTGATACTTAAGGGACCTGCCTCTACTGATGTGACGACCCATGGGCAGGTCAGTGTCTGTTATAAATTCTTGTCAGGCTGAACAAAGATACCAGACATGTGTCAGGAGCCCTCATTGTTTGATTGTACCATCTTAACTGTAGCAACCAGCCCAGTATTTACACTCAAAAGGTATTGGCTAACATGCCCTTAAATTCCACAAGACTGGAGGCTAACAAGCCCTTAATTTTGCACAGTACACTTCACAACTCCTACAACAAACTCCTCAAAAGGTGCTGGCTCACAAGCCACAACGCCCAAAGGTGCTGTCTCACAAGTCACACCACCACTACACAAAAGTGCTGTCTCACAAGCCTCAAAAATCTCCACAAGTTTCTCCCTCCCACAACAAACTTCAAAATGGAATATGGGGTAAAATATTATAGCTGTGCAAGCCAAGAAAGAGGAGAAAGCAAAGAATATCCCGTCTTTAGATCCTGTGTTGATGCTGCCACTTGGATAATCTGGAGATGAAGAGAGAACAGAGAGGGTACAAAGGACAGAGGGGGTGTGCCGTGGTTTAACATAGTTTGATTTTTAGTTAAGGAAAAAATCCACGAGCTACAGAAGTGATTCCCTGTAAGGACCTTGACAGCTTCCTTTGGACCTGACAGAACCAATCAGCTAAGTAGTTTTAAATATTGACACCCTGTTTAACCACTTAAGAGAGCTAGAAACAACTCTGTGAAATCCCATTTAAAAATGAACAAAGCCAAGAAACTCGGATTGACGAACCAAAACCACTTCAGGGTGTGTGCCCAATCCATGTCCTGCTGTAGTTAACCTGGTGCTTGCCCGTTATCTAAATTAGACTTGTGCATTTTGTTCAGGTGTGCACAGCCAGCCTTTCCACAGGAAGTGAGCTGGGCTGGGCTGGGGACAGAGCACGAGTCTCAGGGTGGAGCAGGGAGTTGGCTCAGCACAGCACAGCGCTGCCCCACTGCCTCAGGACCCTCTCCCCTGATCACACCTCTCCTGTAGCCATGCTCAGAATGTGTGAGACAAATCAGCCTACAGCTGGCACTTAAAGGACTTGTCTCCACTTTCTTCTAAGTAAGAGACCCATTTGCCACTTCACTTTCTCGGCCCTAGGTGTAAGACACCTGGGGATCTCTGAAGAGAAACTATATAAATGCATTCAGAAGAGGTCTCTTGTCTCTTACAGAGAGACACTGGCCGTGGGAGACAGAAAAGTCGACAATGACAAAATAGAACTTCCTACTCCTACACTACTGGAATACTGCAATTCATTTTACTTACTGCAGCTGCAAATGTTTCAATAACAATACTCCAAAGCAGCCCAGCTGACTAACTGGTAATAAAATTAGCTAACAATTGTATTCTGCTCTCCTCCAAGGACCACTCTACAGCAAAGGAGCTTTTTGTGGCTTTTTGTGTGTTAGCAAGAGTGAATGTATAACTGAATCTAAAGCCTTTGCATTTCAAATGAACTTCTAAAAGAGTTAAACATGCTGTGACACAGCCCATATGATTTGTGTTCTGCCCCAAAATATTGTTTTCTTTAAATCTACTCTAACCAAACTTTTAAACAGACAAAAATCCATATAATTCAGGACATATAAACCAGTAGCATCTGAATGCGCTTAACCTCACCATTCAATGATTACCTTACTTTGTATTTCTATAATCACACGGGAAAGAATAATATTTTCTTGGTAGGTAGCTATGAAGTTATCTTCTTTCTCACATAAATCATGCCTTTCATTTAAGATACAAGAGATACTGTTTATACAAGCAAATCTTGCTTGTAAACGGAATTTTCATTTTATTTCTCAAAGGCTGTAAGTTTCAAACCCATCAAATTATTGCAGTTAGAAGAGACATGCCACCTATATGTTACATTTAAGCCTGTCTGTAATTGCATGAAGTACAAGTAAAACAATATTTAACTGCCACTGTCCTTTTCTCTCAGTTTGCTAACTTAAAGACGCAACTGATAAAAGTAAAATTAATATTAGTGGTAGTAGTAATTTAAAATCACTTACATGGGAGGACAACTCTGAACAAAGTGAGTCAGCCTGTCTCTAAAGTTCCAGGAAAAGTCTGCCAATATGGTATTGTCACATGACTTCCAAGAAGTACATTACAATGGAATAAAATGCTAAAAAAGCAGGAGATTCCCTACTTCAGGTACTTCACATTTCCATTTTCAGAGAACTGATTATTACAGAACTTGTGAGAAAAAAATAGTAAACAAGCCATGAAGTAATCAAGTTTTGCTTTTGTTTTACGGCAACAACTAAGCAGCATACCTAGTGCGTTCTAGCATAAAGCACAGCTCAGCACTTTCGCTCATACACAAGTCCTAATTAAGACAGTGAGAGATGGCTGAATCTACATATTTTCATTCAAAATATCTCACAAAATATCTCACTGCCACTGCCCTGCTGTGTCACCAGATCTGCTGTGACATCCCCTTTCTCTGAAGTCCCTCTCCAACCGATCCCAGTTTATTTTTAACAGGAATACATTTTTAAATGAAGAAAAAAAGCCAACTATTAGCACCAAATTCAGTAGTAGCACTCAGTAAATGCAGGGAAACAACTAAATATTATTCTGAAATTATTTATGTAATATACTTCCCCATTTAAAGGAGAATTTGAACATAATTAACTTCTTACATCTTCGCACTCTTTAAAGTAAATAACTCAGCCTTCAATGAATGGCATGCAAGTCGCTGGAATCGTCCATGAAGCAGGAAATAAAACAGCACTCAGTATGGCTACCAGACTCTCAGCGGACCCTCAAGGCAGCATTACCAAGAGAGTTAGGAGTGCTGAAATTTGTTAAAATTTTACAATGAAAGCAATCATTCATGGATTTCAACCTATCTATCTTTATAAACACAAAATTATACCATACCCTTTGATAGAATGAGGCGTACAAATTCCTTCCAAAAGGCACACCCTAGTACCACATCAGAAAAACTTGTTGCACTGGCGGGAATTGCGCCATCATCCAAAGGCTGGGAACAGCAGAGGAACACCACCAGCACTCTTTCATTTTCAGATCCAAAATGTTTATCTCCATGTCATTCCAAATGTCAGCATCTCTTTCCCTCCATCATTTCTTCTGTGTCTTACCTGAACCAAGACTTCAGTTGCAGTCTGAAAGAGCCACCGTGCCGTGATATGCTCTGTGACAAGTAGATAATGGCTTCTCCTCTCGATCAGCAGTTTGAAGGTCCACCCCTTTGGCAATATAGTTTCACTTTTGATTTCCTCCTCTCGTCCTTCCTGGAAATGTTACTGCCCTTTTTTAAAATTAGTCTCCCTCATTTCCCTTGGCTCCCCTGCACTCTGGTTTCCTCCAGAACTGTCTCAGTGACCCAATCTTTTCCTTGTACAGCCTGCCAAAGATTAATCTCCCTGGAAAGGGTAATTTGAGGAAGAGAAAATGGTGCGCTTCCTGCCTGCTCAGCAACTGTAGCGACTGTCCCCTGCACTGCCACAAGGCGGGATACACAGCTCCTGCACAAAAGTGACACAAGGGACGGGATACCAGCAATCTTGATTACCACTCTAAGATCATGATCTTGCCAAGATAGCAACTTCCCCAGAAGACTTTTTACACTACTTCTACTTAAATCTATCTACACAGGGGCTGCACAAGACACAACCCTTCCTTAATTGAGTAGGTGGAGAGTGCCCCAGTGCATGGGTCTACAAGCCTCAAAAGCAACCAACCTGAAGTTACAAGAAAGGTGTACAGTGTGGACAGCAAGTAATGATGAATACCTAAGTTGTACAAAACCGACCCACTGTCCCCAGGAGTTTCAAACTTCTATCTCACAATACCCTGCAGGAGATCCCACAGAAACGCCCAACTGCCAGGCTGGCAGCTGCAGTTCCAGTTCGAGCCTGCCCTGCCTTAGGGCTGGTGCTAGCAAGTCCCACCACATGCATCTAGGTATTACACTGTGCAGCCACACAAACAGCCCTCGACAGACATAAATGACATACACTAAATGTCCAAACCAGGGTAGTCTAAACTTTGTTTAAACAAACTCCTTATGAGCAAGGGAGACTTTACCAGTCTTTCACACTTCACAAGTGTGGCTCTCTTCCCCCACGGAACTCAAGGCTCAGTAAGCTCACACTCTTCTGACTGTCTTTACCTGCCTATGATTTCCCTGGAGATTACCCAGACAGAAGTCTCTACAGAGACAGCAAGAGAGCGTGATGGCATTCCTTGTCTACCAAATTAAAAATGAAAACAAGATCCCACAAAGCAGAGCGAATGGTTACTCCATACGGATAAAAATTCATTTGTTTCCTAAACATACAAAACGAGTGCATCAAGTCTGAACAGTAACTGCAAGCCAGAAAAATCACAATTCCATCCCAATCTTATATATTCCACTAAGGGATGGTACATTTTTCTTATCTGTGGCATAAATGTGACTTCTTCAAGTGTGGCAGCCATGCTAACTCAGAAGACTTAAAATGCAATGGGTCACACAAGTGGCCACTTCATTATCATAAAGGGACCATCATGTTTTGGAAAACAATGGTCTGTATGATGCAAAACTCCCCTCCTAAAAATAGTGCAAGCCAGAAATTGCACCCAATAGCACTGGACAGTACTCTTTCCTATCTTCACCCTAAGGTATTGCTAATCATATATAACAATGAGTATTTTGATAAGGTTTCACTTCAACTTAAACCCTGAACCAGTTGAAACCTCACTGATTCATGCAGCCCAACAAAGTGTAGGAATCTGTCAGAAACAAAGATAAACCCTTACCCCAATACAAAATTTTTATCTCACTAAGCTCTTAAAAAGTATGAATTTAATGCGGTAACAAACAGGAAAGACATAGGCATACATAATAAGTGTTGAAACAACATGGCATTATTTAGTTAACTCAAAAAATTCTTAGCAGCTTAGTCTATAGCAGCCTTCTCAAACTGGTAGCATTGAAGATCCTAAACCAACAAATGATAATTAAAAAATGCAATGCTTAACAAAGTTAATGTAACTGCTGTATTTCATAGCATGCAAACCTTCTACCCTAAATTTTCTCAGAAATTATGGGGAAATAACCGTTCACAGGGTTTCACAGAGGGAATAATAAGCAGCATTTTGGCTTCATTCACTTTTGGAAAACTTCATTGTACGTGAAGTTTATGTCAGCCATTTCAGGGTATCCATGTGCACTGTGGAAGAAATTGCTGATTTCAGTTGGTAACTGGTTCTTTATTAAGTTAAATGTAATTTTCATTAGAGATTGAAGAAATCCTTTTCCACTTACTACTTCAGGTTTTATCTCTTCATTCCCACTTTTTTCTCTCTATCAACATAGCTAGTGGATTTAGAAACAGGATTTAAAATTGTTAGCCTGCAAAATAAAACATGATTTATGACGACTAACAATCCTGGTTTAAATATGAGAGCTGACATGCAATCCTTATGCTGCCAGGAAAAACCTTTGTATCTGCAGCCTATGCACATACAAAAATGTTTAACATGACAGAAGTGTGGTTCTTCCAACACTGATAACTCTGAAAATATATATGATGTAAATAGCTGGCACATGGATTGTTTTAACTGCATCTCCTCCAGTCCCAGTTTGTTTGACAAAAAATTTATGAGACCTTGCATTGAAGCTAACAGATCCTCAGGGTTTTGGCTAAGTGTCTTAAAACAGGTAGTGTGATGAACTGCATTTAAATGAGACGATAAAATGATGGGTTTTAAAAGCCTCAATGTTGCTCTGAAGGAGGAGGGGCCATAGGTATTGGGAATATAATTTTTTTTCTCAATGTATATGCTGGCTGGGGCATTTGCTTCTTTGTCCCTGAAGGGCTAATACGTCTGGCCACATCTTCATTAACTTCTGTAAGAATTGACAAAATATCTTCACCCCTACAGCCAGAAGGAGAGGGAAAAAAAAAATTAGTTATTAGTGAGCAGATGGCAATCCACTTAACATCTCCCTGATCAGCTATGAGAGTATGAAAATTTAAAACACAAAAAAATATACTTTTCTCCAAATTTGTCTTTTGACCTAATTTGAGTAATATTAAAAACAAAAGACCTTTTTCTGCTCGGTCTTGCTTAATTCAACCAATTAAAAAATAGTGGAATAAAGTATTTTTACCTATCACTCAATAAACTGTGCTGTCTTAAAGATTATAGATGTGAGGTTTTGAGTGTTTTTTCACTATAAACTTCACATTCTACAGATTACATGTATGGTACTAGCAGAGTTAATGTAAATTTATCAGTGCAAAATCATCACTTTAACTAATTCCATCCACCTTAGAACATGGGTGGGTGCTCCTAGATGAACTACCTTTGGACAAGAAAAATGTAATCAGAGCACTAAGCCAAGTATTACCTTGGTACCAACAACTGTAGCTTGCTGCAGAGGGACTGAATATACCAAGCACCCTCCTCAATGTGCCGGAAAGCAACACATCCATCAACTGTGGCCATGCCCAGGAGGAAATCAGCCTCTTCGGGAATACTTTCAAAAAAAGAAACTCTCTCTTGCACGGCAGACGAGTCAGGAGTTGGTCCATCAGCATCAAGGAAGACAGGACGCTGTATACTGTTACCCTGGCATGCCTGGATAAAGAAGAGTTTGGGTTTTGCAGCCAGCTGGGGACATTGTTTGGCAGTGAAGTGGGACATTAGCACGCGGATTGACACGAGTTTGTGATCTGTCCCGTAGATTGCTCCTGAGCTTCCATGAGATAGAATACAACATATAAAACAGTCCCTGTCTTTGTGATCTTGCACATGCTGCCAAGTTTCCATGAGATTTATAATATCCTCAGATGTCAGATTTGTGTACGTCTTCACATCCAGACCAAGCCACGTGAATACTCTCTCCAGCTGGTCTGTAAATAAATGAAAGATAAAAGGAAAATTCGAGGCAAGAGAAAAACATTTTATGAAGTCACCATGCAAGCTAATCTGGGCAGGGGAACACCTTACACCCTTATACTTCTGCAGATTCATCCTCATTTTAGTACCAACTAAAGATTAACTGGAATTATAAAAAGGTGGCATCAGCTCAAACACAGAGTTCCTGGATTTTTCTATATAAGCTTCAGAAAATAGTGCATACATTGTCATTGTAAGTGAGCATGCAAATGACACTTGAAAACCCAAAGAATCTGCCCTTTCCCAGTTTCAGATAAGATCTTTGAAAACTTTCCTCACATTATTTTCCAGATGCGGTTTTGACTATTAAGAGTTCCATTCATAAGAGATAGAGAAAACTGAACAAAGTAAGAAGTATGCACAGAGTTGCTTGATTATGGATTTTTGCATTATATTAGGTAGAATGATGGTTTAATTTAGTTTAGTTTTAGTTCTTTATTATAGCTGTAGATAAAAGATAAGTAAAAAGTGATTCTTAAAATTATTCAAGAATAATACAACTGAAAAACCCTGTGGTTGCTCATCCTTTAACCTCTCCTCCCCCAGGATACACAAATGACATAATTCAACCCATATCAAAGGTTTTACTCTTTTAGAATATTACTAACCATAGACAATAAAATATAGGTCAATACTACCTAATCAACTCACCTGGGGAAACAGAGAGACTAATCCTCCAAAAATCTCACTTCAGTAACTTACCAGCATCTTTGCAAGAACCCTTCCTCTGACAACTATTGAAGTCAACATTATTAATAATGAGACAGAATCCTCTGTGTGGCCCATCCATTTTGTAGCTTGTCATAGTCTGTAAAAAGGAGAAGAAAAAAGCTTACAGTTTCAATTAATTTATTCAGCTTACTCTTGTTTCCTTAACATGTCTCAAAATTGGCATCCAGGAGTTAGAGGCACCCAAGACTGTGGGCTATTTTTGAACATCTAGAACACAGTGGTGCCTCCTCGTGTGAAAAAACACCAGTGAAACTCCAAGCACACTGTCACCATCCTATCAAACTGCAGAAGAAGGGTTTAGTGTCTGGGTTCTCATCTGTATGCGAAAGGCAGGATTCAGCAGCCAGACTCTGCAATCTGAGTTGGTGATGGGGAGAGAAGACCCCAGCTGTTTCCAGTGTCAAAACAATAATTTAGCTTCATGGCAGAGGGATCACAATGAAACTCTAGCATGTTAGACATCTGAGTTGGGTTTTCTTGGGAACAGTAATGAATACCTGAAGTACGTGATGCTTACTGATCCACTGGGAAAGGATGCAAGCAGAACAGAAATGTCAGAAGTGCATAAACCTACTACACTACAAGCTTTTTGGTTAAGACTTAAAAGTACCTCCCACTGTCAAAAAAAAGAACATTTTTGAAGCTGAAAAAGTACCAAAACTTCAAGTACCATGTATTTAAGTCCAGCCTTGGGTTGAAATAAATAACTCCATCCACTGGAGTCTCTTCCTGCTCACTAGAGAGCAATACACACTTCCTTTTGTGCATTTTAGTAGGACAAAGTGAAGGCAGCATTCCAAGTTCCTTCAATTGTTTTGCAGCAATTGAACATCAGGTGATGAAAAAGATTTTACAGCACAGAACTTCAAGAAATTAAATAGTTATAAACAAATGGAGCTACTTGCTCCTTCAATATCCATGGTCATCACAAAGAAATGGCCAGAGGGAGAATTCAATGGTTACACTGCTGTGGTTAAAGAGTGCATAAAAGGCCTCTAAGAAGGGATCTCACAAAAGAGGTCTTTTCTCATGTACCAAGACCTCGGCAACAGTTCACTAAAAACTCTTGCCTCTTTTTAATCCCTCTAACAAGGGCTTTGCATGCTACCCCTTACTTTTAATTTCAAGATGCCCCACAAGGCTTCTTCTAAGCCAGATTCAAAAAGTGAGAACTGTGAAGCTCTATTTGTCTGTGTCTTGTACATTCTACTGCCATCTCCAAAACGCAGAACTTATACAAAGGCAATATCTTTTGCCTTTATCAGGAAGATAAGCACATGCACTGATGTATGAATAACTTCAGGGGTGTTATGCCCATTTTGCCTACAACATACTTTTCAATATTGCTAAATTTCTGGCCTCCAAGATTAAAGTACTCTTTGAAACATTCCAATTTATCAGTCAAGAAACTTTATAAGACTCACAGATAGCTCACAAGTACTTGCATGATAAATGTCATTTGAGAGAGCATGAAAACCTCACACCCCCAGGTGTTCAAAAAGGACTTAAGAGATTGTCTCAAACCTTGGATTCATTTTGTGCATTGCTGAATTCTCCACGCGGCTGCAGGTTTAATTCAGGGAAGACTTGTGTAAAATTAGCTGCCTTGTTATCTAGAAAAAACCCAGCATAGATATTTGTGAAGATAAATCCAATATTTAAAGAGTTTAGCTACAATACATCACTTTTTGTATTTGAAATACTGTTTCACTGAAAGGAATAGTTCCTCCATACAAGATAGTATGGTCATGTTCAATGGATCTATTCTGAACGTTTTCTGGTTACTTTTATTATTTTTATTTTTGTGACAAAGGCAAGGCTTCTATTTGAATCAATATTACAAAATAAAGACACCCATGGTACAAAGATAGATTCTACCCAAGACATTAAAATGAATTTTTAATCTGGAAATCAGTTTAGAAATTACCTGTATTTAAGAAGAATCTGCATTCTTACTACTGGAGTTATCTTTTTTTACTTCTTTTTTTTCCCCTGAATCACGGATAAATCTCGTTTTTTAAAATATAAAACCAGAAATCATCTATATGCTCATAGGCCATGTGTCACACACACACACAGAGTTTGTCTTGCCAGCCTATTAGCAGGCAACTTCCTTTGTGTAGTGCACATTCAAAGATCACAAAGTGCCTTTTACAGGACAGTCATCATCATTTCAATACTATTAATGGGAAAATTGTGAAGTGGGACATAACTATAAGTAGATTTTCAGTTTCCCAGCCTGTTCTGTATGTGCTGGGTTGCTCTGTGTGGCCTCAGATATTCAATCCCTGTATTTCAGGGATTCAGCTAGGAAATAGTGCAAGCTAGGAATTGTTATGCCAGATTTATATCACTCTAGCTCATGTTTCAGCAATACACACATATGACCTTAAGTTCAGTTGCCCAGACCCATCTACTGCTTCCTGCATTTTAGCAAACCTACCCCTAGACTATGAATTTCTCACCTTTTGCCTTTTTGTAGCAATCTATTGTCTCCAGGAGATCACGTGAAACTTTCATAAAGATGTCCTCCAGTATATTTACATTGTCTTTAGTTAAAAGGCCCTGCTTTTCCAATAAAGTCAGCAAATCTAAAGCAGACTGACAGCCAAAAGGAGAGAGTAAAATATAATTATTGTTCCTTAGAAATCAAAACTTGCCTCTCAGCTCTGTCTCAAACAATCACATTATTATCTGCTTTGCTCCCAAACAATGAGAACCAGACAATTTCACATCATCGTTAAAGCAGAAATGTTGCTTCATGGAAAACCACTGTTTTTTATTTGGAATGGTCTTGTTTAAACAGATTCACCCAAATCATATTAATGACTTGAGGCTTCAAGAAGGCTTCATTGCTGTGAAGCAGTACCAATGACATATGGACATGAATCTCCCTTGCACATGGCTCAAGCAGGGCAAAGATTTGCCACCTTTTTATAATCTGATGGTAGACAGTGAACTGTCAGTGACTGACCTTGGCACAAAGGACCAAATTCTACTCTTGCCTGTCAACATCTTCCTTCTTGCTATCCCTATGAACACGACCAGCCTAGTTGCATACTATGCTCTATTCTGCCAAACACTTCTCACACTTTTTCTCCTATTTCCCGCCTTCCTTCATCCCTTCCCTCCGTATACACGTTTGGCTCACTCCTCACGTACAGAAATTTTCCATCGCTTTGGAAGATGGTCTTGCAGGAGGAATATGATTTGCTCCAACATCTCACTGGTGATGTTCTCTGACAATTCATACAGCATCTGCCTGTAACAGAGATGCAGTGAGATAAAAGTGGAACAGAAGATGGTAAAAAACCAAAGGCAATCTAAGAATTTAAAAATGGAAAAGAAAACAGTATGGCATAGATTGCAATAATGGAGGGAAGAGAATTCCACTGCAAGCTTACCTGTATGGAGATACTCTTCCCTTCTCATGCAGATGTTCTTGTACTTTTTCCTTGGTGTAACCAAGTTTTTCGAGCAAGGAGTGACATTTAATTCTGTATAATAGTTCAGCTAGTAGGAAAGTGTCTTCTGCATTCAGATATTCTTGAGCCATAAGAAGCTTGAAGATGTCTGCTGCTGACTTCACACCTTCTAGTTTACTGAGTTGGAGCAAGTCAGTACAGAGAAATTTTAAAGCTACTACATCTTCAGTCACCAGATTTTCACTAATAGAGAGAAGCTGCTGATGGAACTTAAAGCTGACATCATTCTCCATGTTGCTGGAACCAACAGTCTTTCTGCCTGAAAGCAGAAAGCAAACACTAGTAAACTTGTATCTTCAATACACCAATCCTACTAACATTTTACTCAGTGGCTGCTTGGAAGCCCTGAATTACCTTTTAATAAATAAAAGTTTTAAATAAATTTGAAATGCCGTTCCTTCTCTAAACACAAGACTACAAAAAAGACCAGATTTGGCAGAAGCTCCAAACAACCCAGTCTATAATTGAAGTTAGCCCTGCTCTGAGCAAAAAAACTGTACTACATGACCTCAAGGTCTGAATTTCCTTTTCTTTTGAACATCTTCCACATTCAGATCTTTGCCTCTTTCTGTTTTAACTGGGAAGAGTCCCTGCAGTAACTTATTACAACTATTAATGGAGACAGCACAGTGGTTCATGCATATTTCTTGATCTGCAGCCCAAGAGCTTCTTGTTCTCTGGCTGTAGGAGGGAGGTGTTCCTCTGTTACAAGGCTGACACCCAAGCTGAAGCTGTGGAATAACCACTCACTCCCAGCTGTAACTTGCTTCCAGGTTATATTTGACAACTGGCATAGAAAAACCCTTATAAAATAAATGCCGGTTAAAATGTAATAGCATTCAATGCTCAGTCTAAATAGGCTCTGCACGAGCAACTCACTGAGGTTTCATAGAGACTAATCAACCTTCCACTACACCAACTTCTTCCATGTAGCCTAGGTAGTTCTATTCTGACGGTGGAAGGTTAAATAAGTAAGAAGGTGCTTCAGTGCTTTCTGACTGGTAGGTCTTCAATCTTTTGTTTAGAACAGCTGGAAGCAAAGGTTTCTACACGAGGGAGCACAATCAGCGCAGGATCTGCTCGTTGCCCAGGCGTGGCGCGGCTCACCCGCAAATCCACAGCTGAACCTAGCAGGGCATCGATACAGAAAAAAGTAACGAATCCGCATCTCTGGTGCATGCTTTCAGATATCCCCTCGGAGAAGGAAAATCGCAAGCAGGATAAGGATTGTAAAATTACCTTTTCTTTAGTTTCACTGACTGGAGCACTGCCCCAAGAGTTTAAACTTACTGCAAAGCCGCGGAGCGCCCGCAAACGCCTGCGGCTCAGCCCGCAGCCCCACGTGGGAGGAGGATGCCGGAGGCCGCGCGGGCAGCCGGGAGCAACCACACAAAAAGCGAGCGGGAGTTAGGCTCCGGGCTCCGGACATGGAGCCTTCCTTCGTTCCCTCTCCATTTCAGCCCCACGCCTGGTACCTCTTACACGAATTCCAGTGCCGATCCCTTTCCCGGCAGCTACCCGGGGCAGCGGCTCCCTTCGCCTGTCCCTTTGGTGGCTTGCCGCGGGCGAGAGAGGAGCGCCCAGTGCTCGCCCGGGGCAGGAGGAGAGGGGGCGGCGTCAGCAGCAGGGCGGAATGTGAGATCAGGTGGATGCGAGGGACGGAGCGGGTTCGGGCGGCGGGGCACGGCTGCCAGCGCCAGCGAGGGCTTTCATCGAGAGCGGCGGCAGCGCCCTCTGCTTCCCGGGCAAGCCCGGCCGGGGCCCGCCCGCCCCGGCCTCAGGACCCGGGAGCTCCGGAAACGCTGCCAGGGACCGGGAAAAAGCTTCAGGCAGCGCCTCGGGTACGAAGGGCAAGACGTGACCCGTAATTCACCTCGCTTTTGCTGCCAAGCCATTTTAAAGTAGGCTACATCGCAAAAAGGCCTCAAACAGTTTAGGCACATTACTTTAATTTTTGTTTCCCCACCGGAAGGAAGCTTGAAGAGCCGTGCTTGTGGGAGAGGGCTGCAACACCATTTGTAGGTGGGTCTGTGTGTCCGCTGCAGTAAAGGGAGGAGGAGGAAGGTGAGCACACTCTGCTCAGCCAGGCTCCTCGGGGCCTTCAGCATCTCCGGGGTCACCTGTATGCCCCCACAACCTCGGGTCAATGGAGACACGATGGGAAGCGTCTCCTTGCTCATGCCAAAAGTTGTCCAACACACCAAGAGCAGCCGAGCTACCTGGTGAAACTGTAAGTTTTTCTGTCCTTTATTACTTCAACTCGTTTTTATAGAGCTGTAAACTTCACAGCCAAATTTAATAAGTTATAGAGCTCTGCAGGATACACAGACTAAGAATTTCAGAGTTATTTTATGGTCTAGAGAGAGAGACAGGGACAATCAGTCTGACTGCATACAAAAATTTTATTCAGTATCCACATATTTTAATCTGTATCTAATTATAGTGTCTTACAGTTTCAAATACAGAAGCTGAAAAACAGACATTCTTTAAACCAGCCAGAGGTGTCAAGGCAATAAATACTGCTTAGATGTATGACTATAGATAGCTTATGATTATGGTTTAAGAGTCTACTGAGGATCGGCATAAAAAATCAGTATCTGACACCCATGAACTGCACAATACATGTCTGTCCCCACAACTCTCTAGAGGGTTATAACTCCTTCTAACCAAGCAGCTGTACAGAGTCCCTTCCTTTTCCACTCAAAGGGTTCATTACGTGAGCCTCTAGTTTTTCAAAACTGCATTTCTGCATAATTTCTTTACAAAAGGGACATGGACTTTACTTACCGTGTCTTGCAGTAAGGCAAAGAACATATATACTTCTTAACCCCCAAACCAAGCTTGTCACAAAACTGTAAAAGCAGAATATATTCTACTGCTAATATTTTAAGTAAATAGTTGCATTTAGCATCACATTGCCCAACCAACCAATCCACAAAACATCAGCCAATTTACCACATCATTAGTCTGTAAGGATAGCCACTATTATTCACTTCCTTTTTCCTGTTTTCTTTTCCTTCCAATATTGATACTGTATTTCTCTTCCGAATCATCTTTCCCCTACTTGTTCTTCTCTTGATAGTCCCTACCATTCCCCTTCTTGTTCCTGCTTAAAATTTCCACATTTCTTTTCCTCATCTGCCTCCTCTTGGTTCCATTCTCCCTGCTTTTGGTTGTCTATAGGGTAGCAGAAGTGTTTGTCAAATGCAAAAGCTAGTAAGGGAAACTGGAAAGTGAAGTTAATCTCTGAAGAGGATCACATTTATTAACATTACTTAGATATATGTAACTTGAAAGGACATCTTATTTCTACAACCACAGGAAACATTTGTTTCACCATTTAGTTAATTTACCCACCACCACAGAAAGTAACTTCTAAGATTTCACATCTCTCATTTTGTATCCTTCTCTTTCTCTATTAAAAACTTAACCAGAAGCTAAGCAAGAGACACCAGGGCCTTGAATTTTCTTCCTGCCCAGGAGACTTTATTAGGAGTAAAAATTAAATATTTACTTTACTAAAGTGATCTACTTTATGTCACCAAGTTCAGTGCAATAAACTTCAATATAACCCATCCAGGTTACACAAGTAAGGTTAACTGAACTTTTCATGTTAGACAGCTGCTACGTTGGAGAAAAAAATTTGTATTTAGGTCAATTTTACCTTTTCTTTTTTTCACAAGAACAAGAGCACTTAGGAAAAAATGAATTAATATAGGCATTTTCTTTTCAGAAGCAAAAGCAGTGAGGGTGGGGTGTTTAACATAATGCAGTCTTAAAGGCCCATGGCTGCTACGTTTAAGTTCAAATATTTTAAAGTATCTTTTTATTGTATCCTTGGTATCTTTTTGAAATATTCCTGGTGCAACAAGTGTGAATCATGCTTCAGCTTCCACAAGACATCTGCCAAAAATCCCGTATTTTTAAACTGTGTGGCAGATTAATGTCCTGTCACATGTACTCATTTTTGTATCAGCAGAAAACCTAGTTGGCCCAAAGCACGGCAGACTGTCTCATTTATTAACACAGAACTCCTGCGTGCTGTGGACAGTTCTAATGATGCAATTTTTAATGAAGCAAACAGATGGAATCCAGATTATTGAAAAGAATAGCTCTATCTCCCTTTTATTTTGCCAGTCTATAGAGGCATGCAAGCCAGAACTTGTTAGCAAAGATCTGGCATTGGCATTACTGGGTAGGAATGCTTTCCTGATACTTTTGCCACTATTAGGTGCAGGGGAAAGTAATCAGTACATTTCAGTGGTTTGGGCTGGCTTGTATTTGTTTAACGGCTTGGAGATATGTTAAAACCACCCATGAAACATATAAAAACACTTCTGCTTTTTCATGGAAAAACCAACAGCTATACAGTTTAGATCTATTTCCACTCTGTTGACCTGTTGTACTCAGTAGCAAGACATGTAGCACTGCTATACAATAGCTACCATTCTCATCCAAGCTTTCAGAGACAACTATATTAAAATACAAAATCTAGTGTCTTTGCACACTAAATGCTTAAATTCCTGTGTTTTGAAGCAACAGGCACTTTAGATATACATGAAATAATAATGCATAAAGTAAAAGTATGCCTTAAACTGTTTGCATCATAGCAAATGCTTCTTGTTAACTGTTTCAGTTATGTACTGTTTAACAGCAGTTAAGTGTGAAAAAAAAGTTTCTTCCTCAGTGTGTGCTGGAGCAGCAGTGAGTATTGTTGGCTTGGGTCAGCGGTCATATTCGAATCATAAACTTTTTTGTTCAGTTCCATATGGATAGACAATATACAGAGTTTCCTGCAGCAACAAAAGCAAAAGCATTCCATTAGAGAATGAAACAAGACACCATTTAAGAATTCACAGGAGGGAAGATAACTTGAGACTCAGCATGGAGAAAATTTGCAATTTCAGTCTGTACTGCAGAGGCAAGACCTCTAAAATGTAAGGCTGTACATGCATTTTGAGACAAACTCTTATGATCCAAATCATTGCTGTGATATTAATTATGCTGACATGATGATCTGTGATTTCATGACAAGGCATTAGGGTTTGTAAAAAGTACTAAGTGTTAGCACTGCAACTACCTTGAATAACAGCTGTTAGCTCCCTGGTAGATCAGCTGTATATGTAAAACCTTTGCTGGTAAGTTATACATCCAAATGCATCTGACTTTTGCACAGAATCCTTTTGATCTCTTTAAGCAGACAAAAGTTTTACGATAGTTTAAATTCAAGATTACATATTGGCGATCAGCTGGCTCTGTGAGCAAAGGGAAAGTAGAAAATCCTTCCCTCTCTACTGCCTTTGTCCTGAATTTAAGAACTGACCGTTTATATTTGCAAGCACAGCTCTTCTTAATGATGCATGGCAATCCTCAATTTAACCGAATTTATTTATCTTGGGGAAGGAAGATTTCCAATCCCGTCTAAAGCACTGACATACATCATCCAGGACAGGTTCTTCCCTTCTCACTGTGCAAACCCCAGTGCCATAACACACTTTAATTTTACTCTTCAAAATCAGAAACTTCACTCCTAGTCTAGGCTACCTTTCTATGCAATTGTGTGAGGATACTTGTCTTTTAGACTAGGACTGCAAGAAAACACATTTCAGGACCAGTTGGGATGAAATTTAAGGTTTCTCATTCTCCATGACAATAAGCTATCATAGAAAAAAGGTTATTTCTTTCCACTTATTTTAATTTACCTTTTATAAGGATTACGGAGTAGTTCAGACAGACAATGCAGGTAATATGAGGGTGAAGTTGGTGATTGTTCTAGTGTAGACACATCCACCTTACAATGACTCCAAAAGATGTCTGCTGCATGGGGGATAGTGACTTCAGCACTGATAGTCTCACCCTTCCCATCAACTTCCAAAAGACTGGTACATTCTTGCTCAGTTTCTGGCACAACATAGCTCTGAATAAAAAAAAGCTTCGGTTTTCCAAGGAGTCCAGGGCATGAGTCTGCTGTAAAGTATTTCTTTATTTGTTCCAAAGGGAATCCAGAGAAGGTGTGGTCTGTACAGAAGATGCTCTGAGAGTTTCCACGGCTGACCAATATGCAAATGAAGCTGTCACAATTTCTGTGCTTCTGCCACCTTGCAACTTCAAGCAATGTTTGATTCATGGAGTTAATATTTAAATATCTGTGACAATGAACGTCATAGCCTAAGCCTCTGAAGGTCTCTTCCAACACATCTAGAAGAAGTAAGATGTCATTAAACAAAGGCACACCAAAGCTCAATCTCAACTATACTGAACTACAGTATTTACAGTGTTTTGCTATTGAAACGAAATAGTTTATTTTATCACAGTAATTTAAAAGTTAGGAGTACTTGGTGTTGAGCACAGTATATTACATACTTCTGGTGCTATATGCATGTTGTCTTTCCTGTGAGTTACATGTTTCGTGACAGCAGAGACGCTGTTCTCTGTTTCACAATCCACAGCCACATGAGCCAGTATTCCAAATTCCTAAGACTTAAAATATAAGGCAAGAAATAACACACTTGAAATGATAAAGAGTGATCTGGACAGCATAGGGAGTCTGTTTCACACTTTATTTTGTCAAAATTACTCTGAATGCTTATTATAGATATACAGAACTACCTAAGAAACAGAGAGGTTTTCTTTCATCAGTCAAAAATGAACCTGCTGCAATCATTTTTGCTTCCTAAAATTTAAAGTGATGAGCTCAAGGTGAAAAATGGACACTGGAGTCTTAACTGGCACAGAATGGCATTTTCAGGCAAAAAAGAAAGCTGAATAATAAACTCTTTCCATCGAGTTAGAAATTAACTAGGTAGGTAGGTAAGCAGACTCCAAGACATAACTCTTACTATATTTGTGTTAACCTGTGCTTCAGGAAAATGTACTAAGATCAGAATAACTACTTGGGATGTTTCTTAATATGGGACTGAAAGCAGATACGTGGTGGTTAAACCCAAAGGTATTAAGTGTTCAGAGAACCACAAGCTACTACTATGACTTATAGCTGTAGCACTGTATCTTCAGTATAAAGCACGTATACATTGCCCATGCACAGCTTCTGGTAGGAAAAGAATTATCAAGTTTAAGTAAAATGCCTTACACACATAGGAAGCTTACACATAGCTGTCTTTGACTTCAAAAGTTTAACAAGCCCTAATTAGCAGGGGCTATTTCAGAGGTAATGGCAGCAAAGCAGCTGTGCTACCACACTGCTCTCTCCAAAAAGCCCATAGTGAACACAGAAAACAGAACCCATAACTTTCCTCTGCAAAATAAAGGGTAGATATAAACTCTATACTATAGTGAGGTGATAAAAAAGAATTAGTTTCATTCCAGTTCTGCTGGTTTTATTACATTTGTAAAATAATTCAAGAACTGTCCAGACATTTTTAATTTGAGAATAGAAAGATAAAGCTCCCTTATTTTATGCAGTAAAACATGCTCTCAAAATTCAGACTATTCAGTATCACTACGGTCTTGCAGTCACACACTCATTGAAGCCCTCAGTCAGGGGGTAGCAGTACATGTACAAAAGGAGAATTACAGCAGTGAGAATGCTTTTCCTGTAATGTCCTGATCTCACTGGCACATGCACATGCACACACAAATACAAAACCTGGTGTCACCTTAGTCACCACACACCCTAAATGTCACCATTTAAAAAAAACAATTCAAAAACTTAGAGCTGACACCTTAGTTAACAATTAATCACCAATTATACATGGTAAGCCTTGGATACTTTAAGGCAAGACATACCACAGCATTACATGCTGCAGTCTGAGATTGGAAACTACCTACTTCTTCAACACTAGCCACCTCCCAACAAACCTCCACTGACTTTTCAGCATCTCCATTCTACATAAAACATTAAGCTTTTCTCCCCTCATTGTTTACAACGTAAGGATTAAAACTGATTTCCAAATGAGAAAATCAAAAACAGCTATTTACAAAACAGCAAGGTTCATTTCAGTTTGAATTTTATCAGCATTTGATAAATTCATGCTGTTTACACTGGGCACTATAAAGTTTTGTAATTCTTAATCCTACAGTATCTATTACTGGTTCACCTTCTTGAGATTAAATTTTGGGACAGCTACAGATTCTAATGGATGCCACAGATACAATTTCTAATGTTTTCCTTGCCCTCTTCTTTTTCTTCATTGTACTCAGACTTCAGAATAGTGTGGCATAACTCTTCTGCCTTTCTAGCAAACTCCTTTAAGCAATGCCATCTGCCCTGTCTCCTCTGAATCTCACTAGCACCATAATGTATTTCAGTGCAAGTCTTGCCTTTTATCGTGTTAAATGCTGACAATGCACTGGCGACTTTAAACATCTGAGGTACAGACTTTCTGTGTATGAGCTCCACAACTGCTGCCCTTCAACTACATCAGCAATTCCCCCAGCCTATTACAGAACTGACTGCAAATAATATCTTCATTTTTCATTTTTATTTTTAGCCTCACGTGTTACAGTGATTAGAGAGTGAGGGGTGTTTTTGACTGTGCAAAGATCTAATTCTAGGATTTTACGAAAGCAATCAGGAAACTCCCACATTTCAACCATGGCTGACTACTCTGACAGCTGTGGTGACACTTTCAGTTTCACTGTGGTGACATTTTCAGCTAACTGTGCAAGATAGGACAGAAGCCCAGGTGCATTATTAATAAAGGACCTAATAAAGGACCTCATGGTTATTAAAAATTTCTGCTGTCCAATATGATTGCCCTTCAAATCCACAACAGCTTTGGTTTTGGTTTTTTTAACTGGTGGGAAACACTACCATCTCTGCTGATAACCTGCTGTATAACTGCTGTAAGCCTAATTTTTCTGTTGGTTGCTGAACATCCTTTTTGTCCCTCCCAAAATTCTGTCTATCTTCTTCCAAATTCTTTCTTTCAGAGATTCTGCACCAAAAAAAAAAAAATCCAAGCGTTGTCTCCAGTAATTAGGACAGTTGGTTTTAACCTGATGTCAGCCCTTCCAACTCTTTGCTTTAGAAGTCCTACTAGAATTGGTAGATTAAATGACTGGGACAACACTATCCTAATCTGGCTGGTAAATGTGCATTATATTCTTTAAACTAAATTGTTCTAATTATCCAAGATTAACAAGTTAAGGGACTTCGAATTCCAGAGACTTACCCGTGTCATTGCCAATACAATCTATTATCAGGCATATTCCTAAAGGTTGACTTTGCATTCTGTAAGAATCATCACACATCTGAGAAATGTGAAAGGACAATTACAAAGTTAATACATCACTTTCTCAACTTTTAGACCATATTACTTTCTCAAATTTTATGTCAGATCTATTAAATAACATTCTGTTGTTCTCCATCAAGTAGCTAGCAGGAATCTATGTACTGGGTTGTAGTGTGTCTTATCTACACAACAAAAAATCAGAAGAAAGGGACTAATGATTCTTTTCCCTCTATTTCTAGTACAGGCTTAGTTTTTTGTGTCCTTTTGTTCTGCAATCTCACTACCATAAAGATTCTTAAACAGAGACTAAAACTGTACAAGCTTTGTACAGCCAACACAGTAAATGTAGAGAATTTTTGTGTTCTTCAGGTGTGCAAGCACTGCTCATCAGAAAATTTATTTCCTTATTTAGTGGAACAACCTCCTTATTCCTAAATAATCCATAATGACTCTATCACAATTCCTCTCTCTTCTCAAGAGAACTGATTGAAGCAAATGAATGAATGAAAAATGGCTCCTGACCTACAGGAGAACTAGTGCAAATAGCAGTCGGCCATTCTTTTCATTAGTACCCAGAGCATGTCTGTCTTCTGCCTGGAGAGCGAGGGGCGAGGGGGGAATCAAGAACAAATTTACTGCATGCAAAGAAGCTCTGTGATTTCTAATGCATGTGGCAAGAATTCTGACCTTCAACAGGTTTTAATTTGGCCTCCACTAATAAATGTACAAGTTCTGTGTGCACATCATATATACATGTATGTTGCACACTGCTGCTTCAAGAGTAGCAGCAAATAGTTTATATTTAAAATATATTCTGCAAAAACAGTTCACAGAACCTGTTTATGGCTGAGGATGTACCCATTACACAACTCAAGGAAATCTCAAAATGAAACACAAAGAAAACGAAAGTAAATACTCACAGAAGTTATATTTATTTACATGCACACATATACACAAGCACATACCTTATGTGGCACTGATCCTGACTCCTGAATGGACATGTGAACTGGTTCTGCTGCAGTTAAAACATACAGAAGTAATCTCAGTATGTAAGTACCAGTGCTATGTTTTTGTCACTAGATCAGTTATAAAGAAGAATGTATCTACTTCAGCAAAGTTCTCACCCATTCAGACCTCTTAGTTTCTATGTGTGCTACTGAAGTTTAAAAATCCCTAAATTATTCACCTCTAAAATGTTATCTGGATTTCATTCTACATTGCTTGGGACTAAAAGAAACAAAGAATGTCTTCTACACTGAAAGAATTCAGCCAACAAATTTTTAAAATCACCATATTTGAGAAGTATTTGGGGTTTCCAGAGAAAACAATATACATGGAAAGAACCTGGTATTCAATGCACAACTCCTGGCTTGCCTGGTGGGGAGTTCAGTCCTGAACTGACACAAAAACTTCCTATTCCAGAGTTAATGGGCAGAACTGCACTACACAGGCTTCCAGAGCTGGCTTGTCAATCTTACTCATGGTTTTACTAATGAAGTATTTATTCTGTTAAGAAATTTTGACAGTGGAAGCTTGCAATTTTTAAGAATGTTTTAAGATGTGGCAGCACAAGCAAAGCAAATACAAGACCAAACAGTAAGGCCAGGATTAGTTCTGAGAAGTATCAAATACTCTCTGCTCCTGATGTTATTAACAGGTTAGTCATGAACACAACTATCAAACAGTCCTTTTGATGTAATGACATTCATCATTTGGCTCTTTTAGATTATCAAAACCTTGATAAAATGCTCTTACCCAGAGAAGGAATTGTTCCATTTTGTAATTTTTCTGTGTTCTCATTCTGAATCTGAAATTAAGAAAAAGGCGTAATTTTCCTATTCTCCTTCAAGAATTAATAAACGTGTTCCAAAATAAAACACAGTAGTATTTCTTCCTCAATAAAAAGATATTTTAGATTAATTTCTATCAGCTAAACAGAATCACAACATAACAGATTAAAAAATATAACCAGCGCACAGTCAAATAAAATAAACACCCAACTGTTCCTCCTCCTCCTCAAAAAAAATCACCAGCTTGTCATGAACAGAAGGGAAAAGCCTCTGAAGATGTGAACTTTGTTTCCTATACAGCAGCAGGGAGCTGCATGCTTACTGAACACATGACAACTGATCTCATCAAACGTAGCAAGGACTAACACAATATCAGAGGTAACCCAAATATAAAGAATACTCCAAGCAATAGGATTTGATGACTTTTCAGATACTTTCAGATATTTTCTTAAACTGAGTTTAAAACAAACCACAAAACCTTCCCTCTGAAAGTCTCTGCTTAAAAAAGCTATAATTTTCAGCTTCAAAAATTAAAAGCTACTTTCCCTGAAAGGTCCAGAGGTACAAAGAAGAAGAGTATGGTTTGCAAAGAACAGTCAAAGCACAACTTTTCACTCCACAGTGTAGTACAGAAAAACTTTCAAGAAACAGATTTTATATGTTCAACTAGTAGGAAAAAAATTCACTGAAGTCCTTTAAAGGGCATCTTTCTCAGTCAGATGATATAAATCAGACCCTAAACTCAGCAAGTAACAGGAATAACAGAAATAAACTAAGCAATATTTTAGTCACTATCCATCTCTCATTCCTCAGGCTCTGAAAGATGGATCTCCTTTTAAAGTCTGGCAATATTTAGAAATAAAGGATTTGTTTCACTTCTTGTATACTTACCCCTGAATGATAAGGAGGATCAATCAGACTGAGATTAGGGAGAGAGGCCTGATGAGCATTTACATATACTGGCTGAGAATGAACGGAGGACACTGAAGCTGCAAATTTAACAGAAACACAAACACACTATGACATTTCAACTGGTTTAAAAGCCTAAATCTATGAAGAATGCAAACTCCCTTATTTGTAAGTCATTTGTAAGTTTTATCTTCAGTACATCTGATTGTTGCTATCAAGATTAACTAGTGCAAAAAGAGCATTTTACCTTCATGTTTGTACTTCTGAATCTTCCTAATCAAGTCTATCCTGTGAATACTTCGAAAACAGTTTTCTATCAAATCCAGTTGATTAGGAGCCACCAAATTTAGCTTCTCCAGGTCAATTATAAGAGCTAGAAAACTCTAGAACAGCAACATAAACCCAAACACATCAATCATTCTCCACCAGAAGTAACAAAGCAACCCAGAAAATACCATGGAGAGGTCATAAAGGCTGTATAAACAATTAGAGACATTACACCTTCTAAGAAAATTATCTGAGAGACATAAGAATTGTTGATATTATCACAGGAGTAGTAAAAATTACAAAGCGATATTCTTAAAAATCAATCTTAAATTTTTGAGGAAACAGTTTTACATTTTGTTTTTGCTACAAAGCCAGCCACTAGGAATGTCACCTCACATGCCACAAAGCAAGAGGCAAGAAAAGCTTTGGGAAATTTTCAGGGCCTCTCTCCTTCTTAGCCTGAAGATAGAAAAGGAAAAAAAAACTCAGAGACAGAAACCTTCAGTCTTCTATGCACAGTGGTCAAGGTGTCTGAATCCTCTCTACTGAATTTCTGCTTTCCCGGAGGACTTAATACAAATATTCAGAATGCAAAAGTATAAAGATGTAATTAAATATATCTGTTCTTTTATAAGTGAAGCAGAGCACAAACAAAAAGTGACCTTGTAATTCAAGATACAGTTCAAATGGTTATTGGTTTGAGATCATTCTACATGAACTTTCAGATCAGAAATACTGAAGAAAGAGTTCTGTAAAATGCCTTCTGCCCATGGATTTAATTCAACCACCATACACTAGAACAAGCACTGTTCCCTCTTACTTTTTTTACTAGTTTTCCATGCTTCTTTCCTTGAATTAAAAATCAACATAATGAAATAGAAGCCACAACTCCTTGTCTGCTTCCTGATGCTTGTGTACTCCTGCCTCAATACTCCTTGCAGTATTGTCTCATTTCCTTTGCTGTGTAGCTACTTATTTTTTTATTTTAATATCTCTTGGCTCCAGAGGAGAGTGCCAGAAGGAAAACATACCTTATCTTTTGCCATTTTCATACGAGGTGCATAATCTCTGAGTAGAAAACCAAGAGAACCCACTTCTTCTTTTTCCAGATTTTCATTTATCTCTACCATGAGTACCCTGAAATAAAGTTGAGATATTGCTAAAGAATTAGCTTGCAGCAAGATTCCTCCCTTTCCCAACTACTCAACTTCTCCCCAGGTTCCAGTCTTAATCTACCATTTTTAACTAATAAACAGGTAAAAAATCTACCCTGTTTCAAGATCCAATTATAAAACACCTACTCTTGCTAATCAGCACCTGTGTTTTTCAGACTGGCAGCCACTGTAATAGCCACTGTTAGGAAAACAGAAGTTTCCTTAATGTTTAATAGAGATGAAGTGAGAGAATGAGACAACAGAACACACCCTAACTTTTTTACCTATTAGTTATAGGGTTTTTATTTTAGTGAGAATTTAATACAGGAAAATCTTCCTTATAAGTACATGGATTTCTTTCTGAAGTCTCTAAAAGAAAATAACTGGAATTTCTTAATTTAAGTCTTTCAAAACTAATGGAGTAAAATGAGTAACAGAGAGGTCCCTTGAGAAATGCTCTACTACATGGCTGTGTGCCCAAAGCAAAGCAGAAAATATCTCTAACCAATGGTATTCCTTTAAAGTGTCATTTTTAGCTGCTAATACAGAACTCTACAAACATCACTGGTTTTATTCACAAACACACAGACTCCTTAAATACAGATGCTTCTAATGCCATGACTAGTAAGAAACTACTAAAGTTTAACTCAGGGACTGAACTTGACATATTCTTTTAACTATAACTCTGGATACAATGTACTTTAGTGCTTTCCTTCTACCTTCAATAAATATTCTCTGAATTTGTGAAGTATTAAAAAAATAAATAAAAAAAACAACTCACCCATACTGCCCCCCCCCCCCAACAAAGGAAAAAAACAAACCACTTATTTTGAACAAGATAGCACAGCTTTGAAATCTGAAACAAATATATTACCTGTAATCAGGGATAAGTCTGAGACTCCTGGCAAGGTGAGCTTCCACTGTTGCTTTCTCAGTGTTCAGGACCCTCCTCAGCAAGTCAAACCTCTTAACTCTGTACAACAGCTCAGACAAGCCAACAGGAGTCAGTTTCTCCCTCTCATTCAAAGCCACCAAGATCTCTTTAAGATCAGCAGTGGCCAAGTCAGGAGCAAGGTCTCTGCAGAGGAAAACCATCATCTCTTCTTCTTCTTTATCCAGTTCTTCTTGAATCTGATGAATCACGGAAGCTGACACTTGGCACCTGGTCATCACTTTGCTGCTGCTCCTTTAAAATTGCCAGCCTACTGGTTTTTTAAACTGGAAACCAACGTGACATGAAGCCTGTGTCTACCACAGAACTTCTCGTGTTCATTCTTAACTAGGTGCATTTTTACAAGGAGAGCTCTGTGGGACAGAATTAAAAGACAATAAATCAGTGATCTGCTGGACAAGTTCACAGTTAACCCTCCTATCTGAAATGTTTCACCTTCAGCTAACTCTCCAACATATACTACAGAGACATCCTTTATTCAAGGGACTCTCCCAGTTGTTCATTACAAAACTAAAAGTATTTGAAGGTCATACTAATCAGAAAGACATGCAAGTTCTTCTTAGAGTAAATTACCTTAACATGAGTCTGTATATTCCATAGGAAGTGAAACAAAAGTCATCAGCTTCCTGATGAGTGATAGATTAAGTATTTCCGAAAGCTCTGGTCTTTTCCGAGCAACAATATAATAATGTAATTTTTAAACCACTAATTATCTGTAAATTCAGGAGTGTGTGGATTTTCTTATTATTAACATCATTTAAAGTGATTCCAACATGGGGTTAAAAGGATTTTCCACACACACCCTCCATGCTCAAAAAGATTGAAGAGCCACTCAAAGAAAATGCTCCAACTTTAAATATTCAAATTGGTTAATTCTGAAGGTACAGATAAGCCACATACCACCTTTTTCATCACTAAACATTCATGTGCCATCATACTGAAAACTGTAATAAAAATTCAAACTTAGAAAAATCCCCAGCCTTGTGATTAACAAAATCAGTAGGGTGCTGTGTTCAATTTCCATTGCCACCAACTATGGAAATTCTATCTAACCTCCTCTGACCTCCATTACATACATGGAGAAATGGCAGATGAGCAAACCTAAAGACAAATCTTAGTCCTTCCACAGAGTTTAAGCACTATATTGCAGAGTTTTTTTTAAACCATACTGGAAAGCAAACGCCAATTCAACTTCAAAGCCTAATATACCAAAAGATTCTAGCACCTGAGTAAGATTTTTTACAGCATTTTCATCCTTTTGTTACACATTCTGGAAGTTACAATCAAAAATGTCTATAATTAAGCAGGTGAGATAAATTTATCTAAAACAGAGAAACTCCTCATGCACTGTAATGTTTTGGAAAGTTTTCTATCAGAAAAAAAAAAAGCTTATTTATTGCTAACTTATTTTCAATCTAGCATCAAACACTTGTGAGAATTCTATAGAATGACACTGTTTTAATGACATAATGCAGTCAAGAAGGGGGAAGCACAAGGCACCTTCATATGGAAGTATCTCCCAGGTCCATTCAGCTGGGACTTTCAAAAGAACTTGAAGTCACAGTTTAACTCTAAAGTGAAACAGGAGTTTAACAACTTTTGGTAATTTTTGGAAATACCAGAAAAACTTTTTAACTACTCCAGTTGATTTTTTTCTCTAATCTGTTAAAACTAGTTAAAAAATAGAGGGGGGATGTGTGTTAGGGAGGAATTTCCTACCGAGTTGGAATTTCAGGCATGCAAAATTAACATTTATATGTGACTTAAAAATAACCTGCCTTCAAAACACACATATGAATCATCTTCTGTGAATTTCCTTTATATATGGTACATCACATGCTCATTATAAAAAAATTATGATTATACTATCAGTATTGAAATTATCTTACCTGTATGCAGATCTGTTCACAACACTGGAAATCAGGCATTTGACCATTGCCAAGTCACTGATCCAGACCCAGCACACATTGGTTTCCATCCAGGATTTTCCAGTGATTACATCAACTCGTTCTCTGCTGGACAAATATCAAGATCACAAATTACTGGGGGGGGTGGCCTAGTTCCCAATATTATGGGGGTGAGAAAACCAAAGAAAATGACCATTCTTCTGTATTACTGCAGTGAACCAGGAAGGATGTTCTAAATAAAAGGAAAACCAGCTGTGCACATACATTCATTGGGCACTGTGTGGGGAATGATTAAGAGCAACAGGAAGTGATTTTTTAATATAAACTAAAATAGTTTGTAACTTTGCATCCCAAAACCGTGTGCCATATTTTGATAGCAGGAATGTCACAGGACTGGGGCAAGCCTGATACATTCCGTGTGTGTATGTCCTAGCCAGATCCACAAGGGAAGAAGGGCATCATGCTCCACTCTCCCATGTGATGACCACTTTTTCAAACATCACAGATACAGTTATCATAGCTGCAAAAGTTAAAGAAAAAAGCAATCACAACATAAAACCAGAAGACTAGCTTTTGATTATCTGGGTTCTGTAACAAGATGACTTATTGAATGTAAATTCTCTACAGAGAGGAGAGAAAAATCAGCTCATCTTCTAAGACAAAATAAAAAAGTTCATAGTCATCAGACATAAAGCTGCCTCACTAATTTCCATGTTCATGCACGTGTCTAATCAGGTGCCTTTTTTTTTTTTTTTAACATCCTTGCAAAGGAGCAGGAAATAACATACCAAAATTTCACACAAACACCCACGAGGCTCCAGTTAGCTCCTTGCTGGCCTTTTGTATCTTGAACCTTTCAGTCATCTTTGCAGAAAAAAAACCCCCAGGATATGACACCAGTGGGTGTCGTTCTGATTTGGGAAATTATCTTTCTTTCACAAGACGAACTCATGGGGCAGAGCCCGTGCTGGAAGGAGGGAACAGAAGATGGGAAGGAGGGAACAGAAGATGACCTGGATACGGGCAGCACTGGCTGCGCTTTGTGCTTCCTCTGCTCCGCATTGTTTGAAGAGGCGGCGGCGGCGGAAGGACCGCACCTCGAGCCAGGGCCATCTGGCATTTTTCAAAGTTGCAAAGCGTGCTCCATAGCTTTCAAATGCCCCTACTTCCTCACTGCTCTACGCCCTCTAACAAGAGTTGTGCAACGCACTCAGGAAAAACAGGGAATTTCCGTGGAAACCATTGCATTTCTTACTACGCTTGAATAGTTTTCTCCCGATGTGAACTAGAATGATCACGCTACTTTGTTTTAACATGCCAGTCCTTCAAATTAAAAAAAGCCAAAAAAAAACCCCAAAACCCCAAAAAAAACCCCAAAAATCAAAACCAAAGAAAAAAAATCCCAACTACTAAACGTGCTTTGTGCATTTTTCTAGTCATCTTTCTAACTACGTCATTTAAAATCACATTTGGTTTCGGTTATGGCCACGAGCGCGGGCCGAGCTGCAGCCCCGCCGGACGCTGCGGCTCTGCAGGGCGGCTCTGGCCGTGAGCAACGACGGCGCCCCGGTCCCGGAGCACGGGGAGCTGCGCCGCCCATGCTGAAAGCGCAGGCTGGGAAGGGAGGTGTGGGGGGAAGGAGGGGGAAAGGAGGGGGGAAAGGTATAACGCACCCAGACGCGTCGGGGGGGTCTCTACAGCAGCTAGGTCCCGCATTTGGAGCCGGGCGAAGGCGGGGCGGTACCGGTCCAGCGCCCGGGCCGGGCGGGGGAGGGGCAATGCACGATAGTGGTTTTAGTTTTGTTTCCAGCTGTACCCCTGGGGACGGAAGTCGGGCTGAACAAACAAAACCGGATGGAGGCGGGACAGGCCTGTGGCGTTTCCCGGCACCTGTCCCGGGAACGGGCACTCGGCGGCGGCAGCGCCGTGAGGGGAGGCCGTGGCGGCGGCGCGGTCCCGAGTTCAGCGTGTGCACAGGCGTTCGTAGGCTGTGGTTTTGGCGTTTTTGGTGTTTTTGTCCCGCTGCTGGTGTGGGCACAGACCGAACAGGCTCTGTGCTGTCCCTACGGGCTGTAAAGCAGTAGCAAGGGTTCGGTGAGGGTTACAGGCCTGCGGTCAGTGTGGGCACGTGCTTTGGCAGGAGTCGAGCCGTAACCCCAGGTATGGCTCATGTCTCACTCTGAATTTGTGAGGACAATGTACAGCTGTGTGAAAGTTTTATACTTCCCGTTGTATAATCTTAAGTAAATATTGCGTAACACCTTCTTCCTGAAAACTGGGTGTTGCTACTCCCTTGACCTAAACGAGCAACTTCCATGAAGCTTTTTACTGCGGGATGCAGCTGGAGCTGCTCTCCAAAAGGCCTAAAATCTAAATTTTTTCTGCTGAACTAGACAAAAGCCACCTCCATATATGGTGAAATCAGACGTATAACTCCCAGCTCAATGGATTTCAAAGCATTTACGAAACAGTGAGTCATTTTTTTTGTGCTGCTAAAAATAGTACTCTGGAATAGCACACAGGAAAAGTCACGCTGTCTTTGGAACTGCAGGGAAAAAGGAGACAGAAAATATTTGCCCATACCACAATTTGTACCAAGTGGCAGCTCTGTGTTCTGAAAAAATACTTGCATTCTTACTGAAATTTTATGGTCAGGCTCTCACTGTAGTATCAATCATTCAAGGCTATCACAGTAACCCCGCTATTAAGATGTAGCTGATTCAGAAGGAAACCAACCACCCAATATGCACAATTTCTCCTTGGATTGGTTCCATACAGATTTCCGCCTGCGTTTCAGAAAGTGGAGCATCATCAGTTTTATTTTTTTAGACCTTATGATACAAAAAGAGCTTCCTGACTGGTATTGCAATCACAAACTGCTGTTTGTGACCCTGGTTTTTGCACTGTAAAATATCTATACTGGTAGAAAGGCTGTGTTAATATAAGGACAGACATTGCTATGGTTACAGTGAAGACAGATTTGGTACTATTATTTTAATACACAGGAAATGCTCCATTCCCAGGCAGGACTGGTATTATTATACCTGTGAAAGAAAATCTTTGTGAGTATTGTATGCGTAACAATGATGAGACATATTCTGCAAGATTAGCAAAGTATGTTCATCATAAATTAAAGACAATTATTTAGGGCAGTGCTTGTCATCTGGCTATTAAACCACCAAGTGATACCACCTTAATTCACAAATGCATAAATTTTACCAAAACTAGTCTAGTCTAACTGAGTATGCTTGATATATTTGCTGTATCAGTGAAGTGGAAGGCTTATACCATTTAAAAAGACTGATTCTACTGCAGGTAATTATTAACATCAGTAACATAGTAACAATTATTAACATTGTAATAATTAACTGTTGCTTGTTTTTCTGAACAACCATCTGAAACTCAGTACTCCCTAGAAAGTTGGAACCAGATAGAAAACAGTGAGTATTAGCTTTTGAAAATGCATAGTCTGGGTAAGAGTACCTAAGGGACAGTAGAAATGGTTTGTGCAACAGACCTTACACAGTAGGTTATTGTTTGGTTTTTCAGGGAATGATGCAATTGGATAGGAATGTTTGGGAAGAGGATTAGGCAAAAGTTCACTAAAATGAGTGTTTGCACTATGAACAGTGCCTTGAGCAATGTCATACAAAGATGACAAACCCCACTGTACAGTACATCTGCACTCACACAGATGTTGTTTAATGTCTCTAAAAATAAAGCTCTATTATAATCTCACTCAGAAGGATTGTATGTGAATACATACATTAAAAAAAAAAGATATTTTAGCCCTGTTTTGGTAGGACCTTAAACTTTCTCGTAAACCTGCAATTTCTGACAGGATTGTTTAAAAATTTCGATTTCTTCACCATGGAAGTACACTATGTAATCGCTTAGTGGCATTTACCATTTCTCACTTGTCTAATTTTGCTTTTCATTTCAGTGACAGGTGGCCTGTTGTTTGGATTGAAAAACTATGTAATGTATCCTCCTTACTTTATTACTAATGGCATAACAAAATTTACAGTAAGACATTCAGACAATTATAATTCCTGGTACTGCAGAGGGCATATACTGCCCACAGGTCCTTTTCTGCTGTAGTCTTAATTCCAGGCATTCTTAAAGCACTCCAGGAGCTGCTAAGATAATTGAAGGAAAAACCAGGACATTAAAACAAATGGCTAAAAGACACTAGATGTAAAAATAAGTAAATCGATAAATACACCAGAGCAGAGGAAAAAAATGTTCTCTTTCTTCTCATTACAGTCAAGTATGGTGGAAGACATTTTAGTATAAGGTACAGTTATTGCTGAGTTAAACATTTTATTCTACTTTTGGCAGCAACATAATTTTTGATGTCTGGATATTACACAGCAGATTATTCTGGTGCATAGTGTCTGCCAGGCTAATTAAATGGGTTAAGTATAAGCTTTGATACTTTCATATACTTTGAGTCTGGAGTTAGTTTTAAAGCTTTAAGCTAATATTTGTTTTAATTTAGAGGCATAAGAGTGACTAGTAACAAACACTTCTAAGAAGTGGCAAGTCATTCATTACCACTTATGGGGAAATAATAGTTATTAAACCTCTAATAAATATAGTACAAATTTTCTCTCAAAAGCAACAAACTTCTCAGTTTCTTTTAACAGAATCTTGGCAGGGCTTGGAAAGCATTCGTCTGATAGTTTATCTTGCTCTTTTTTTTTTTTCCCCAGATCAAAGCCAGTTAAATTGCTCTGGCCATGTTTTTTGATCCTTCCACAAAAGTATAATAAAATCAAAGAAACACAGGTTTGCCTGTAATAGACTTTAATATGCACATTTTAAGTACAGATTGAGCAGCAGGCTTATGTATGCTTCAGCTTATCATTAGTAAGTATTAAGTTGTCATATTTGATCTTCAGTGGTGGCCTCCATTCTTCTTTGGAGGAAACAGTGTATATTCAATGCCCAGAGCTATGACAAAAGCTGCAACTCCCCACTTGAGTCCCCTGGTAAAGATTTCTGTTACGGTGATAGGTCTTGCAAAGCCACCATGATATCTCCAGACTTCATTACTAGAAAGGAAAATGAAACCAAAGGAAAAAAGATCAGTGATACAAATTAACAAGAATATGTGTGTGTGTGTGTGTGTGTGTGTATATATATGTATATATATATATATATATGTAACAAATCAGAGCCCACTAGCACTTGCATGGATTGGGCTAACTTCAAAGGCTAGTCACTGTGCTAGACAGTATGTAGCACAGTCACATTTTACAATGCAGGCATAGATAGCTCATCTTAGTGTGGAGGCACTTTCTGTTTCACAAAAAACACTTAACTATACGAGAGTCAGATGATTTTAAAACGATAGACGGTGTTTAAAAAGAAAAGATGGTGTTTAGCTTGAGCTACAGGGTATGTAAAAACTTCACACTTCTGGAAAAATAACTAAGCAATAAAATAAAAACTGTCATTTTGGGAGAAGAGATGGGGGTTAAAACAAGAGGGGCAGATATTTATATTCTCAGATAATCCTCTTGTGCAGATGGATTTTGTAAATCAAGATGAAAGCATATTGGCATAGACGAGTATCTTCTAGGTGCCAGTATAGGGTCTAATTGATATAGACTTAAAGTTTCCAAATGCAACGTCTTTCACAGAGCTTATTTTGTATTTAATATATACATTAATGTGCATGTGCCATAAAGGTTGAAAGCAGATTCCCTGTTAAAATGAACCCAGCATACCAAAGGGGAGGGAGCTCTAGAGAGTGACTTCTTCAAGACTTGTGGTGCAAGACATTAATAATGCAATCTTCTGCCACACTACTGAAGCAAGTAGTATGATATTTTATTTCTCATTTGTTAAGAAAAATTGGCATGATGCTTGTACTGTCCCATGGAATTGACACACTACTTTACATAAAACTTTAGAAGTTCCAGAGGAATCATCTCATGCTTCCGGTTTGACTTTGTTCCTTATTTGAACCCTGATATGATTGGCTCAATTCCCTTCTTTTAGCAGAGGAACAAACATTTTCTTTCATCTTGGAGAGGCAACAAATATTACAGATTCTTTTGCAGTGTGTTGTTTTGCAGCGCTTCCTAAAATAACCTGGAATATTAAACTCTTTGTTTTGTTGTTTTTTGGTTTTTTTTTTCTTTTTTAATGGGAATAAGCCTTTTGCTTGCTGAAAACAATTTTGTCTGAACCAAAGGGAAAACAAGCTTATGCTGCTTGCACTCCACAGAAATAGAGGCAAGATAAAAGCAAACAGGCCTGGAAAGTTCTTTAAGGGCTGATATTTCAAATGATTCCTATCATCATTAAAAGTATGTTTTACTTTATGCTTACATCTTTAATCTATTCCAAAGAAAAGAAAAAAGTGCTGTCAACCTCAAATCCCTCCACAGCATGAAGCATGAAACAACTTTTTAACAGATTACCTATTTCCTCCTCCATTTTTCTTGTAGTGATTTGAAGCAAAGCCTTTTCTGTGAAGACTCCTGGAACAGTTTGTTCATGCAACCTTTCCCTTACAGAAGGACCAGACTACTCAGCACAAGACATTTGGTATTTATATCCCCCAAGCTGAAAGGGTGGTTGAACAAAGTACTGCATAATTCATGATGTGGGAGAAATACATTAAGCTCTGTTTTAACAGCTGCCTAAACATCTAAAAAGGAGGAGATATTCATTGTGGACTGGTAGCATGAGAAGTAAAAATCTGATTCTCCATGATGTCATTCACAGTTGAATGCAATTCCATCCTGTATTCATGTACATTTCTTCTTTTCAAATAAAGGCCTTCTGTTGTATATGAGGAATGCTATTCCTACTCAGAATGTCAGTGCAAGTTCCATCATCTTCATCATCTCGTTGCAGAGAAGGATAGGATTATTCACATGTGCAGAACTTAATTTGGTAAATGAGGTGTTGGTCATTGTGCCTGATCTCTGTCAGCATGAACCATCACAAAGTACAAGGCTGCCTCACAAGGGAAACTGGTCAAGGTGATGCAAGGTGTGACCTTCATGCAAAAAGTAAATAAAGACTTAGCCGAAATTCTGACTAATTTTCACTGGTTTTGCTGAAGAAAGAATTATCTACAATGACAAGGTCTGGTTGATGCTACCAGATGACACATCAAGATGATTTTTGAGGCTCTTGCACTTACCGAGCCCATGGATCCCTCAGACCCCGTCTAGCCAGTCTTCTCTGCACCTCCTCTAGGGGAGTTCCCTCCACCTTCCACTGCCGGTAGTCAGGGAGTTCCACTTTGTCATGGCCATGGCCATGGCCGTGGTCACTTCCATGTCCCATACCTGGAGGAAAAGGTCAGTTGGTTACTTCGCAGAGAGCATCATCTTATTTTTATACACTTGCAAAGAACAATCCCCTGTAGAGGAAAGATAGGGAGGCAACAAGAAGAAACAGAACAGCTTTGTTCTGTGAAACAAAGAGCTAAGAGACTTTGTGCTGTGTTTCAGAGGTTGGTGATTACACACAGTAAAGCAAAATGTGCAGTAAAGCAAACTTAAACATTACGGTGTTGTAAGTATGACCATTGCTACACTCACGAAGCACCTATGCCAGCCTTCTATGCCAGGGAAGAGTGTAAGAAAACCAATGGTTTCCAGTGTCTGTAAATGCACTTCAGCAACACCAGCCCCCCACAGCTTCCAGACTTTCCAGAATAATCACAAGGGTTCAGAGTAAAAATTTCTGACTTAGGTGTGAGAAAGCTACCAAGGCTAAGCTCTGAAGAAAAACCCGACAAAAACAGACTTTGCTCCTCAGCTCCTCTTCAGCTGCCTCCAGTTGAGTCAGATATAACTGTGGCATTCAACAGCGCCAGGACAGACACATGGACAAGGGGATACACCTTACCAGTAGCTTGACGAGGCTGAAAAATGTATGCTCTGTTTCCATACACCTTAGAGAACTATAAAAATACTAAGTTTCTCTTTAAAAACAGATGTGAAGCTGAACATTTTCAGCGAGATCATGAAGGACTGGAAGAAAATGATAGCTTTTAAGGCTCCATTTGCACAAAACACCTGAGTCTTCTTTGAGCCAAGGTTTCCCATTTTAACACGTATCAGGTAGCAAAGAAAGGATTCACTGTCCTTAACTTCTCGAAAATTGACTGGAATGCAGGACACAGCTTCAAAGCCTGTAACTGTTGAAGATGACTCCAGGCCGTGAAGGCAAGCAGAGAGATTTCGTTGCATGAGAAAATTTGGGAGAGCAGCATTAATGCTGTTAATTACCCGAAAAGCTTCCTCCAAATTAGATCCCAGGCTCCAACCCTATGATAGAAACTCAAGGCCTCTCTCCTACCAAAATTCACCTTTTTCAAGGGAGGAGGTTATGCCCTGTCACGCACACGCCGCGGCCAGCGGGCTGCGCTGCAGCACCAGCCGGGGGCTCTGACAGCAGAACCAGCACAAGCTGTGCCCAGAGGTCGGACGGAGCGGGGCAGCGAGGGCACAACCCGGAGTGACAGCCACCCCCACTCCCACCCCGCCGCCTGCCCTGCCCGCACACGGACACCCCGGTGGCAGCAGCACGGCCGGTGCCGGTGCCAGCCCCGCTCGCGGTACCTGCCCGCTCCGCGACCCTGCTCAGGACGCGGCCGCCACCCGGAACCGGAACCCAGGCGAGGACCAGCCGCTACAGGAAGCACGGGCCAGCCACGCAGGTTCCGGGAAGCTTCCGTTCCGGCTCTTCCCGCTGGCCTGGTGCGGACACAGACGCCCCAGAGCCACTGTTCAAGCCACAGCCCGGGCCGCTGCCACCCACAGCATTTCCGCCACGGCTCAGCGGGGCAAATCCCGCACCAGGAGCAGCGCCGCCGGCGCGGGCTAAGGGCCCCGGGGGAAGGAGAAGCGCAGCGGAAAGCGGCCAATCAGTGCGCGGCTTCTTGCGGGGGGCGTGGCCCAATGGGCGGGCGCCTTGCTGAGGTGCGGAGCTGGAGGTGGCTGGAGCTGCCAGCGGAGGAGGAGAGCGGGGTGAGGGGGCGGCGGGGCCGGCACCGGGGGTGGCGGGGCTTGGGTCGGTGCCGGGAACGAGGATCTCCCATCCTTCGCGGGCTGCTCGTCGCTGTCTGTCGCCGCCGGCGGTGCGGGCAGGGACGGAAGCCCCGCAGGGTCTGTGCGTGCGGGGGCGCGAACCGTTCCCAGCTCTCGCGCCGCTCGCGCTCCCTCTCCTGCCCTTGCTGCTCTGCTCCTCTCCTCTGTCCCCTTCCCGCTCCTTCTCCGCTCGGACAGTGGTCTCCTCCCCGCGGTTATGTAAGCCCCGGCCCCCCGCCCTGCCCGCGGGGAGCTGTGGCGGGGCTCGGGCAGTGCCCGCTCGCTGCCCGCCCTCGAGGCGCGCTTCGGCAGGGGAAGGAGCTGGGGGAGAAATTGGAGCTCCCAGCGAGCCCGGCTGGCGCCAGGAGCCGAGTTTCGGTTTTCAGTGGGTATGTTTTAAAAGAACCTTGGTGTTTGTTTCCATAGGAGAAGCGGGGAGACGTCCCGAAATCCTGGAAGTGCACTGAAAGGTAAGTGAAAGTGAAGAATTCTCCTGACCGCTGCCTCTTGAGTGAGGTGGTGACTTGGTTTCACTGAGTAGTTGTGTCGGGAGCTCGGTGTTTGCATGTGTGGCTGTGTGACAGTGAAGTGTCAGTTGTCGTTGTATCTGGTTAATTACTATTATTTTTATGTTCATCAAACTTGAGTACATAGTCTACTTCATCTGGAAAGGGACTGGTAAAAGTTAACTACACAGTCAGTGACTTATAAAGACTTAAATTATTCCTCAGTTGTATATTATACAATATTGTTTCTTTTTAGCAGAATATAAACTGTTAAATTAATTTTTGATACTCCTATTAACATGAGAATAAACATTACAGCATGATGCCGGCATTTTGATAGAAATCTACTTCTGGGTTTCAGGGTTTTTTAATAGGGATATTAGAAGCGCATGAGAAGATTTCCAGGAGGAATGCCATTATCATGTTATTAACAGTGAAACTGTTCTAAATAGAGTGCCATCTGTTTAATCCAGACTGCCTCAGTCTGGTTTCAGCATTGAATGTTTTTCTCTGTGAGATAAAGTCTGGAAGATTCAGAGCAGTCTTTTCTCAGGGTGAGAGGACACACATTTGTTTTTCTATAATGTATTGGGGGGGTAGAATTGTAGGAGGGCTCTTTATTTGTGAGGTGGTTAAATCCCTGGTCTTACAGAGAATGCAGTTCTGTCAGAGACTTGCAAAGAATTTATTGTTTCTTACTGTGGCTGAAAGCTTATGTGTATGTGTCCAAAGTCCAGCAGTGCTGAGGAATGTGGATATTTTTCTCAGAATTTTTTTTCAGTGACCCATAGACGTGTCAGATACCAGACACCTTGGCTTTATTATTTGAGAGAAAGATAAAAAGTCCTAGTTTTTTTATATTTGGTGCTTTTTTTTCTTTTCCTTATTATTTGTTTTGGGGGGTTGTTTTTGTTTATTTTGTTTATTTTCTTCGTGGTGCTTGGAAGCCTGACTTGAGTATTATGCACAAAACTATGCTGGTATTGCTGAGTCTGTCACCAGGGACGTTCAGTTCTGATCACAGAGCATTGGCTTTGCGTGATCTGTTGTACATGAACAGAACTGTAGCAGAGGAGTGCACTTGTCAGGTTTCGTCTTCAGGCACACCGTCGCTTTCAAGGTGTAAGTAACAAGGTTTGGAGCAGCTGGTTTTGCCTTCCCCTTCACTCCCCAAGTACGTAAAAACTGTTAAGAAAAACTTTGTGCAATCAGTTGATTTGCTGTACCATGCTTTGCTTCCTCTATTTTCTTTTATTTCAGTATGGACCATACTCTTTTAAAAATAAGACTGCAAATATGAGGGATGTGATATTTTGGGAATATAGTAAGCTCTTTGATTCTGTATCTTCAAGTAAGTGAGTCTGCATAATTTCAAGAGGCCTACAAGTGTTGCTAAAATGGATTTTGAGAAGGAAGACTCACCATAATTACAGTGTCAATCTGGAGAAATCAATAATATGCACAAAGAAATAACATAAAAGAATTTTTTATGTTGTGTAAAAAAGCCCCAACAAAAAAACTGAATGTCCTCTAGGAAGGAAAGGTCATTGAAACTCTATGTACAAATAATCAGTACTTTTTGTGATTTATTCAGTTGGTTTTGGTGGGTTTTTTGGGTTTTTAAAATTAATTTATAGTAGTGATAATTACTGTGAAGATTAGGTGTTCCAGGCTAAAGTTATGTTAGCGTGTATGCAGTCATGCTAGTTATGATTTGCTGGGATTGCTGCTTGTGTTGTTAAGCTAGAGGAAGGCTGCAGGGTTTCTTGGATGGCTTTCAGAAGTCCATGTTTCCAGCAATTTGTGTTGCTGTGCATTCTGGGTTAACAGATTGTGAGATACATTATAGGAACCACTCTCCTCTGCCTGTGCATCCAATATTCTCTCTAGCACTGGACAGTGTTTAGTGCTATGCTCTTCATAATAGTTTTCTGGAGTAGACAGCTGTGTGACTGACAGTGACTTGAAGTGTTCTCAATTTTGAGATGACAAGAAAGGCTTCTGGGATGGTTGTTTTGGTTTTTTTTCCCTTCAATATCAGAATACATATTTGAACTAGTTAAATATTGCATCTTTTTTCTCCCTGAAATTGCATGTTATTTCCTGTGGTGTTGTATTAATATTCAGTTATGTCATTTAAAGCCTCTTGTCATTTGAATAAATTGGTTAATGCTGCTTTAATTACAATAAGGATGGAAAAGATCTTTCTTTAGTTCACCTCGGTTTCTTTGAATGCTTTAAAAAAAAGCTGTGAATTGTGGGGAAGGAAATTATCTTCTCAGGCATCATTAGAGAGCTAAATATTTTATATACAGTATCACAGTCACTGTTACACCTCTATTTTAGAGAAGTGATGGGCTGGAGCATTAGTCTTAGTTTCTTTCTGTGGTGTTTGTTTGCTGGTGGGTGGTTTTGTTTTGGGCAACGTAAAGACCATTCTTCACAGGGACAGCCACACTCGTCTGATCTGTTATTCCCTCTTGAAGCTTTAAGCTCTGAGACCCTGCAATGTTAAAGGATTATTGTTCCCAGTTCTGCTCGTCTGCCAGAGCTGAGCAGGTGCTCGTTTGACAGCAGGTGCTTTACTCTTAGGCTCTTTTCTAGAATATAGGGTTACTTGTTATGTCAGCTCTCCCACTCTCAGTGGGGATGATGTGTTGTATGGATTTTTGTTTCATGGATATACTTAACTTAAAAAAATTTTAGCAGCTACCATGTTTTCTGTCAGTAAGAGCTGCACTTCATGTGTGGTGTCAGTAAGTCATTAATTCTTCTGTTCTGTTTTGAACCTCTTACCTGAGAACTTCACATGATGCTCCATGTTTTCTGTATGAGGTGGGGCAGATCTGTTTGGCTCTTTACCAAGAAGTTTAATATGAGTTGAGAATCTTTAAAAATCGGAGTCATGTGTTCACTCGAAGACTTGTCTGGGCTGGAAAAGAATTTTTGATTCCATGATTTTTCTTGATGCTTGTTTCCTTGTATTAAGATATGAATGAGTATCGGGAAGTGAAGGTGGAGGCTTCCCCATCTGAGTCTTCTTGAAGGACATCTGTGCCATAGTAATAATCATTAAAGAAATCCCTTTCAGGGAGAACTGATCTGAGCAGAGACAGTCACAAGTAGTACAGTTTGAGTGCCACTTCAGTCAGTTATTTTCATTTCCAAACAGAGTAATTGTGAGAAGTAATTCTTGACTTATTTCATGCTGTTTTCTACAGGTTTTTTTAGAGTAAGAAAGTAGTTTCAGTTTATGCTTGTATAACTCACTGTAGATAAAATGGCAAGCTGGTTGAATTTTTCTCTCTGCACCTTTGCTTGGGTAATTCCTGATTCTAATAGCAAGACAAATAATTCAAGTGTATTTTTTTTTATTTAGTCATAGGACAAATTTATGGAGCGACTCAATGGATCTCCTTTTTTTTGTACAGAATTCTGACTTTAGCTTTTAAACTTCAAATAAAAGCTCAGGATGTAGAGGGGCACTTCTGATTACATAAAATACACTTATTTAGGAAAACCCTACTGTAAAACAAAAATCTGTATTACCAGCTGTTCTACAAAGAAGAGAATATAAAAACCAAGATCAGGAACTGGGTAAAATAGTTTATAGTTTGCAAACTGTTTCAGTTCATGCTGCAGATTATTCATAATAGTAAAAGCTTTTTATTGTATGATGCATGGCCACACAGCAGTTTTTCTTTTGTCTGTTCATGTTACATTTTTCTATCAAGTATAATGAATTTGGGCAGAGAGTTCAACAGATGTTTTATTATTAATCAATTCAGATGATTAGTGAAAGACAAAAATACCATTGGCAAGTCACTTTTTCATTCTTCCTTGGTTGTTTTCTGTTCTGCAAGGAAGTCCAGCTTGCCTCTGCTGCCCACTGCTTATGTCGGAGTTGCTACCTTGACTTCTTGGTGTGATTCTGTAGAGAAATACAGATTTTATTGTCAAATTTATTAACTTTGCCTGAAAATAGAGAGCCAGTGACATTTGGAAAGAGATCCTGCTGGGGCAGAGAAATAAAATGGTAGATGTATAACTTCTGCAAAGTGGTAAACTATTTATTTATTTATTTATTAGTAGTGGTTATCATTGCTATCATTTGACATTGAAAAATGCCAAATTCCCTGGCTGTGTAACATTGTTCAGCACAGGACCTGATGGACGTGGTTAGTGCAGTTCAAAGCTGTTAAAACACTCTTCCAGGAATTCTTCTTTTTGCATATTCTGTGGGGGTTTTTTCCTACAGGACAAAGTAGTTCATGACATCTCATTTTATATTGTATTGTTATACAAGCATTTGGCCAACATTCCAAAAGTGCAAAGTGTGTGTTTTTGTGTGTAATCTCCATAATCTAGCTAATCTTACTATGTTTTTATTGTAATTACTGAGATTCTTCAGAAAGCTGAACCAGTTTGATCTCCTTTAGTGGTGTCTGTGTTGTGTATGGTTTGTGAGTTCTTTAAATAGTTCCACGTTGCTGTTCCTCTGAATTCTGCTTAACTGAAATGTGTGACATGGACATTTGTGCAGACTGCATGACTGCAGTTTGCTGATTCATACAGGGCAAAATTGATACGTCTGGAATATTTTGCTGTTTCTATTCCCTATATTTAGTAGTTTGTAAATCTTAAATTGTAACTTTATTTAGGGTCTTCCTCCCCTCTTCTACCTTGCCTTGACCCATATGTGAGCTGGGGGAATTATTTGACATCTATCTGGAAAGACAGTGAGAAAATTTAAAAGAATAATCTTATTTTTCATGGCCATTCAGCTGAGAAGATATTGGATTGAAAGATAATGAGCTGAAATATGTGTAAAATTTGCTTGGGTTTTTTCCTTCCTGTCTTAATTTATTTTATTTTTTATTCAAATAATTTGATTATTTCTGAGAGTTCTGGAGTCTGTTTCTTCTTTATATCTCTTCTTCTTATTTTCTGTTTTGTCTTTTCTG